ATGACTCTTTTGTGATTTCAGTGAACAAAAATTATTGTCACTCTTCATGTTCTCACTGTCACTTCTCACAAAATCTTTGACAGTTCCAACTAGTCCTTTTCGGTAAATCCATTATAGAGAAGACATCCACATCACTCTTCTGGTTTGATGTTTGTTAAGGCTTTTGTAATTATAATAAATCAGCATCAAGTTCCATTTGTAAATCCATTATTCCATCTCTTTCTTACAAGCTATCATTTTAAAATCCATATTCAATTCAATTTGGGCTTTATTTAATGGAATTTTCTCCTCATCAGTATCATCTTTCAGTTTGATAAGAGATAGCATTATAACTATAGCTTTAGACCATTCATCAAAAATTTCCTTTAGAAGTCCACTGATACATTTAATTACCTTCTAGTGCTCTCTAGTGTCCAACCTTCAAAGTCATCTTATTAGCTGTTTAAAAAAATTCCCAAGAAAAAGGATTATTTTAATTAACTTCAAAGTCTTTCTTTAATTCAGATCCATTTGAACCTTTAATCCGTTTAAAACTTTCTAAAATTGGCACTCTACTTTTGCTGTATATTCTGGAAAAAAATCTTACAAAACTTCAAACTCATAATTTTCTTTTACCCAGCAAGTACAAACCAACTTGCCGTTCTAAAAGTTTTCAATCTTAACAGTTCTTTTTAAAAAAAGAATAAATTTCAAAGAATTTTCAGTTTTAACAAGCAGCAAAAGGGAAGAAAAGGAAATGCAAAAGTGATTTTAAAAAATGAAGTTTGATCAAACCTTGACTCCATATAAAGCTACATTGATGGCTCTGAGCTTATTGGAATCCCAGTTGTTTGCAAGAGACTGCAAAAACATCAGTTTCTGCCCTCTGTTCACAAAACAACCCATCTGTGTGGAGTACTTGTAGGCGATCTCAAATAAATTTCTCCTTCCTCCAGAGAGAATTTGGCATGGATGCAGCATCCAACTGCCTGTGGGCTGTAAGGTCCCCTGCTATACAATGGGGCATTCTTCACTGGAAGCTTTTCTCCTCTTGTATTATGACAATAGGTTGGAGAAAATAACTTCGTGTAAATGCCAGAATGAACAGGAAAGGGACCTGCAGATATCCCAGAGCCAAAGTAGACGTGAATAGGGCAGTCAGTTTTGGAAGTAAAGCCTGTCACATAAAATTAATGCTCTCACTTTTACAGTCTTTTGGCATAGAGGAAGAAAGACAGTAAGAGATAAAGAAGCAGAGCGGAAAATGCAGAATGGAAGATGCAGGGCAAATAGTATGTATGGAGAGGGAGAGAAGGCAACAGATATCTAGTGATTAAAACCGAAGCAATTGACTTGAGTAGTGGAAGGGGTTCTCTCCTAGGTAGGGCAAGCAGCACCTCTCTCCATCCAGTTTCACGCTGAGGAGGATTTTTCCAATACAAATAGAAAAAGATACTGCTTCATTCTCATTGCTAACTCTAGCATTTGACTCTAACCATTAGCACATATTCTTACTCTGCATATGTATCAGTGACATCACAGAATTGCAGAAAACTGAGCACATCATATGACTGAGTGTACTTTCAAATATTAACATTTTACCATTAAAAGAATTGTAGCATGTGAAATAAAACTTTTAAGTCAGCAACATTTATTTTGTATTTATTTATATCACACCTCCATTATTTTTATGAATAACTTAAGGTGGCGAATATCCAACACATCTTCCTCTTCTATTTTCCCCATAACAACAATCACAACCCTATGGGGTGGGCTGGACTGGGCTGGGCTGGGCTGAGAAAGAATGACTGACCCCAAATCACCCAACTGGTTTTCATGGCTAAGGTAGGACTTGAACTCACAGTCTCCCATTTTCTAGCCTGATGTCTTAACCATTAGACCAAACCAGCTCCCAAAATGAATGGTGAATAAAAATAAACATTTTTGCTTGCTTCACTAAATATATTCTATATAGAGCATCAATTACATAGTAAGAGAGTCAGTTAAATTATACATAGATCTTGGAATAGTTCATAGTTGTTTGCATATGCCAAAGGAATTTACGTCAATCAGACATGGATGATTGTAATGATAATTATGAGACAATTTAATTCTTCTCTGGAAAGCAAATTAAATTCTGTTTAGAAAACAATTTTCTCATTAGTGCTTGAGTGGAAGATCTGTAGTGAAAGCCCTAATCTTGTCAGAAAATGAGAGACCATTCAGAATATATAATGTACATTTCCTTGATATTTATTATGCTTCGCTGCAGGCAGAAAAAAACGGGACAGACAATAAAAACTATGAACAAAGTGGGAAGAAAATGCTCATGTGCCAGTAAAAAAAACTTTTTTTCCTTAACAGTTCAATAGATTTTTGACAAGATCTTTATCAAGGATTCTTCATTTGCTGACTGAAATATGTTGATTAGAAGTCACTGTCCCCAACAACTGCAAATTTTCTGTTTGAAGGTGGCAACTACAAGCATATCTTTAAGGGGCTTCGAGGTTGAAGCACTTTTTGATTGACTTCTCATTGACCAAAATGATGGTTGAAGTGATCTAGCAAATGTGAAGGTATTTCTTGAGTGATCTGCATATAGGTAGTAATATTTGACTTATGATCACAATTGAGAATGGAGCTTCTGCCATTAAGCCAACGGCTCCCAACCTTTTCTATACCCCGCACCTCTAAAACACTTCTGATATATTCTCGCACCCCTTACGAAAGTTTGAAATAACGGCATATACATAACATATACATAACATAGTGTATATGTTATGCATATACACTATAATTTTGAAAACCCAAATTTTCACACCCCCTGGAATATCGTCTTGCACCCCTGATTGGGAACCCTTGCATTAAGCAATATGACCATTCAGGGAATTGTGCCTGATTTTACAAGCTTTTATTGCCACAGTCATTAAGGAAAACATTGCGGTCATTAAGTAAATTCAGCTCCCCTCACTGACTTTGCTTGTTGGAAAACGCCTGGGAAGGTTGTAAATAGTGATCACATGACCCTGGGATGCTGCAGCCGTTGTAAATACATGGTTGTCAGTTGTCAGGATTCTGATCATGTGACTATAGGGATGCTGCAACGGTTATAAGCACAAGGACTAGTCATAAGTCTTTTTCAGCACTGTTGTAATTTTGAACAAACACAAATGAATGGATGTAAGTTGAGGACTACCTGTTAAGTAATTTAACTTTGAATCCTGACCTAGAAATCAGAAATCTGTGAGTTCTAGTCCCATTTTAGGCATGAAAGCCAGCAGGGAGACTTGGGCCAGCCACTCTCTCTCAGCCCAACCAAGCTACCTCACAGGGTTATTTTTTTATAGGAAAATAGGAGGAAAGAGTATTAGGTATGTTTTGCCACTTGGGAGTTACATATAAAGTAGCAAAGATGGGATAAAAATCAAATAAAAATAATAAAACTTGCTCAGAGGTTTTCAGGGGTGGGTTAGGGAAGAGAATAAAATAGTTAACATTGGAAAATAAATAAATATATGCTCTTAGAATTCCCTCTCAAAGGAAGACAATTTTCGTATAGCCAATGGAAATCAAATCAGACAGCTTTTGCTGTAATAAAAAAAGCTAGTTGGTGGGCTAGATAGGGTGGTTAAAAAGGAATATTGTGTGTTTGGCTTTCTCATAGAATGTATGTACTGGAGATGATTTTACAGATTGTCTAATACAAGTCCTGTTCAATCAGAAACTCACCGAACCATTCTTGGCAGTGATCATCCAGAATTCTTTGTGTCAGGGCATGCCATATTTGTTAAAATTTAAAGCTGATGAGTATTCAAACATCCAACATTTAAGAACTGTTGTGTGAAAGGTGTTTCACAGGAGTAGCAAAACTTTGTAAATACACAAAAAGTTAAAATATCCCTCATAAATGACAGAATGCAAAGTAATAAGTTTAACTCACAGTACTTTCCTATATAGCTTGATTAGAAAACTTTTCCCACAATTAAAGAATATACAGTCTAAGACAGGGCTTTTCAACCAGTGGTACGGGTACCACCTGTGGTACATTGGCACCTGGCAGGCGGTACACGATCATCCTAGAAAAGTGGTAGTGGGAGAAGGGAATGAGCTGAACCAGTGGCAGCACCGCACAAGCCTGAGCGAGAGATGGCTGGAGCTGCAGGGCTGTCAGGCCTCAGTGGAAGCGCCAGGCTCCAGCTGGAGCTCGGCGCTGATCCTGGTGCTTCTGCTAAGCCCTGAAGAAGCACCAATCAGCTGTAAAGCAGCACTGATCCTAGTATTTCTGCTAAGCCCAGAAGTGCTGATCAGCTGGAATGTTGCAGCATCTCCAGGGTCTTGTGATTTACATTCAGATGCTTGGCAACTGATTCATATTTATGACGGTCACTGTGTCCCAGGGTCATGTGAAGTGACCAAAACCTGCTTCAACCACCCAGCAGACGGGGGGGAATAAAAACCAAACACCCCCCCCACCCCACCCCCACTGCCAATCCTCAACAGAAATGCTCAGAAGAATGAAAACCTCGGACAGGAGGAGGACCGCCTCCGGGTGGGCAGGCAGGTGTCTTGCTCGGATGTGCCTTGGGGGGCACTTTTTTCAGTAACATTGTAACTTCGAAGAATCACTAAGCGACTCTTTGTAAGTTGAAGACTACCTATACTTTATCACTTTTTTCCTTTTTTGGGGGGGTCATCAAGTTTTTGACATCTTGCTAGGCAACTGGTGGTACTCGGATGTTGCCATATCCTAAAAGTGGTACAAAGGGTGAAAAGGTTGAAAAGCCCTGGTCTAAGGAGGTTCTTCTTAAATTTTCCTTTGGTAGAAAGAATGCCACTGAAATATTTATTCTAATAATTGCAGTGCAATTTGCATCAATCAAACCTATTGCTTCAATTTCTAATATGTTTTAAGTTCTACCAATTTTGCTTTCATCTTCAGAATTTTTGTAAAATCATTAAAGAACTTTGAAGTTATTTTACACTTACTCAACAACTGGATAAATGAGGCAGCAAAGACCAGGTTTATTCCAAGGCAAACTTTAATGGATTTTCAAATCACTTGAATATTTATAACATGATTGTAAAATTAAACAAGCTAATGAGCCTTCTTCCCCAGGCAAATAGAGAAATTGAGCCACTATTGAACACATTATTTAGTAGTTTTATTTTATTCTGAGCAGCCTCCTCTTAGTTGGTTATAAGAAATCATGGCTGAGATCATATACAACTGGTTTCTACAGGGATAATCCAATCATCAAAGCTTGTGGCTTCTTCCAAGGAAGAATATATTGAAGTAAAGATTTAAAAGAAAAACCTGATATTCTTGTGTAAAAGAGTAGGATCTCTTGTGTACAACTGCAAATGATTAAAGTCATAAATCAACTGCTTCATAGGTGTTCCAGGTTTCTATTTTCCAAAATATAAACAACTCTATGGCAGTGTTTCCCAAACTTGACAATTTTAAGGCATGAGGACTTCAACTCCCAGAATTCCACAGCCAGCGTTGCTGGCTGTGGAATTCTGGGAGTTGAAGTCCTCATGCCTTAAAATTGTCAAGTTTGGGAAACACTGCTCTATGGGGTCTGGAACAAGGCATGATGATACTCCTTCCTTGCAATGTATTCCAGAGTCTATGAACATATTTCATAGGGCATCACAAATTGTAATTTTAAGAACTGATAAAAAGGATTATTTGAAGAGATTAAATGATGGAATGGTACTGCTTTCCTAGGCCTATCGTGCAGTACCCAAGAGTTGGAAAAGAAAAGCCAAACCATTTTAATTGCTATCTCATAAAGCAATGTTATAAGTAACTTAGAAATATGGGCCTTAAGGCACTGTTTTTGCAACACTTAGAAGTAAAAAAACAACAAAAACCTACACACACACACACAATTTACTTTAGATAAAATTGAGTGGAATTACACACACACACACACAATTTACTTTAGATAAAATTCAGTGGAATTTATATGTTAATTTAAAAGTTTCTTTTCCCCTCCCACACAGAGTTTCTCTTGCCAATCCATCTGGCTACCACCTGTCATGTTAAAACAGGATCCCTGATACCATGGTCCGGATTGCAGGTAAAGGAAATGGTGATGGCATAGCGAGTGCCCCAGTGGACCTTTTCAACATGATGGAGGTTCTCTGAGCCAGATGTGAAAAAGGAAACCCGTCCTGCAAAACAAGAATCTACAGTCAGGAGGGGAGCAAGATATATATCATTTACTTCTGCTGATTCCTAGGATTCTGTAATTAGCTACTCAGCTTCAATCATCCAAGATTTGATCGTTATATAATGGTAAAGCTACCCTGTTCCCAGATCAAAATATCATTATGCAATTAACAGGATTTAAGAAAGCCTGGGTTTTTTTTTTTAAATATGTACATGCTCAGTCCTAGAATTATTAAAAGAAAGACTTCAGCAGAGGGGCAAAGAAGAAAAAAAAGAAAATCTTTGAACATAGTCTTAAGTGAACAAGACTTTGGATTAGGGTTGTGCACAGCTTTGGTCTTGAAGGGGAAAAAGTAACCCCCATCAACAACTCCTTAAACCAAGTAAATCTTGTCCTGGAATCAACCACTATAGATGGTGATGCTGGGGAAACACCCAACTCTTTTAGAGAGATGCCAACCAGTGCTAAATAGAGCACTCCAAGCATTTTTTTTTTCATACAAATGAAGGCCCAGGATAATGTTGCAGGATCCAAACTGGGCTGGTCACCAGGACTAGAGATGTTGTCTCCCAAGCTGTTAGACCCATACTGGAGCCTATCTTCAAGGAACTTCTCTCTAGCAGAGTATGCTGTTCTCTGTGTGGTATTTATAGTGTGCCTGTTGTAAGTGCTTTTTAGATATTAATTGGGGTGTGTTGATGACTGGCCTTTAAGTCATTAGCTGTTGCTTGGTTGTACTGCCCAGCCCTCACCTTCTAAGTACTTCATAGGCTGGTGGTAAATCAGCACTCCTGTTGACTGACGTGAGGCCTGTTTCCCAGGCTTCAATCACTTCCCTGGCTGTTTTTGTGCCTGCTCGTCCAACAATCTAAGTAGCTGCAAAATTGAATGTCTGTCTTGTTCACTGCAGTGTGAGGCTACCAAGGAGTTCAGGTCTCCTCGTCTGACTGCTCGTTTGTGTTCTTGCAAACTGGTGGCCAGCTTCCTCCACCAGATGGACTCCGACACGAGTCCGAAAGCTTGGAAGACAAAACCTCTGGTCCTGGTGACCGACCCAGATTGGATCCTGCATTTTTTTCATGTACCATCTGAAGTGCTGCATAACTTTCCCTTGTTTGAGCTGTGTGCTTTTTCTAGAATAAAACCTTCTGGAAGAGATTTGGTTTACTTATTTTCTTACATTCTGCATTAAAACTACCAAACAGCTATTTTAGAATTTTAACACCTCACATTAAAAATGGATTACTAGACTATTTGTGTAGCAATGTCACATGCTTGGACTGCTTGTTTATGTATTGAGCACCACATTGATACAATCAATCAATTCAGGTGTGCCCCAGTCTTTAGTAGTTTTATGAGAGCACAAGCATACAAGGGAGACAACAATGATAACAAGACTGGTACACCAACTGTACATAGACAGGCTGCTTGATAGATAAATGTTGCATCATTTTGTGAAGATAAATATAAGCTTGCTTTGTACACATGATTAGGAATAAGCACTAAAATGTTTAGACAAAGAGACACAAACCACACTGTCATATTATAGTTTTCCTAAACAAAATATATTGCAAGGAATGAATTTCCTATGAAAAGCATGGGGTTATATGACAAACATCTTAGGTTCAACAGGGTAATCTCTCATTATTCAACACATAACTTAATTGGAATATATGTTTTCCATTTGCTAGAAAATACTCAGCAAGCACAAAATAAAATTAAATATTTAAAATAAATATTTAAATTTTGTACGTTGTTATTTTATTTCATAATATTAGTCACATTCAACAAACTGGCTGTAATATACAATAATGTGTGCAAAACATTTTGGGCTAGGAAAATGCTAGCAACCATAGCTCTGTCTTTCTAGCCAACATCCTCTTAAATCTCAACCATCTCCTATTCTTATAAAATCATCACATTATGAAGAGGAAATGCAATTTCTGTTACCAGAATAGAAATCAGAATTCCAATCACTTAAATTTCTGATTGCGCAACTTCTGTATGGTTAGAGTGAATGTGATACTGAACAGCAGTTTCATATTGCAATATTGAATTGGACTTAGAGGGGAACTCTGTCTTCTACCTTTCACAAGTGATCTTTCCAGAACAGAAGAAACAGCAATTATTTGCACTCTCCTACATGGTTTAGTGAATGGCTTTCAAGAAGCCACAGAGAGCTACAATGCAAAAAAAAAAGAAGAAAGAAAGAAAGAAAGAAAGAAAGAAAGAAAGAAAGAAAGAAAGAAAGAAAGAAAGAAAGAAAGAAAAAGAAAAGAGAAAAAAAGACAGAGGCATTGTTAGTGAACCTCTACAATGAAGATGTACAACTTCGGGCAGCTCAAGGGTTGCAATTCAAAAGTGATGGGGTCACTTGTATTTATTGTATCATTGTGGGGAGGCTTATAATAACAAAACTGCAACCATAATAAAAGAGGCACCTTTTTATTCATGAAAAGACTGCTTTAAAAAAATAATAATAATAAAGAGGGAAAAGTAAAATAATTCTGACTTTCTTTCCATTAGCAAACAGGGAGGTCTCAACATCATAGTTCTCCTACTACAGAACTTAAAGCTATCTTTTAGAAGATACAGTAGTGCAGGGAAGTTGGATTGGGAGGGTTGGGAAGGATGGGCAGAGGTAGGTAAAGAATGTGAGGAAGGCTGGAAAAAGAAGTAGAAAGGCAGTTAAATGGATGAAATGGTTGGGAAGCACGAGAAGCAGCAGCTACATACAGACGGAGATGGCGGAAGAAACAGGAGCTCAATCATCGTGGAGGGATTTTTGTTGCTTTAAATTAACAACTACTTAAACTGATGAATGATTGAAGGAATTAGGTGTGCCTAATGAAGAGAAGGACTGGGATGACATGATAGCAGTCTTCCAATATTTGAGGGGCTGTCACAGAGAAAAGGGGGGTCAACGTATTCACCAAAGCACCTGAGGAAAGGACAAGAAGTAATGGATAGAAACCTTTCAATGAACGATCCAATCTAGAATTTATTTATTTATTTATGAGACTTATATACCGCTTTAAGTGCAAGCACTCTCTAAGCGGTGTACACCAGTAAGCAATGTATATATATATTTACATTGCCCCCAACAATCTGGGTCCTCATTTTACCTACCCCGGAAGGATGGAAGGCTGAGTCAACCTTGAGCCGGTGAGATTTGAACCGCTGACCTGCTGAACACAGTCAGCTAAAGTGGCCTGCAGTACTGCACTCTAACTGCTGCGCCACCTCAGCTCATTAATTAAGAAGAAGTTTTCTTTTAGTGAGGACAATTAATCAGTGGGATGGCTTTCCTCCAGAAATTGTGTGTGCTCCATCACTGGGTGTTTTCAGGAACAGACTGGACAGCCCTTTGTCTGGAATGGTATAGGACAGGGGTAGCATATGGATGTGAACAGTCTCATTTCAACCCAATATAGGAAATATACAGCAATAGAGTTATTAAGTATTAACATGTGCAGAAAGTTTAAATATATAGACAAGTGATGGTGGAGCATTTATCAGATCTGCTCCTAAATATAATACAGATCCATTCAATTTTCTGGATTTCAACAGAAGGCCGTCATTTAATTATGTAAGAACTCACTTTTATTTCAAAATACACATAATATGTGTGGAGACTTCACTAATAAAAACAGTTTCAAACTGCCACATTACTAAAATGTAAATGTACTCTAGTTATGACAGAATATTTCAGACTTTTCTCCAGAAATGGATAACTTTAAATAATACTTTCTCTACTATATCAGTTGGCAGCAAAAAAATAAAGGTATAAGAGCTATGAAAAGAAAGCATATAATTAGATATGCTTGATGTTAGCTCACCTCTGGCTACTTATATTTGCTTGGAAGGTCATGTTAAAATTCTGGCTTATCAAAGAATGAATGTCATAGCGTTCACTTGTCAGTAAGAATGGCTATCAAACTTAGCCAGTTCTGGGTATGGTTCATTGCCCCATCAAAACGAAGAACATTAGTTCCACTCAGAGCAAGCAAGAGCAAAATCCAGACTTCTGACTCTCATTCCAAAGTTCCTAGTTTATATGGCAAGTAACCCAGAGATAAAAATGCCTGAATCCCTTAGCCTGACCTTGCTACTGGGAATAATGGGACAGCATGTGCTAGCATATTGCTCCTTCTCTGGGAAGACAGAACACTGAGGAAATCTAAATGCCCCAGAAGTAAAAATATATAAATTCCAATGATACGATACAAACCTATGCTACAAACCTATTATTCAGGACACATGGAGGAGGGTAAAGAGGAGAACCCCAACATTGTAAGTCACAAAAAAATCATTATTTCAAATGAGTTTGATTAATGCTTGTTCAAATGCAAATAATATCAGATTCTGAAATGGGAATTTTGCACCATAAGAGCATTGTATTTTCTATGTAATTCTATAAGGGTACTTAAAAACCTTATTTTTGAAAAAGAAAATCTAGGTATCTCACAAAAACAAGCTACAGTAACAGTACTTTACCTATAAATCTCAGGAAGTCTGACAGATTCAATCTAGACATAAGCTTTGGGAGTTCAACTGTGGAAATGGAAATTCACTTTGAAGTGGACCTCAGCTGACCTCTGGGTTGATATGCTGCTCTGAAGGTTAGCTTTGCAGAAGGAGTCAATCTCATGCTTAAGACTGTACTTTAAAAGCAACTGATTTTGTTCCCTTAGTCTTACTCTCTTTCAAAACAACTGCCCAAACAAAATAAAGAAGAAAGGGCTCTGCTTTGAAGGGATACCCCTGGGAAATGTCACAAAATCAAATTGGTGTGGAAGTAAGCCAAGCTATTTCCTATTCTTTGGCACTTTAGGTAATTTTTGCCTCAAGACAGTATTTATTAAGCAGTGACCTTATACAGAGATCTTTCCTGTCAAATATGTGGAGTTTCTCCCCTACCCTCTTTACCCACCCCAACTGAGATCAACCAGTGGTAAAAAAAGTTCATCACATCTTCCTTAAGATCACTGGATGTTTTATCATTAACCTTTGGATAAGAAAATACATTTTTGTCATCAAAGACTTATAGCAGAGATTTTTAAGGAAATCTTGTAAAATTTAAGAGGGATGAAATGTGTTTGGCAGAAAAATAAGACCTTCTCTCTGAGTGTTTCCAATTCAAGAAAAGTGGTCCATTCCTCTTGGATGATACCTTTTCATTTCCTGATATTGTCACTGGTGGTTGCTCGAGCCAAAATGCTAATAGTTTATAAGGCTCTCTGTTTCATGTGATTCAATGAAAATTGAGTATTTGTTTGTATTTATTTATTGCTTCATGAAGTATAAGCAACAATAAACCATGTTCATATGCTTTAAAAGCACTTCAAATAACAAAATCATGCACTGATACATAAATTTTGTTGAATTATAGCTTCATCCCTCTTAAATTATACAGGCTTTAATTTAGTTGCATTTTTGGAATGCAAAAAAGATAATGATTGTTCTAGACTTGCCTCCATAAATAGTTCAGAAACATGAACTGTTCAATAAAGTTTTTTGTTGTTGAATTAAAACAAAAATATTTTTTTCTTTCTCCAGCTATTTTTTGTTCTTCTTCTTTATCTCTGCATAGTCGTAGAAGTGGGGCATAATGTGATTCCTAAAGGTACATCCAAAGAGCATTTCTTGAAGGCCTGACCTCTTTAAGATTTCACTTAAGTTTAATATGCTCATCTTCAAAACCTTATTAAAAATTATTTAATCCAGCTTTATATAATAGAACATGTGCCAATTAATAGTTTCTAACATGGGTCATAGTGGAGAGATTATGAACTTATTCCAGATATCACCTGAGAAAGTACATACCTTGCTGATCACACACCTGAGTCTTCCTCAGGATTTGTTTTAAAGAGATAGAATAAGCAGCTTCAGATCATTAGGAAGAGGCCCCTGCGACCTGACCTCTCAAGTGTAATGTTCTGTATGTCATCCTTCAGCATAAAATGGTTTCCCACAACAAAGAAAGGTTTTACTTTATTAAAATAATGTTCAGGGAAAAAAGGATCTGCTTAATCAGAAACTTTTTCATAAAGGAAATGCATATGTGCAGAAAAGCAATTACATCCAGCAAAGGACATAGTTTCCAAAGACCAAATGATCAAATTACTAAAATTCCTTCTGCAGGAAAATTATAAAGTTATTTAACTGCATATTGCTAATGCAGAACATGATTATGATGATTTAAGAATTTTATTCTGCACCCACTTCCTTCCCTGTGTCTTCCTTTTTTCCATTTCTTTTCCCTCCGACCGTTATAAATTATATCATTTTTATGGACATATTCCTCTGTTTAACCTATCACCAGTGTGCCAGTTTTACAAGCCATTAATGCTTTTAGGTATTGCCACAATACATTATAATCCCTTTTGTTTAAAAAAATGTAGTGAAAAATTAACATTATGGAGCTAGTTGAAATGGCAAAATATACATATTAGAGTGCCTGCATGAGGATTATGATTGCGCTATAGAGGCAACACATGAAGTTATACAAATGACGACACGATTATAACACTGATGTCTCAGTGATTTAGAGATTCTCAAGAATCCCTTGGAGATCTTGGCCATAATTTACCACAAAATTAAGTATGTTTAAACTTAGATGTTCACAATTAAGAGTCAGAAGAACTCCGGGGCCCAAATGGCCTCCTAAGGATCTTCAAAAGCTCCAGTTCAGAAAACGGTGATCAGGAATTTGTCTGCAGCTTTTCCCTTTCTCTCTTTTTCTTCCAAATTCTTTGAGCCTCTGAGAGGGCTTAAGGTGGGGATGTCAAACTTGCCACATCACGTGACGTGTTGTGACGTATTGCGACTTTTCCCCCATTGCCGGACTTGGGATGGGGAACGGGATGGGCACAGGATGGGCACGGCTTCGACATGACACATCAGGCCCGCAGGCCAGCAGTTTGATACCCCTGGCTTAAGGGAAAGGCTGAATTTTATTTCACTCATCTCATAGAAATTGGGGGAAAGGGAAGCTTGAAGACATGTTTGTTACATAAATTCAAGAAAAAAAAGAGTCCTTTTCTTGAACGTTTCCCAAGCCAAAGGCTGGTAATAAGGAAAAATCTGCACTTTAGTGAAAGATAATTCTTTTTCTTGTTTTGTAATGGTCTGGTTAGGAAAAACAGCAGAAGAGTTCCATGTATTTCTTGGCATGTCAAATAAAAGAAATACATGTCTTCCTATTCCTCTGCAGATACTTTTAAGATTCCTATGAAATGTTTTTCAAGAAAAATGTATATTAAGCCCTAAGTAATGATGAAATGAAGATGGAGAGGGGGAAATCAGTAGATTCCTGGCAAGGGCCTTAACTAGCCTCTGCAGTTTTCTTGGCAAGATTTCAGACATTGTTTGCCATTGCCTCCTTCTTAGGGATGAGAGAGCATGACTGGCCCAAGGTCACCCAGAGATGTGAAATAATTCAGATTAGCTTTCCATAACTCAGGATCTTCCAGACCACAACTGCCTAAACTCTAATCCAGTGTGGCCAATAGAATGTATCTAAAGGGCACCAGGCTGGGGAAGGATACATTAAATGACTCTTTGCAGCACTATGTTGTTATGAAGTCGAATAGGATAGTGCAGGGGTAGGCAACCTCGGCTCTTTTATGACTCATGGACTTCAACTCCCAGAATTCCTGAGTCAGACTTCCTGAGTTAAAGTCTATGAGTCATAAAAGAGCTGAGGTTGCCTACCCCTGGGATAGTGAAAGCTCTGTGTACGCTGTCCACTGAGTCTTTTTTTACTTGGTAATTCAGACAGTCATGGCTGAGTCATTTTGAAAACTCTGAAGTCAAAACAAACAGAAGTTTAACTATATGAATGTTTAGACTGTATTTTATCTGCAATATTTCTAAGCATATTACTCCAAGGTTATTAGTTGTGTATCCCTCTTTAGGATACGCAGGCTTCTTTAGGATGCACAGTCGCCATTTTTAACACCAACAAAATTGCTTGAAAATTAACAATTCACAAATCATGCTGATTTATTTTTTTGAAAAATTAATGTTGCTCTTCAAAACCATGTTTCCTTATGTAACATAATACATATTTGCCTCTCATTTATTCCTGTAATAGACGGGAGCTAGAAATCACAATTCTTACTTGTATAACATTTGAACGATGAAAGGTATAATACTGACAAAGATTTGTGTAAGATAAATACAAATATTAGATAACTCTTAGGATAAAAGCTGCCAGTTTTATTTGTACTTATTTCTACTGACCTTCTAATTCATTTATTTCTATCCTGAAGGTACGGATACACAAAGTAGGGAGCTGTGTTCAAAGGAAGATATTAAAAACAGAGCATGAACTAGTAGGATCTGAAAAGCAAAGGAAGTTCTACCTGCTCGAGGTTCTACAGTCCTATTTGCACCTTCATCCATAAAAACAAACCGTCCACCACCAAAGTCTTCTGCATAGTCTGATAGGTACAGCAGTGATGTGTAATCAAACGAACCATAGGTCACCTACAAGGGAAGGATAAAGTGCTGAATATTCTTTGTACAAGCTTGGGTTTGTATCGGATCTGCAGATGCATAGCCCCTGAAAGAAGTTGATTATTTGGATCCCTTTCAGTTGGGCTCTAAGCACAAGTATGGCAATAAGATTTTACTGATTGGACCTCTATTTGACCTCTGGTGAAACACGGAAGGTATCCCTCCAACTACTGAATGATATCTCAGTGGCTTTTGATACTCTCAAACATTGTATGTTCCTGGACTGCCCCCAGGAGAAGGAGTGGGGTACACTGCTTTGCAGTGCTCACCTCAATCTAAATTTGCTTCTTTTGCAGCCACATCACAATAGAGCTTCAATCCACAATCAGCTACTTGTCACATTTTGCTCATGAACCATATTATTAAGCTAAGTATCTCCATCCTATATCTTTGTATCTGATTTATTTTTTACTTTGTGAAACACTTTGTATCTGTCTCTAATAAATTTCATTCTGCAACTTTCGATGGATTTATTGAACTTTTCCAAGGATATTAGTTATTTTTATCCTTATTTCTAAAGAATGAGCACTGTTTGAATGGGATTTTTTAAAAGTCAATTAGGCAACTTCTTAATTATCATGTCATCCTTTCAACAGACAATTTGCTAATCAGAATATTATGGGATCCTTGGTTTGCTGAAATCTAATGAAGTTACTGAACAAAAAAATAAAGTTATTCTAATAAGGCTTATCTATTTTATTATTTTATTATTTTATTGTTTTATGATTGTTTTAACTCTGTACGCCGCCCTGAGTCCTTTGGGATTGGGCGGCATATAAATAAAATTAAATACAAATACAAATACAAATCTATGATATATATATGCTTGTGTTTAGTAACTATCGTATTATTTTCAAGGTAACAGAGATCTGAGATATAATCATTGATTGGTGGATAGTTTCTTGGATGGTTTATTTCCCCTTTTCAAAGATAGGAACATTTTTTTTCTCTTTCAATCATATGACATTTCACCAGTTCTTCATTATTTCATAAAAATAACATATAACCATCAGCTATCCAAGGATGCAATTCCTCTGACCTTGGAGAGTTCAGATTCATTAAAGTAAATAAGTATCCTCTCACTATGTTTTGTTAAACTGTAGCTCAGTCTCTTCATCCTGCTCTTCATAATTTCCTTGGACAGCGCACAGATTCTTGTTAGAAAAGATCAAACCAAACAGCAGGTAAAAAGAAGGCTATTTCCTGTTTGCCTTTTCCCATTTTTGTTAAGCAGCTGGTATAATAATTTGTGTTTTTTTCCCTTTTATGTTGAACATATATAATTTTTTCTTCTACTTATTCCACTAACAGTGAATAGGATTTTCTCGGTTTGATTTTTTTTTTAAACAGAATATAGTGTATTTGTCTATGGAGATTCTCAGTCATCCAGGTCATGGTTGTCCCAAAGGTGCTTTTTCAAGAGGTAACAGGACTTTCTTGTTTTTCTTTGAAGACATTTTGCTTCTCATCCAAGAAGCTTCTTCAGCTCTGACTGGATGGAGGGGAATGGAAGAATTTATATTCTTTGCAGCCAGCTGGTCATTTGCATTCTTTTAGAGAGCTGTTGAGGCCACTTGGAATTTTATCTGTGTCCTCAAGGTCATCTGAGTGGTGCAAATGGGTGTGAAGTCTACTTGGAACTGCTGAAAGGATTATGTTGTAGACTGGAGATAGATGATGTCATATCACTCCCCCTCTATTGAAAGAGAGCTAAAGAGAGATCCAGCAGTCCATCTGCATTTAAATGATAAAGGCCACTCTTTTGAAGACAGTAAAGTCCACATTTTGGACAGAGAGGATCCTGGTTTGAAAGAGGGGTCAAAGAGGCCATCTACATCCAAATGTCAAAGTTACTCTCAATAGCCTCATTCAAACAGTAAAAAATAAATTGGAATGTTAGTCTTTGAACTTACATTGGGAGGATTGCTTATTGGTGAAACATTTTTACTAGTAACTTTCTTAGTACTTTTCTGAGCAGAAAAGTGGAATGTAAACTGTATAAATAATGGATTACACAGTACAAATATAAAAGGCAATAGAAAGCCAATATGATAAAAAGAAAATTCTAAAATAAATAAGAAACTAAAAATATTCCCCAAATAAGTTCTTCAAAGTCATATACTAAAAATATTTTAGCCTTATCAAGATAAGAAAATTGTCCTAATGAACAAAATGCTACAGATGCTATTCTTTGTTCCTATATTTTTATATTATCTAGCAGAACATAATTAGAATCAACAGAATGGCCAGATTGATTATGTAACTTAATAGGAAATGATCCCAGTTTTTAACTTCTAAGTTTTGACTCACCAGAAGGGGAGTACTACAAATTTAAAAGTCATTCTATTTATATCCATTTACTTATGAATACGTTTTATTAAGCTCAGCAAGGGTTACTTCTGAGAAAGTATACATTGTACTTATATGCTAAAATTACATCACACCATTGTGACTCTTTAATTAGAGTGCTAGCACTTATACATGCAGGACACCAATACCAAAAGTAGATATTTAAAAGAATAGTAAGGAAAATATTATTTCAATACCTTGTCAATATGAGGATGCCAATATTCATCATGGGTTGTCTTTGCTTCTGAGTTATTTATTCTAGAGAAGAAAGTTGGTTTCGTCAAATACATGGAGGATGAGCTGATGCCAAAAGCAAGAGCTATTTTTTGTTGAATTCTGAGCCTCACATCACTACAAATAAGAAAAAAAGCATCAGAACTGAGTAAAACAAAACAATGGATATATTTTAAATAATTCTTTTATTTCACAATATCTAACATACACAGATTAAAAGAAATCCATGCATATTGTCTCAGGTATTCTATAACATATGTGTAATACAATTAATTATAATACATTGTGAATAGCAGCCTTAGAGAGAATAGCTTGCATTAATTTGTTCACAGTTCAGTTCAGTTCCGAACCTTCCAATGATAAAAATACTGTATAAGACTTGTACTTTATACTCTACTGCTATAACCTCCAATCTAAAAAAAAGTGTAATTTATTATTTTTTTCTAATTATGCCCGGTTTCACACATCATGTGTCATAAATCAGATTTATAAATCACAATGGGTGAATTCAATCTTGTCATGGAAAAGGTTTTCACCCAATAAACACTTTTGTTAATGGAAGTGGAGGCCAAGAGAAATTCTGTCACGTTTGGGTGGAAGGCCTAAAGCAGGAAAAGTGGGAACCAGTGACAGAAGTATTATCTAAAAAATAGGCTGTTATTTCTCACTTTCAAGACTCAGAAGAAAATCAGCCAATATTCAAACAAGTGGAAAGAAAAGACTTAGAATTTAAGCCAATGCTGTAAAACTCTAAGTAGTCTTTGAGTTATGACTCTTTGTTCAGCAACCATTCAAAGTTACAGGCGCACTGAATGAATGGTATTTATACCCTGTCAACCAAATTTACAGCCATTACAGCATCTCTGTAATGTAATGCTGTAATCAAGTAATCATGTAATCAAAATTCAGGTGCTTGGTAGCCCAACTGCACTTAAAAACCACAGATGCACTTCAATCCCCCCCCAACACATCTTTGCCCCTTTGGCCCCCTGTATTCTGCAGCCCATGCTGGCCTGCATGCCAGTGGCCTCCCATTGACCTTCACTGCCTTCTTAACCCCCCTCTACTCCGTTGACCATTTGAGCATATTTGAATGTTTCTCCATATACACGTGACAGAAGCCAGTGTCCATATTCTCAATTTTTATCAATGCTGGCAGATTTAGAAGAAAAGAAATTGTCTATCTAACAAGCCCAATAAAAAGTGCTTCTCAGCCTTTTTCTTCATAATTCAAAACTGCCTAACAGAAAATCTTATTGAAAATTGAGTCATAACTTTGAACAACTGGTAATAATTCAAGGACTACCAGTGTTATAAAAATAGTTTTTATATAATTTCAACAATAATTTCATTGTCATTTTTATTGATTTTCATTTTAAGAGGAATACTTTGAGAGATTTCAGAATATATTTCAATAAACATGGCAAACTTTAAGTCAATTTAAATGTCCTTGTTATGATGGATAATGGGTTGGTGTGTCATTACTCAAAGAAAAACCACTTTTACCCAATTTTGGGTAATTTATCCAGGTTTGGGAAGCACTGATCTAACAGCACAAACTTGCACATAACCCAAATGCTGTTTTCTGTCATTATCCACACTACTTCTTTTCCAAATCTCAGATCTACCGTATTTTCCGGCGTATAAGACGACTTTCTAAAGCATGCAAATTGGCTCCGAAGTCGGAGGTCGTCTTATACGCTGAGTCGTCTTATATGCTGGAAATTATGGTAGTTTCTGGCGTATAAGAAGACTTTCTAAGCATGCAAATCAGCTCCGAAGTTGGGGGTTGCCTTATACACCGAGTTGTCTTATACGCCGGAAAATACGGTACCTTTTTTTTTAAAAAAAAAAAGTTTATTCAGAAAAGTTTATTCAGGAAACTTATTTTACCAAATCAAATCAGTTTGAAAGACTTTTCTATTTTTTTCAGTAAGCTTTGCCCATCATTTAAAAATCTTCCTCAATATCTAGTTTCTATTCACATAGTCTATTTGACAAAAATCAATTCAGCCACTCAAGTAGACAATAAGGCTTTTCTTTAGCTATTCCCTCAATCTGCCATTCTGAACGCTATTCACATAATGAATTGTACTGAAAAATCCTTTAAGAATTTCTTCTGTGCTCTCTGACACAATAGCTGTGATTATATCTAAGAAGCATCAGATGCTCTTTAATACAGAGCCGTGATCAGAGATGACAATTCAAAATGAAAGGTTATTTTTATATCAACCCACCATTTAGACTTGTGTTTATCTGCCTTTTCAGAATGAATCTTCTACCTAGAACTAGCTATATTAGAGGCAGTATCCAGTAAAAGAAGCAAATACACAGTATAAACTGAATTGCGAGCATAACATCTACACAGTTAAAATTCATTCATGAATCAGATTAATATAATTAAGACTACTTTATCTTTTCCTGGTTCAAAATACCACTGAAAATACAATTAGTTCTTCCCAAAACAATCAGATAAGAAAGATTCCCCTGACAAATAATGACAGGTCCAGAATGCTCTCACTAAGCACACACACCCTCCGAGTTTCTATTCAAGCATCATCCCACAGTCCTTCTCAAGTCATTTCCAATGGCAATGAACAACTGATACCAGCCAAGGCCAAAGTGGTGTGGTGGTTAAAATGCTGGATTAGGAGTAGGGAGGTGCAGGTTCTAGTCCATCATCAGCCACAGAAGCCCACAGGTTAATTTTGGGACAGTCACTCTCTCTCAGCCTAACTTACTCTCAGAAGATGATGGCATCTTCATATAAATTATTACTAATCTTAAGCATTGCTAATCTTTAAAAAGAAAGCTGCACAAGAGACTCTCTCTTTTTGCCATTAAAGTAATGGACTGTACCAAAATCAAATGCTGGGATTAAATAGTCTAGAATGCCTTAAGCTACATCTACCCAAATTCTTTCTGTTCTCTATCTCTCCATTCATTAGTAGTAAAACAACATTGATATCATGAAGATTCTTCACTTCAAGCTATTAAAATGTTTCCTGAGCTAATATTTCTACGATGCAAACTGAATCATCTTTCTCTGCTACCTAACAAGTTAAGACCCCTGATCAATTCAAAATTTATGCTGCAATATAATTTTCTCAAATACAGTAATAAACAATGGGCACTATAATGAGGTTATACTAACTGGCTGACTGGAGCAAGCAATAATAAAATAATTTTATAATATCTGGATTTTCTTACCGGTATAACTGAAAATCCTCATCTGTAAAGATGTCATGGATTTTATCATTAAAATATCTGGAGGGGAAAAAAATAAGTGACTCATGAAACCAATTCATAGATAATGCAGATTAAATCTTTGTACCAACCAATTACTTTCAATATTCTTTCAATTAAATTGTTCACTCAGATCATAATTTTAGTAAGCAATTATTTTTAAAGTTTCAGCACAATACTTATTAAGTCTAACACACAAGATCAATTTCAGTAAATAGAAATTACTATGGAAAATTGACAGCTTATTTAAAAAAATATTCTAAAATGAACAAGAGCCTATTTCTACATCCAATATCCCCAAAATGGTTATCGCCTGTTATTTGCCAAATGAAGAAAAACTGCTAAAAATAGAGTAACTTGTGCTTTACACATCTTTAACAGACTGAAAGCTGAAAGAACAAAGATCAATCATTCTAAAGATATATATATTAAAATGCAATTCTAAATTTACCTGTACATATTAACAAAATGCTTCCCCAAAGAAAGGGCTCCAGAGTGCAAATCTAGAATTGAAGCCTGAAATAGGAATAAATAAATAAAATAGGTATGTAAATACAGCCAATGGAAAATATTTAAGGCATGTTGCTTTCTTTAAAAAGAAGACAGCTTACTCTGTTTGGAAGTCACATTCCTATTCTACAATGTTCTCAGAATTTAATTTAAAATTGTGTTGATTGTAAATATTTCCCAAGAATTAAGGGAAGTCAAGCATACTTTGAGTTATTTTCTAAGAATTCATATATATATATATATATATTCATATGTCAAAATCATCATTCATACACAATGGTTACCAATTACAAATACAATGAGCCTTACCGCTATTTCTGGAGAGGGAAAAGTTATGAACTTTCAAGTGGAGTGGATTTGACTTAAATTGTGATTTAAACCATGATAGAAATTACTATTAAGAAACAAGTTAATGATTTAAATCACAATTTCTTCAATTACTAAAAATATTTAATAATAATTAACTCCTCCAATACTTAGCCAATTCAAATGGTTGCAAATTATAGTGCATTTATTCCTCTGCTTCTTTTATCTGGATAAAATGAACAAGCAAACTAAATTGTACAGCAGGAATGGGCAACTTTTCCACATACCCTGACTTTTTGCTGAACTGTAATTTTAAATGTGGTATATGGGAAGAGATAATATGAATTATAATTAAGTGGTCTGAATTTTTCTTTGGCTTCAATTTTTTTCCAGAATAAGCCTCCAGATAGAAAAAAAAAAAAAAAACAATCCTCTGAAGTGGTCTCATGTTACAATAAAGAACAATACATTAGCACCTTGCAGAAGGGATCCAGAAATAATCCCACATAAGTATACATCACCAAGAAAATTGCTTGACACTATATTTTTATTTAAGCTGCATTTATATATGAAATAAAATTCAAACAAAGGTTATTTGTTTAGTGAGGTAAAACCATGGTATATTTTTATTCAGGAGTCAGTTTCTTATATTCTCCATGGAACATCTAATTTAATTTTTTTTTTTAAAAAAAAAAAATTAACTTTAGGAGCAACAGCAGTACTATTCTCTTTTATGATCTTGGTCAGATTATATAGGAACCTGTTCAGATAGTAATCAAAGTTAGCTTTACAATATACTGACAAAGCAAATTAAAACAAAGCTTTCAGTTTCTACAAAAACTGTACAAAAGGCATTAATAGAAACAAAAGGTCAAGAAAGACAATCTTTCATGAGAATCTGCTCATCAGCATAAATAGGAACATGGTGGCTCACGAGGTTAGAACACTGGGCTGACAATTGGCAGGATCGCGTTTGAGACCCGTTGCTGCCACAGGATGGGGTATTTTCTAGTCAACATGCTTCAGTGCCTGCCTACGCAGTGGTTCAAAAATGGGTAACCATGAGTAGGAAACTTCATGAGGACTCAAAAGGATCCCCCAATTTGGCATCCCCTGGGCAATGGTGATGTCACTGGCAAATCCTTTCACTATGGAAGCACTTTGGTGCTTCCGACATGGAAGTATTAGTATACCAGCATAAATAAAAAATAGTGAAAGGATCTACCTGAAAAATATATATTCTTATGTCATAGCAGGTGAACATTATAATCCTTAACTCGAGGGTTCCTTGGTGGTGTCTGATCTTGAACAGTGATGATGTTACATAGTTTGGGTAATGAAATATCTGCAAGAAAACAACCAAGCTCAGAGAGTACCAAGGACCTCTCATTTCAATCCTGAGCTACAAATATTCTCCTTATTGATCCTTAATCTGTAGGAATGGCAAAGCAATTAGCAGTTTGTAATTAGCAGATCACACATGCACATAAAGTTATCTTAAACGCATACAATTTTAGAGCAGCAAACAACCATCCTTCACCAATTCCACTCAGTATGGTTTAGACTATGTTACTGGGAATAAAATCTTATTTGTGATAACATCTGACTTTAGAAATCTTCACTTGGGAACTAGGATAGCCTTTAACTAAAATATGACTGCCTAATACTTTAAAGCATTTATGAGAAAGTTGTCCATATCTCTTGCATCAAATAGAAGGAAAGGCATACAAAAGCAGAGGGATTTCTTGTTGAATGATCTGAAACAACTGAAAAGAAGTCATACATTCAACCTAGGATTTAGAGAAAAAAGATAAAAGAAATACTGAATCAGCCTGATTTATTGGAAGTATGTGAAATTTATAAAAATCATCCTAAACAAAGATATAAAACACACACATTGTTAGCTTATCAATTTTAGAAGAAGGGCATAAATAAAAGATAACTTCTATTTGGGACAGAATGAATACTTCTCTACAACAAATTACATTATTCATCAATTCATCAATTACTTTTGGAATTGTACAGCAAACAGCTACCTGACCCAGCAAAAATTGAATATTTGAATGGCATATCATTTTAAATATTACTAACCAACAAAAAGCTCTTAAGCTATAACAGAAGTCAAAATTAAATAATCAATTAAAAAGTTAAAAATGAAAAAAACTCCAGGACCTGATGATAATTCAACAATATATTGCAAGGTTTTGTCCAGCAAACAGTCAGTTAAGAGACAGCATAGTTCACAGTTGTAAAATAGGTGAGCAAAGATTCAGACCCACCTAGCTTTGGGGGCTGTAAAGGAGACAGTGGGAGAATCCTATTTTCAGAATTCTAAGATTGATGTCAGCCATTCCAGCTAAACCAGACACAGACAGGAAATATGACAAGATAGGCTAATCCTACATTATTGTAAAGCTACATTACCAAAATCTTGAATGTTACAGAAAGTTGTACTTAAGTTATTCAATTAACAGACTTCCTACATTCAATCAGGAAAATATAGGACACTATGGTTTACTATTAGGATATCAGTTTAATCAAAACAAGACACATAGAATTATACGGAATCTATCAGAAAAAAGGTATAGTATTTCTGTTAAATCAATTAAGTACCTGGGAATTTTACTTAGCAAAATATAAAAAGATTTATTTAAGAATAATTATTCACACATATGGAAACAAAACATAATGGCAGATATTTTAAATGTTAAATGCTAAACTTGTCCTGATCAGAAAGCATATTTTCAGTAAAAATGGATATTTTACCAAGAATTAACTTTCAATTTCAAATAATTCCAATAAAAAATGAAGAAAAGATACTAAATGTGTATCAGTAATGAATAATTAATTCTATTTGATCAAATAAAAAACTGGAAATAAAATTTAAGATTTTGCAAGATGTGAAAGAGATAGATTAGCAGTATCAAACCTTAAATTATATTATTACACCAGTTGTTTAATCCGAATCTCTTGCTTCAATATTAAGTATTTATTTTCCTAAAGGTGAATATATAAAAAAATTGACTAGTGGAAATTCATACTGATAAAATAAAAATGAAATCTTTTAAGATTTTCTCCTTAGAATGGTTAGAATTGTTTAATTGATTTCAATATCTCCAAATAGGTAATATAGTTCAAACAAGGAAGAATAGTCAAGAGACTTGACTGAATTTTAAAAACTTGTTAACTCAAAACTCAAAATATTTGTTGGGGCTTATTTCTAAGTTGTTACTGAAATATGAACCAGACACTGAACAAGGACTGTATTGCTGGAATCCAAAATCAGTAACATTAGCAGATCAAAGTTAGGTTTTTAATGTGCAATAAAATAGCTAGAAGCCATCATAATAGTAGATGAGGTACATAAAAAAACTTAGTAAACTAAATTGTGGATTATGCATCAATGCCAAAATTAACTATATATTTAAAAATAATTCTGAATTTAACTTGAAAACTCTTTATGAACAGTTCTTCTGTACATGGACTTGTACTATATGCAAAGTTTGTGTCTCTTTTAAAATACTGCTTAAAATGCTAAATCTTGTCTGTTTTATCTAACAAAGACAACTTATCTAAATTTGGTAAAAACAAGTTATACAATTTATTCTGATTAACAGTTCTTATTTTTACTAATTATTGATACGTGATTTGATTCCAGGAATTAAAATTACTGTAATATTAAACCAATATTATTTTGAAATGCTTTATTCAATATTAAAATTAATTAATCAATATTACACTGCGTGGAATTTTATTCTTTTCCTTCTCTTATCTTGATTGTGCTATTAATATATTACAATTTAAGCATACAAATAACATTTGTTTATGGAAGAAAGCTCCTAAGCCAATCAATCAAGTTCAATCATGCAATCATTAGTGCAATTAAAATTCTGTGCTTAAAGACATTCAGAAAATGAGCACATTGATGCAACTAACTAATATATCTTAGTGGAAACTTATTTGACAGACCTTGGGCAAGGAAAGAACTGGCAAAGTACAGTTCTAATAGAACAGAAAGGCAGGCTGAAAGTGGGTCCTTCTCGCTCTTCCAGATCAAGAGACTTTGCGGCTTTCAAACAATAGCAAGAATATATTGATTCCTTACTGAATAGGGTGTACATTTCCTAATAAAAAAGACACTAAGATCGAATGGCAAAATCTGAGATTTATTTTTTTTTTTTTTTAATTGAAATTTTTCAAAGTTTTACAAATAAGAATCCACCCCCCCCTCCCCAACCACCCCACCCCCCCCGACTTCCCAGAACTGAATATAGGATTATTTAACAAATATTTTAAAAATAACATTTGCAATTTATAAAATAATTAATAATAATAATAAAAATCACAGTAATAATATATATAATAATAATATACATAACATAAACTTTAAAATGAATAATATATACTAAAAAAGAAAAAAAAAATAAAAAAAGAAGAGAGAGAGAGAAAGAAGAAAGAAGAAAGTAGACGAAGAATAAAGCATATATATATAAAAAAAAAATATATATGAATAATAATACGTAAAAAATGTATATATATAAAAAAGAAAAAGAAGAAAGAAAGAAAGAAAAAACAATCATTACAAATTATAAAAAGGCTAAATAATATTTTTCAATATCCAAATTATGTTGTATAAAATTTATCCATTTTTCCCATACCGCAAAATTTTTTTCTTGAGATTGCTCCTTTAAGAAAGCCGAAATCTTTGCCATTTCTGCCAAATACGAAACTTTATGAAACCATTCTTGTAAAGTAGGCAAAGATTCCTTCTTCCAATATTGTCCTATTAACAACCTAGCGGCTGTAATCAAATTTAACATCAATATAACCTCCTTAGCATCACAGTCAATAACAATACCTAGTAAAAATAATTGCGGAGTAAATTTTACCCTCCTTTTAAAAATTCTTTGAATATTCCACCATATCTTAATCCAAAAAGCTTTTATATGCTTACACGTCCACCAAATATGGTAATAGGTAGCATCCAAATATCCACATCTCCAGCATTTCGGCTGTAGATTAGGGTACATAATGGACATTTTCTTTGGGTCAAGGTGCCATCTATAAAACATCTTATAAAAATTCTCTCTTAAATTTTGCGCTTGTGTGAATTTAACATTTCTTATCCAAATAAGTTCCCAAGTATCCATTGAAATCGTTTCACCAATATTCTGTGCCCATTTAATCATACAATCTTTAACTAGTTCAAGTTCTGAATCTAATTCCACTAAAACCCCATAAACTCTCTTAATATGGGTTGGCCTTTGATCTCTTACTTGTTTTAAAAAAATTTCATCTTCTCTAAGCCAGCCCATTTTACAATCCATCTTCCATCTATCCACTATTTGTCTATATTGGAACCATGAATAAGTTAAGTTTTCATGTGTTAATTCTTCCAAAGATTTTAACTGCCAGTCTTGGCCATCCCATCTTAGTAACTGTACGTAAGAGACCTTGTCCATATTTACCCCTTTCCTTATACCTTCTATGGCATGCCGAGGTATAGCCCATAATGGTATTTTGAAGTCACTTTTATAATACTTTCTCCACACTCTTAGCAAAGAGTTTCTTATAATATGAGACTTAAAAACCCAATCCACTTTTTTATTAAATATTAAATAGGCATGCCATCCAAAAAATAGGTCCCAGCCTTCCAAATGAAGTATTTCTGTATTTGTTAAATTCACCCAGTCGCTAATCAATGTCAATACTACAGCATCATAATACAATTTCATATTTGGTACCTTGAGTCCACCTCTCTCACGAAAATCTTGCATTATTTTAAGTTTCACCCTTGGTTTTTTCCCTGCCCAAACAAATTTATTAATACCTTTTTGCCATTCATCTAAATTACGTTCGTTCTTTAAAATAGGTAACATTTGAAACAAAAAAATAAACTTTGGCAGGACATTCATTTTAATAACTGCAATTCTGCCCATAAGGGATAACTGTAAATTATTCCAGTTTTTTAAATCCTTCTGTACCTCCATCCACAGCTTTTCATAATTATTTTTATACAATTTTACATTAGAAGCAGATAATGTAACCCCCAAATATTTTACCTTATCAACAATTTCAAAGTCTGTTAAGTTAACTAGAGCCTGTTTATCACCATTAGTCATGTTTTTAGCTAATATTTTGGTCTTATTATTATTAATTTTAAAGCCAGAAACACGTCCATATTGTTGAATCAATTGTAATAATTTCACCACCGAAGAAACAGGTTGAGACAAAGTAACAACCAAGTCATCTGCAAAGGCTCTTAATTTATATTCTTTTTTATTAATTTCTATTCCTTTTATTTCTTGAGACTCCCGAATTTTAATCAACAAAATTTCCAGTGTTAAAACAAACAATAACGGAGACAACGGGCATCCCTGTCTTGTTCCTTTTTCTATTACAAAAGCCTCTGACAAACCCCCATTTACAATAATTTGAGCAGTCTGTTTTTGATATATATTGGATAATACTTGTAATATATTTTGTCCAAAATTCATCTCCTTGATTAAACACAGCATAAACTGCCAATTCACTTGGTCAAAGGCTTTTTCAGCATCCAAAAATATCAGGCCTGCAGAGACTTGGTTATTCTTTTCTAAATACTCTAATAAATTAATAATTTGTCTAACGTTATTCTTCATATACCTTCCAGTTATAAAACCCGATTGATCCCTATGTATAAACTGCTGCAAGATCCCCATAAGCCTGTTAGCTAAAATTTTTGCAAAAATTTTATAATCCACATTTAAAAGAGATATAGGCCTATAATTTTTAGGCAAAGTAAGATCTTGACTATCTTTTGGAATCAATGATATAAATGCATTACGCCAGGATGGAGGGATCTCTAACCCCTGTAATAAATTATTAAACAGTTCACACAACGGTTGAATCATCTCTTCTACTAAAGCTTTATAATAAATAGATGTCAACCCATCCGTACCCGGCGCTTTGCCCAATTTCAATTGTTTAATAGCTGTAACAATTTCTTCCTTAGTAATTAAACCGTTAATCTTTTTTTCCTGATCTTCTGTTAATTTAGGAAAGTTAACTTTGCCTAAATAATTATTTATATCTGTAATTTGAATATTAGTACCCTTATATAATTTTTGATAGTATTCTAAAAAAGATTTCTTAATCAATTCTTTCTGATAAACCAATTTACCATTATAATTTATTTTATCTATATTCCTCTGTTTCTGTTTTTTTCTTAACTGATAAGCCAACCATCTCCCTGGTTTATTAGCATTACAAAATGTATTTTGTTTCATAAATAGCAAATTAGTTGCAGCTTGATCAGCCATCAGCATGTTAAATTGTGTTTTTAACAATTTTAAAGCTCCTTTAACCTTTTCATCTAAGGGATTTGAAATTAAAAGTTTCTCTTTTAATTTAATCTCCTCTTCCAAGTCTTTCCGTTTCTGAGTCTGTTTCTGTCTATGCAAATTATTCATTTTTATCAAAATACCACGCATGAAAGCTTTACTTGCATCCCAGACCATTGACATTGATGTTCCCTTGTTCATATTTAAAGTAAAATATTCCTTTAAACATTCCTTTAATTTATGAACATTTTTTTCTTGTTTAAATAAATTCTCATTCACCCTCCAGGATCTCCTATCTTCCTTCTCTACAAACAGTTCCATCCAAACTGGACTATGATCGGACAATGTCCTAGGAAAAATTTTTACATTCTTCACCCTGTTGTATAAATCTGTTGTGATCAAAAAGAAATCAATTCTTGAGAAAGATTGGTGTCTATCTGAGAAAAACGTAAAATCCTTTTCTTCTTGATTACGTTCACGCCAATAGTCTCTCAATTCCCAATCTTCTTTCATATCAAAAAAGGCTTTAGGTAATTTAGCCTGTTTAAAAAAGGTAGAAGAGCCTTTTTTGTCCATTTGTATATCTAAGACACCATTCCAGTCTCCCATTAAAATCACAGATCTATAGTCCAACAAAGTTATTTTCTGATGTAGTAACCTATAAAATTGCTCCTGTTGCTGGTTTGGTGCATACAACCCCACAATAAGAATTTTCTTGCCATATAAACCAAGTTCAAGCATAACATATCTTCCGTAAGGATCTGATTCTAACAAGGTAGCAGATAAATTCTGTTTAACATAGATTACCACACCCCCTTTCTTCCCAGGGGCGGGAGATACAAAATGAGATCCCAAGCGAGGATTATTTAAATATTTTTGATCTTTAGCTGTAATATGAGTTTCTTGCAAGCAAATAATATCATTGTTATGTTGTTTCAAATAGTGGTAAATTTTTTTTCTCTTTTGAGGAATGTTTAATCCATTAACATTCCAGGACAGGAGCTTTGCCATCTCCCTTGGCCTTCAGCCTGGAGAAGATCCGCTCAAATTCTGCTGCTGATGAATATGTAGCAGAGCTTTTGGGTCTTGCTCCTCCCACCGGCACTGAAGCAATTTGCTGAGTAGATTCTTCAATTTCTTTTTCTTTTTCTTTTTTCTGTTGTTCTTTTTCTTTACGTTTATGTGCTGCACGGGTCATTCTCTGTTCTTTAACCTCTGGTTGAGACATCCATACCACCTGTCCAGCAGTCATCATCCCTGTACCTTCAGATTTCTGTTCCATCTCTTTGTCACTCAAGACTTTATGCATCATGGGCAAAGGAGAGCCTGCTCCCAGGACCGTTTTATAAAATTCCTTAGCTTTAGCAACTGTATTAAGTCTATAACGTGTCCCCGCATGGCTCAAAACAATGCCCATCGGAATCTCCCATCTAAATGGCATTTGTCTTGCTTTAAGTTCATTTACTAAAAAAGCAAAATCTTTTCTGCTTCTTAAAATTTTAGGTGGAATTTCCTTTAAAATAATAATATCTTGGGCAGCAATCTGAAATCTTTTATTATAAAAAGTTTGTAGAATCTGATTTCGCAAAGACTTCTTAGCAAAATATATCACCACATCTCTAGGCAAATTCCTCTGTTTTGCAATCCAAGAATTAACTCTATAAATTCTTTCCACATCCCCACGTAACTCTTCTTTATCAATATTCAAAATAACAGCCAAGTCATTAATCACCATTTCCATCAAATCTTGAGTTTTATCTTCTTTCAGACCCCTTATTCTCAAAGCATATTCCATCTGTCTATACTGGAACATAAGAATATCATCTTGTGAAGTCTCCACTTTTTTCTCCATATCTTGAAATTTATAATCCAAAAGTTCAACTGTTTCTTCAATTTCCTCTACTCTGGAGTCCAGCTTCACAACCACTGAGGCCATTCCAGATAGAGCTAGAAGTATATCATCCCTCAAAATAGCATTATTCTGTTCTAAAAGCTCCTTCATCTCTTTCTTCATTTCCTCCTTAGTTTCAGATTTATTCTGGTCCAAAAGTTGTTTCATTTCCTCCCTAAACTGTGAGACGGCACTTACCATTATTTCTTTAATGTCTTGTGCTGATGTGCCAGATGGGGGAGGTGAAGGTGAAGTGGATTTAGGTTGCTGCACTGAGGGTATTATTTTAAGTTGTTGTTGCACAGTAGAAGTAGCAGGAGAAGAAGTTACTTTAGAAGCTGCAGTAGCTGGTTGTCGTTTTGAAGCCATTTTAATTTATCTTCCTTTCTTCTTAAAAATACCGATAAAAATAAGTAATCCAAAAAAAAATTAAAAATAAGATAAAATAGAATAAAATAAGATCAATCTAAAAGTCCCCAAGAATAAAAAAGTAAAAAAGTAAAAAAAAAGCAGTATTAAACAACAATTCAGCCGATCCGTCTTTTAAAGGAAAAAACTTTCAAAACGCCATTTTACTTTCACTCTCACTTTTCCGCCCGAAAAAAAAGAGAAAGCTCAAAAAAATAAAAAAAAATCAGCACATACTAAATAAACTAAATAAACTAAAAAAAGATAAAATAAAGCTAAACTATAAATAAAATCCTTTAAACAGTTCTGTCCGGTTTAAGATTACTCACGGTTTCTTTAAGTACGGAGATGGTAGCGGCGTCTCGCTTTGTTTCCGAAGAAACAAAGACAGCTGAGAGGCGGAGAAGGCAATGAACTCCGAGGGAACCCTCTTTCTACCCCCCTAAAAATAAAAATCCAGGGAGAGTTAAGAGGTTCTACCTCTATTCATGCGATCTCTACCCCTTCCCTTCGCCCGGGAAGGGGATTGCGAGCCGCGGGCCAGCTGGTAAACGCTGTGCTCCGCGGATCTGACACCTTCTCAGGAGGACGGCTACAAAGTAGCCGCCATCTCCACCGCTTTAACCACCGGAAGTTCTCCATCAAAATCTGAGATTTATTGATACTGGATCACAGACAGCTGAGATTCCTATCAGTAACTAAACTGAACATTTTGATAAATGAAGATGAGAATCGACTCCCGTTTCTGTCTGACTGGTACTTCTCCCGGAAAGACAGTGTAAAACATAATCTGAAGAATCTTGCCTGAATACCAGAAGAATGTAAGAAAGTAACAGGACACTGCTCACCCCTCCATCCGATCCTCCCAGGGACAGTCCCCTCTCTGCTATTCTGTGGATGAAACAACAATCTCAAAACACAGGTTTTGCCCCAGTTGTTTACAGATGCTTTTGAAATACAACTTGCCACCGTTGATAGAGAAGAAACAGAAAAGGCAAGCCCTCCCCCCCTCCGTGGATTCATAGCAGGTAAATCAGCATAACAGGTGGCTCTCATTATCTGTGGAGCTTCATTCTCAAGGGCTCAAACCATGGATTAAAAAAAAAAACTGTAGAGGTGACCTTAAAAATAAATAATTTATGCATAGACAAAAGGTATCCAGAATGTTGTGCTCATGTAAAGGGGGGGGGAGCTCCAAGCTACAGTTACATTAACTTTTCTGCATGATCTGGACCCCGTTTAACAATTATAGAAATAAAATACTATAGATGATGAGGGCCACCTGTGCAACACATATTACTCAGAAAGAGGCAGAGTATTTACTAATAAAAACGACAAAATCCAAAGCTCAACGCTTACAGTCATTTCCAGATAGGGTGACTGGGAAAAAGCCTCAGCTAATATTGTGTTTCTTGCTCCAAAGGTTAGCAACAAGTTTTGAATTACAAGTGAGCAAAGGATAGGAAAATCTAGTTCATTATTAATGAAATATTGTTCTATAGGCAAATGGGAATCTATAGGCTGAATAGAGGAGTTTAAAGATGCAGTGGAGAGAATGAAAAGGGAACAGCTGAAGTACCTTCTGTGATGAAAAGAGCTGCCCATCTTTATTGAAAAAAGTGAAAAAGCCCTTAATTAAAGCTTTCTGTTCTTTCTGTGTTTACCATTGAGGGCCACTTGTGTCATACACATTACTCAGAAAGAGGCAAAGCATTTGCTAGTGAAAATGACAAAACAGCATAACTAACATTATGGCTGGTCAAGGTGTACTTTTCCAGCTAAAATTTAGCAGCTGAAAACAAATATTCCCTCCTTACCTTATTAACACACGAATCCCTATTAGCCTTAATAAACTATTACCAGTTCTGTCAGAAACAGGAAAAGGGGGTTTAATAATTATTAATCATGAATATAAATCTATAATCTTTGTGTGCTTAGCATCTTGCAAGTAACTTAGCTTTTTTTCCACAATATTAAATTTCAAATATAGGTAGAACAACAATTTAGGCCAGGCATGTCAAACTGCTGGCCCGCAGGCTGGATGCATCATGCTAAAACTGCACCCACCCCATGTCGCGAGTTTGACATGCCTGATTTAGGCTATCCAGGGAATAGGGCTGGCAAGAGAGAAAACAGTGAATGCGACTCCTATTCTCAGCAGCATACTACACTGTTTAACGAGACCAAAATATACATTCATGCTGAGCCAATCAACATCTCATAGGAATATCATATGCTGAAGCAGAGGCATATAGCAGAGTATAAAACTGCATATACGTAAAATAAATGTCGTGTTTATATACACAAACAAACATACTCATTAACAGAGGTACAGTATGTGTCCTTGGGAGGTGTATCTAAGATAGAGCAAACTATTCTAGATAGGTGTTCTATCTATCTATTTTCTATCTATCTATTTCAGGATCCAAATTCCAAAATATGAAAATACAATGGAGACAATTTGGCAACCTGGTTTTAAATTATGGCCAGTATCATGCTCATTTGGTATCACTGTCAATAAACAATAGCTAGAGAGGAGGTATAATCTCATGTTTTAAAAGGAAGCACTTGATCCTTTGGCCTTCCCAACCTTAATTCCATGCCTGTTAAATGAAATAATAATGGCAATTTATGTCAAAAGCATGTTTGAATGTAAATAGAATGCAGACCAAAAAGTATGTTTCATGTTAAAAGCTTTAAATCAGGGGAAGGTATGTAAGACTCTAAATGTTGTAGAACAAGAATCCCCAGATATTTCACCAATAGTCCTCTTGACTAGGACTGGGAAAATTAGTGGAATGTGGAGTCTTTAGTGCTCTCTTGACTGTTTTCTTATAGACATTTCATTACTGAACTAGCTAGAAAAATCAGTAGGAGTAAGCATGGGGTTTGCTCCCAGTTTATATACAATAGCTTACCTGCCAGCATTAATGGGGATGTGGTTTTCTCCTTGATAGTTCCTTGATTAGGGATTGTTTTCTGCTTGATAGTTTGCCTGGTGTTCTCATCCCTGCTTATCTGGTTATTGGCTGCTGGAGAACATATGTTCTATGACTTTTTCTATTCTTTTTATTGTCTCCTTTGAAGGGTGTGAAAATAATGTTTCATAATGTGTACTGGAAGTCCTTGTTTAACAATGCTATTGTGACTAGGTAACTCTGTTGTTAAGTAACATGGCCATAAACTGAAAAATTATGTGACTGCACCACTTTGTGTCATCTTAGTGATGACCCTCCTGGGTGTCACTGTAAAAAAAAAAAAACTGCACAGGTTGTTAAACAAGGATCTCAAATGATTGAAACTTTCAACTTCCTGCCAGTGTCCCCACTGACTTTGCTTGTGGGAAGCCAGCAGGGAAAGTTGTAAATTGTGATGATCACATGGCTGGGGGATGTTGCATCATCCACAAGTATAAGGTCCAGTCATAACTACCATTTGTTCAGAGTCATCATAAATTCAATCACTCAACAAGGGGACAACTGTATGCTCTTTATAAAGCAAACAGAAAAGCCATCACCACACTATTCTGAAGTTTTTAACAAGGACATTCTGTGTCTAGAAAAAAAAAATATTTACCTACGGATTTGCTCAGCTTCTTCCCTGTTAATTATGGCATCTGTTATCCCTCTTCCACACTTCCGAGGGGTACAGCCTAGATAATGCATAGGAAAAAAAGAAGACAGTATTTAAATATTTTTCCCTGCTGTATTTGTCTTTAAAGGTATTATATACAGCTGTATTAATACATCAGTATTAAGAATCTGAGAACCCATACATTACTATCATTATACTTCATACTTTTATTTAATTCTCACAATAATTATTGTATCTTACAACTATCCATTTCAATTTCCTCTGCCATTTTTCTAGGTCTTATGCATTAGCTAAAGAATCTGACATTGTAATTTTCAAAATTATACAAATTATTGTTAAAATATCCATATTTTCCCCCCAGAAATGATCCTCTTATAATTATAAACATTGCAACAAATCTAAATAATGTTTTTTGTCTAATCCATCAAAAAAATTTTGGTTTATTTGGAAAAATCCACTGATGGCTATAAATGCCAATTTTAATGCCTCAAGTTTTGACAGATTAATAATCTTTGGTAAAATTATAATTATAAAATTATGAGTTGCTCAGATTGCAAAAAGTAATTCTATATAGAATTTGAAAATAATGTTGCAAATTGAAATAAATTCAGTGTTGAGCTGACTTTTTCAATACTGAAAAAAATATAAAATAGAAGGTATTACTATAGAATCTCAGAATTCTAGTTATTCTTAAATATCCAACCTATATTTATGTCATTTGAATGTAAAAGACAGTTATCTCTAACTTTGCAAATCTTTATCCCAAAGGTACTTTTTCATGAGGCAACTGGACTTGCTTGTTTTTCTTTGAAGACGTTTTGCTTCTCATCCATGAAGCTTCTTGAATGAGAAGCGAAATGTCTTCAAAGAAAAACAAGAAAGTCTAGTTGCCTCGTGAAAAAGCACCTTTGACTGAGAATCTCCATAGACATTTTGTATTTCTGTTAGGAGTAGTTGAAGTTAATATTCTATTCCAATGGTGGCGAACCTATGGCACATGTGCCAGAGGCAGCACTCAGAGCCCTCTTATTGGGCACATGTGCCATTGCCCCAGCCCGCCTCCCCCCCACAGCCCCCTCCTCACCAGCAGCCTCCCCGGAGTCGCCCCCGGGCATGCCCCTCACGGAGCAGCACAGCCAAGCACATGGCAGCAGGGACAAGACTCCACCCTCACGCCCCATCGCGCATAGATGGTGTGGGGCACGGGTGGAGGGGATAGCTGCCATGACTCTCCTGGGCCACCTGGGTGATCTTCTACGGCAGGCTGTGGAGGTGGTGGGTGGTCCTGCAGGCAGGTGGGGCGGGGGCATAGCGGGAGCAGGGAAAGGGGGCGGGGCAGTTTTGGGGCACTTGGTCTCTAAAAGGTTCGCCATCACTGTTCTATTCTGTTGGTTTTGCTTCTTGGATATTTACAAAACTATCACATTTCAAGGAGCATCTGGGGAAGAATTATTAATTCAACTTCTTCAAGTGAAATAAACAAATACTGAGTTACAAGCTTGATCTTTTCGAGTAAATTAGACTCTTGAGACCAACTTTTTCTGTACTCTTAAAGAGTAAAAATGACAGGAGAAAACAAATGATCTGTCTTCAGTCGAAACTTCAAACATGGTATTTTAAGAAACAAAATATATTGAAACATATACCAGAGAACCCTGCAGCATTTTGTGTTAGATTCTAAAAAGATGCTGGGGATGCAAATGTAGTACCAGTCTGCAAGCTAGGCAGCTTATACAAAATTAAAACCAAACAGAAAAAGACCAACAAGATAAAATAATAGGAAACACATTAGAGCGATGCTGAAATCATAACCATAAGTTGAACTTATTTATTCCCGTGGTCTAATGCCTTGGGACGAAACGGGTTTTCAAGATTTTATAAAAGGACAGCAGGGTTAAGGTCATCTGAATCAGGTGGAAAGTAGGTAGCTGTTTCCATAAAGCAGGCATTGTGAGAGAAAAGGCACAATTCCTACTAAATGGTATTGATTCATGGAGCAGACCCAAAGCAAACCCATTCTGTTACATCTTGTCAGATGGGCAGAAACAACTGAAGACAGGCAATCTAATCTATAATTTGAATCTGTACCATAAAGAGCTTTATAAGTAGTAACCAGTAATTTGAAGTATTTGAAGTCTATTGAGAGCAAGTGCATTTTGCAGACTCTGGCTACCGTACCTATGCTGCCACATTCTGGACCAGTTGTAAGTTCCTGATAGTCTTCAAGGGCAGCCCTAGGCACAGCGCATTGCAATAGTCCAAACAGGAAGTGCTCGAGGCATAAGTGAGCATGAACAGAATATTTCAATCCAGGAAGGGGTATAACCAGTACACAAGATGGTATTTGCAAAAGTCCTTCTCACCATCGTTTCTGCTGCTCTTCAAAATCCAAGAGAAACCAAAAATCTAGCCCAGTTCTGTCTGGAGAAATGCAACCCAATCCCCGAAACAGAGGTCCCAGTACCCAGAGACCCCCCCTAGAATCCATTCCCATTCAATTTAGTTTCTTTTCAGATTTGTTCTTCCTCGCTCAGGCTCCCATGACTCCCAGATATTGGGACAGAAAACATCACTTGAATGACCCTGGGTTGAGATACATACATGAGTATCATCAGTATATTGGTGATACTAAACCCAATGACAACAAGTGAGCCCACCTAGTGAGTACATAAAAATGTTAAATAGGAATAAACAGTGCTATTTATAGATCCCTGAGTAATGTTGACATAGGTATAGACATAGGTAGTTATAGACATAGGTAGTTTTAGTTCTCCAAACTAAAGCAGATAAAAGAAAGCAGCGTTACACATAGATTTAGGAAGGGAAATTGTAATACTGTAATAGTAAATTACCAAAGCAATAGATAAACCCTGAAAAAGACTGGAGATAAATTACAGCTCCCAGGATTCTCATCAAGGATACAGCTAGATGTGATCTAACTGAATTTTGATATATTTAAGAAACTTTGCTGTCAGGTTACAGAATAGGGAACACTGTCAAATGCATCTCACGGGTGCCCCCAAGTGGAAAATTGGTAATATGAAAATTGCAACAGAAATGCAAAAAACGAGCAGCCATTCAGGAATAGACTGAATTGATCCAGCAGAGTATGGTCAGAATATATTCATTTAAGAATATGTATTTGAATAGGTCAAAATAAAGTATTTTTTAAAAGTTAAAATACTTTAAAATTAAATTCATTTTTAATACTGAAAATGCAAACCTCTCCTTTCAAAGCATGTTAAAACTGTAATTTCACCCTCAAAAACCAATTGTCAGTAAAAATTGGATCCCAAAAATAAAAAAAATGAATCTAAAAACATTATTCAGAGCATGCATCTAACAAGTGCAAAAACACAAACGTGAGACATAAATCCCATGTATTATTTCATTCTATATGAAATCAAATATCTGCCTCTACAGTTAAAAGGACTAATGACTATTTTTGATTCCGATTTTTAGTTCTGATTTTAACTTAGTGATTCTGAAGGTACAAAATCACAATTATGAGTAATGAACTGTTATGAAAACTCTTGTTTTTAGAAAAGAAAAGAAGAACTTTTGAATCAGATTATATTGACACAAGCAGACAACTATAAGAATCAGGGAGGTTTCTTATAAAAAATATGGATCCAAGACATAGGTTGTTTAAAATTTACATGCTTATTTTACGAGAAAGTTTCCCCATGCAGCCATAAAATCCCATTTGACTCCAGAGACTCAACAGAACTGGTGAGTAACATCATCAGCATGTAAAACCATGGATATTTGGGATAGATTCAAGTTTGTTTGTTTTACACATTTCCCATTTTATGCTATAGCAGCACTGACTGCATAGGGTTTTTTTCCCTTTTGCATCCCTTAGATATAGATGTAGTCTGTGAGTTGATACTCCTTTAGGGGAATCTTTTGTACAATTCCCCCTCCCCCCCCCAAAAAAATAAGGCTATAATGTCTTGAAATTCGAGTTTTTGCACTTACGTATTGCTAATAGTACATGATTTTTACTATAACATCTCTCTGAGTGAATATAGCTTATAATTCTCCAAAGGGAACACTCAGAAGTCATAAAAGTGAGGGCCTTCTCCCACATACTAGAAAAAAATAGCTTTTTAACTCCTATAAAAACCAGAAGAGCCAAAGCTTGAATTAGTAATTGACAATAGAGCTTTAGTTTTTTGTAAACATTAATAATAATGATGGTGATGATGATGATGGAAGGGACCTTGCTCTTCTCTGTACTCTTTCTAATCTCAACATCTTTTTTACATCGTGGTAACCAAAACTGGATGCAGTATTCCAGGTGTGGCCTTACCAAAGTATTGTAAAGTAGTATTAATACTTCACGTGATCTTGATTCTATCCCTCTGTTAATGCAGCCTAGCACTGTGTTGGCTTTTTTGGCAGCTGCAGCACACTGCTGGCTCATATTTAAGTGATTGTCCACTAGGACTCTGAGATCTCTCTCACAGTTACTACTATTGAGTAAGATACCATCTATACTATACCTGTACATTTGGTTTTTCTTACCTAAATGTAGAACCTTGCTTTTTTCACCACTGAATTTCATTTTGTTAGATAGCACCCAGTATTCGAGTCTGTCCATATCCTCCTGTATCTTAAGCCTGTCTTCTGGAGTGTTGGCTATTCCTGCCAGCTTGGTGTCCTCGCAAATTTGATGAGTTCCCCATCTATCCCCTTGTCCAAATCACTGATGAAGATGTTGAAGAGCACTGGGCCTAGAACAGAGCACTGGGGCACCCCACTACACACTTCCCTCCATGTAGATGCAGTTCCACTGAGGACCACATGCTGAGTACGGCCGATCAGCCAGCTATGAATCCATCTGGTGGTGATGCTGTCTAACCCACATTTTTCTATCTTATTGAGTTGTGATCTACTTTATCAAATGCCTTACTGAAGTCCAAGTAAATTATATCCACAGCATTCCTCTGATCCACTAATTTTGTCACTTGGTCAAAGAATGCAATAAGATTTATCTGGCATGATCTGTTTTTGATAAACCCATGTTGGCTTTTAGTGATGACTTTGTTTGCCTCTAGGTGTTCGCTGATTCGTTGTTTGATTATCTTTTCCAGAATCTCTCCAGGTATTGAGGTCAGGCTGATAGGTTTAAGGTTTCCTAGATCTATTTTTTTTCCCTTTTTTGAATATGGGAACTACATCAGCTCTTTTCCAGTCCTCTGGTAGTTCCCCAGTGCTCCAGGATCTTTGGAAAATATAGTTCGGTGATTCTGAGATCACATCTGCCAGTTCCTTGAGAACCTTGGGGTATAATCCATCTGGTCCTGGTGATTTGAACTTGTCTAGGCTGGTTAGGTGCTCACTTACCATTTTCTTGCCTATCTTAACTTGTGTTTCTGTTCTGTTTTTTATGGCACTGGTTTTGACAGGTTGGACTGTTTTTTCCCTTTGTGGAAAGACAGATGCAAAAAGTGAGTTAAATAGTTCTGCTTTCTCCCTGTTGCTTGTCACTTTCTTGCCATTTTCCCCCACTAATGGACCAATCATTTCCTTAGCTTTTTTCTTGTTTTTTACATGTTGAAAGAAGCTTTTTTTGTTATTTTTGACTTTGGTCGCAAGCCTTAGTTCATTTTGAACCTTAGCTTTCTTTACTTCATCTTTGCAGGCTCGGACTATTTGCTGATATTCTGCCTTAGTTATGTGCCCCTCTTTCCACTTTTTATGTCCTTTTTATCTTTCAATTTATCAGAGAGTTCTTTAAGCAGCCATGCTAGTTTCTTTTGAGAGCTGTTATTTTTCTTCTTTGTTTGTGCTAGACTGGGCTTTTATTATCTCACTTTTCAAAATTTCCCAAGCTTCTTGAGTTATTTTCCCCTTGAGGATTCTCATCCATGGAATCCTTCCCAAGCCCTCTCTAAGTTTATTGAAATTAACACTCTTAAAGTCCAAGACTCTAGTTTGACTGTGTTCTATTGCTTGTGCTTCCATAATGTTGAATCCCAGTATTGCATGATCACTTCCCCCCAGGGTTCCTGTGGCTTCAACACCTTCTATCATTTCATCTCTGTTAGTGAGAATTAGATCCAATATGGCTAATCCCCTAGTTCCCTTCTCTATTTTTTGGGAGACAAAGTTGTCTGCTAGGTTTGTTGGGAATCTGTTTGATCTTCCACATGGTGCAGAGTTTGATGTCACGGTAATTAAAGTCCCCCATTATTATTGTGATGTGCTTTCTACATACCTTAGTTAGCTGACTAGCAAAAAGTTCATCTATTTCCTCTGTTTGGTTGGGTGGCCTATAGTATACACCTATGCCAATATCATTTTTCCCCCTTTTATATTGACCCAAATGCATTCAAGACAGTTTTCATCATTGTTGTGCTCTATGTCTATAGAGATGTAGTTATTTCTTATATAGAGAGCAACTCCACCTCCTCTTTTATTTGGTCTATTTCTTTTAAATCCCTCTAGCTGTGTGTTCCATGTGTGAGTTTCATCCCACCATGTTTCTGTAATGGCAACAATATCATATCTGTCCTCATTAACCTGAATTTCTAGTTCACCCTGTTTACTGTTCATACTCTGTGTATAGACATTTGAGTTCTTTATGACTGACCCTGTGTTTACTTTCTACATAACTTGTGAGGTGCCTGAGTTTCCCTATTTTCTTACCACCTGTTTGGTTAGTGCACTTTCTGTGGCACTCGCTATTAAAAGCTTGATTTTACTTGACAGCAAGGTTGATATTCTTGTACATACACACATCTATGTTACATGTGCTGATAGCCCATATGATGGCACAGCATGGATGTAGTCTATGATTTCATAATGGATGTATAATTTTCTGCCATATTTGCAATGCACAATATATACTGTGTAATTTTTAAAACTTGGTTTAATTATATGAACATACTACGTATGTGATTTGTCCATGCCAGTGCGGATCCTATATAAGATTCATTGACACTAGTGAATCAGAGTTATGCTCTTGTCTCATTGCAGCATATATTACAGAAATGATTTGTAATTTAAAGGTTATTTCGAGTGAAATCTTCTGTAAAAATATAGAGGATCCATGCTTCATGCCAGTAGTTTGTAACAACAAATCAGCAATTTTATCTCTGTGGTTTACAGACAGAAATGTACCTAATGATTTGGCCTGGGGTCAATCTCATACCTAAATCCAGAGTAGTGACATTGATCCATGGCTCAACATCATAATAATAATATTAAAATTTGTGATTCTTACAGTCCTGTCCATGTATGTGCTTTCTTACTTCGGTTTATGGAAATCCCATGTAAGGATCTTATACACTCTATCTTTGGACTTTTATGGTACCTAAAAATATTGTCACTGACTTTTAGAAATCTCTGAATCAGATATAAATCCTGGACATAAGGTAGGATATTGTGTAGAAATCATGAAAAATTACATGAATCTTATTTTCCACTATAAAATACCGAATTATAGACAGTCCTTGAGTTACAACTATAATTGAGCCTGGCAATTATGGTTATAAATCATGTTGGTTATAAAGTGGATAATCATGTGACTATGCCTGTTTTAATGACCTTTTTTACACTGGTTGTTAAGCAACACTATTATTTGCTATGGCTGGTTTTTGCAATAAAATGGAAGTAAAAACACTGGTTTCCAGTAAAAGTGTTATCAATCACAGTCACGTGACCGTGGGGTGCTATGAACAGTTGTAAAAAATTGTTAGAAATAAAGAAAGGAAAATAGAATTGGTTTCATTCCATCAAGATTAAAATAGACATGTTAGTATTATTTCTGGTAACATCTTAATGGAGTTTTGCTGACATCAGGACCGGAATGATAAGGTTTTAAGGATTTGCTTATAGATAAAGAGATGGAATATGGGAAGAAAAGATCATTTTTTGTATTTTAAGAGAAGATGATAAGTTATTACATTTTTTATAACTGTGATGAAGGGTGAGTTATTTTTATATATTTTTTCTTTATTGTGTTATTTTTTCTTTTCTAATTTCTTTTTGCACCTTTTTTTTTAAATTTGAATTAATTTTTATCATTGTAATTGTAACGCAGGTCCTATCATTCAATACCTTCAAACCGTTTATGGCTGTCATAATCCTCTGAGCAGGGTACTTCAATGAATTTGTCTGGGATACTTTCACCATGATGAGCCAATACTTCTGTAACTCCATCTTCACTGAACAAGTAGCTTCTACTCAAAAGATAACCCAGCATGGCAGATGAGACAAGGAAAGCTGCTGTTAACCATTTTCGGCGTGAATCTTTTTGAATATTATCTTTCACATCACTGAAAACAAAAAAAGATGCTTTTATTCTCTTAATAAATATTTTGACTTTGGATTTTACAATGAAGTTTTAAAACCTGTGTCTGGCTTTCATACTTTTACTGTGTATTATTTTTTCATCATTATTTTAATTTTAAAATAGCTGTCTTGTGATTATAATACACTATAGTATCAGTTGATCTGGGAAAATGTTTTATTGAAGAGCAGAACATGCATTTTAAAAAGCAATAAATATAATTCACACAATTTGCACTTCTTTAAACACAAAACTAATGAAGTACACTTGTATTCAATAACATGGGCCCAATGACTACATCTTTAGTACATAGTCCTCATTTACATCAAGTAAGAAACTATCATTTTCTGAATCTCAGGATTGGAAAAAATAGCCTTTAGCTATTAAAGTTCCTGATAATTTCTCTTGACAAGTTATGGCTTACTAAAAATACATGTTTTCTTGAATATCAAGGAGAACTGAAACACCTTAATTTTACCTCTGTTTTCTTTAAAATCAGTGATTTGTAGTAAGTTGCAGGAAGTATTAGTATAAAGTGTTATAAAGAGCTAGAACAGTGTGGGGTTTAGATTTTGGATTTGCACTGGAGAAACTCAGGTTCAAGGTTTCACACAAAGAGAATTCACTGGTTTACTTTGGAGACAATTCAGTCTCTCTTAGCCAACCTACCTCAAAGAATTGTTGTGAAGATAAAATGTGCAAATATCCCCACATAAGATGCCTTGACAGCTGACATAAAAAGCAGAATACTATCTTTATTGTACTTAATATTTTTTTTTAATCTAGCTCTTCCCCCATGGCCTTTCCTATTTATATCCTCACAAGTCGCCTGCATATATTCTTCAACAGTGAAGGGGCACAGGGCAGAAAACATCCTGTAGCCAAGAAGGCTCCACACCCATTTGCACTACTCGGGTGACCCTGAGGACACAGGTAAATCTCCAAATGGCCACGACTCTAAAAGAATGCAAATGACTAGCTGTCTGAAAAGAGTATAAATCCTTCCATTCCCCGCCATCCAGTCAGAGTTGAAGAAGCTTCTTGGATGAGAAGCGAAACGTCTTCAAAGAAAAACAAGACTGTCCAGTTGCCTCCTGAAAAAGCACCTTTGGGACAATCATGACCTGGATGACTGAGAATCTCCATGGACATTTGCCTGCATGTAAGTAATTCAAGATTATCCAAAAGATTCTGTGGCTGAGTGAGGAAATAGGGCAATTCTAGTTTAAATCCAGTGCTCTGCTAGTACAGTAAGGATACTAGGCAGAGGTCATTAAGAGGAACACCATGATCCAGAATAAACATAAAAGTATAATACTGGCCAAGTAACAGAACAAACATCAAGCCCCAAAAGGAAGCTGAAGTTGTTTTAATGAACTTAACAAACTGTTCCATAAAGAGTTCTTTATTTATGCAGCTACCCATGTCATGAATGTGACTCATGAGAATTTCTCTGCACTGCTAAAATATTATAATTTCCCCTACTTTTCCTGCATCATATTCTCAACATGGGAGCTTATAAACGTAGTCCTCGACTTACAACAGTTCATTCAGTGACTGTTCAAAGTAACAACGGCACTGAAAAAAAGTGATTTTCCCCATTTTATGACTTTTCTTGTCACAGTTGTTAAGTGAATCACAGCAGTTAGTAATATGGCTGTATTTTTCACACAATCGTTAAAGGGTCCCCTTGTTAACCTGATCAAACTTCAGATGCTTGGCAACTGACTCATATTTATGACAGTTGCAGTGTCCCAGGATCAAGTGATCCCCTTAACAGCTGTATTACTAACTTAACAACTGCAGTGATTCACTTAACAACTGTGACAAGAAAGTTGGGGAAAAACTCACTTAACAGATGCCTCACTTAGTAACACAATTTTTCAGCTGAATTATGGTCTTAGGTTGAAGACTACCTGTCTAAGGTCTAGAACCCAGCTATCAATAACTCCTTAAATGAAAGGGAAGAAGAAACCTTCTTTCTTACAAGCAGATTCCAACCTGTCACCATATTGCAAGAATCTAACTCAGTCCAATTAGAAAGGATTAAGAGCTGCGTTGTGATATATACACACACACAAAGTTTTTTCAGACAGACGGTCTGATTGATTGCACCTTTGGCATTTTGACTGCTATACTGCAGTTCTATTTTTTATAATCTCTTTTGCCTTGCAGCCTCACAACTAGGGGCGTTAAGCAGGCTCAAGTCGCTACTGCGATACATTACAAATTCAGATTTCTTTTTGCTGACAAGAGTTAAAAATTTAAGTGGGAGACTAGTATAGCTATTTCGGATTAATTTGTCCTCATCAGATAGCCACACCCCTTTATGGGATTCGAACCTAGGCAGTCTACATGCTAGGCAGTTGTATTAACCACCTTGGCTTGGTGTACAAAGAGGGAAGGAGAGCCTGTGGCCTGGTGGTTAATAACACTGCCTAGCATGTAGACTGCCCAAGTTCGAATCCCATAAAGGGGTGTGGCTAGCTGATGAGGACAAATGAGTCCAAAATGCTAATCTGAGGAATTCTGGGGGTTGAAGTTCACAAATCATAAAAGGGCCAAGTCTGAAGACCCCTGTTCGATATATATACACACACACACACACACACACACACACACACACACACACGTATACATATACATATACATACATACATACATACATACATACATACATATATATCGAACAGGAGTCTTCAAACTTGGCCCTTTTATGATTTGTGAACTTCAATCCCCAGCATGCTGGCTGAGGAATTCTGGGGGTTGAAGTTCACAAATCATAAAAGGGCCAAGTCTGAAGACCCCTGTTCTAGATTGATCATGCCGGTAGAAGTCCTGAGCCTTGCCACAGAAAATTCTCCAAACTGACACCCGCTGAATATGTCTGACTTTGCCGCAGCCCTCAATCCGGCCCCAAGGACTTATAAAGGAACAGCCACCTCTCTTCTGGATGGATATTCTGGAAAGGATTATCCATCTCGAGAGCGCACCAGACTGGGCAAAGCGCTGCAGAGAAGTGAAAAAAGACAGGCGGCATTGGGCAAGATGAAACGCAAAGAGTGTCTCCTCCTCACATGCGCACCACTGAGCCATAACGGACAGCTACCGTATTAGCAGCTTCGTACCTGCTGCAATGACGACGCTCTTCCGCTCGAACCGCCGCACCTACACCGCCACTCTCCGGAGCCCTTCCGGTCAGTCGCCGCTGAGGAGCCATCGTTCCAATTAAGCAGCTCTACCTGGACCCCTGGGGATGCTACCTCCGAGCGCCCAGGAGGAGGAGGAGGAGGAGGAGGGAGGCAGCTACCAATAGGCTTTCACAGAGCCCGAGCCGGAAGCTCAGGGAGGCGCAATTGATCCCAGAGAACGCGAGCAGTCAGCCATGCTCAATCCAGCCTAGAGCAGCCGAATACTAGCTCCCGGAGGCGGAAAGGTGAGCAGTTAGTTGTTGCTGGAGAGGTGCGTGTGCTGCTATAAGGTAACGGGGAAGCAGGTGTAGAGCTTAAAAGGAGAGGTCGCAAGGTAAGTGGTGGCGCTTGAGCCATGAGCAATATATCTAAGAGGTTGCATTTACTCTGGTTATTTTTCCTGTGCTTTTTGCTGTCTGTCTGTAAGGAGATGAGACCCTGCGAAGGGGTGAATTCAGGACGCTAGTGGTTATTCTCCGTCTTGTGAGTGGTGTTTGATATGCAGATTATTCTGATGTTTAGGCTCTTTTTTAAAATTGTTTTTCTATTTTAAAGGTAATTTGCCCAGAGTCATTCTAGCATGGGGTAACTTCTAAATCTAACAAATAAATGAAAATACATTCTATTTTAAAAAAATATATTTTGTTAATTTTTTAATATAAACATCGATATTTGGTAAACAGCTTGTTGTCTGGGTTTATATTTACAAAGTAATCAACAACAGTTGATTTCTATATTCCAAAATCCACATTATAACTTTGTTTGATTTTCTCTTCTTCCAATAATATTTCTTTGCAACCTACGTTAATACAATTCTTATTAATTTGATAGGTAACAATTAAATATAAAGATTTTTCTAAAATTTCTATAATAATCTCATCAATATCATGCTTCTTTTCTATCTGGTCATCTTGGTTGCCTCCATCCTGTTTACAATTCTTATTTAAATTTATTTTCCCTACAATGTTCAAAACATTTCTACTGGTTAAAATTTTCCCAGAATTAATTACCTTAAAGTATTTAAATCTATTTTCATATCTTAAAAAATAAGAAAAACACACAGAAGAAAGACATAGAAAAAGAAAAGACATGAGAGAGAAAAAGAAGGAAAAAGAGAAAAAAGGAGAAGAAAAAAGAAAATAATATACTACTTAAAATACGTATCCCTCTTGAATTAATATACACTTGTTTCCAAATTCTTTCTGTTCTTTTTACCTATAATTAAACCTATGTTTAATCTTTAAATGTTCCATTTAATAAATCCAATCATCTAATTTTTTAACTATTCAAAACATTTTTCCCATTTTTAGTTATCCATTGGAATTTTCTTAAAATCAATTATATTTAAATATCTAAAACATTTTATTTATGTTAATCATTATCCCACACAATTTTATAGTTCTCATATTGAAAAACAAAAAGAAAAAAGAAAAAAAACTTTCTTACTTAGAGAGTTCATCCCTCTTAAACTAAAATCTTTCAGTTTCTTCAGCCATATTCAAACAAGTGTTTAATTTTTAAATATTCCCTCTGATACACCCCATCATCTAATTCCTCAATTCTCACTTTAGCAGGTGTACCCAGAAATGGATTTATTAAATAGGATTTTCCCCAATATGTCCCAATAATTTGCTATGTACCACATATTTTAGAACTGCAGTATATACAATAAACTTTGATGCAGAAGATCTCCAGTTGCATCCCTGGAATCTCTAGATAGCGCTGAGAGAATAGCAAGCTGCTTCAGTTAACATGGTACCTTCCAGGTATGTTGAGCTACAGCCTTTTTTATCCATGACCAGGTTCCTGACTGGTTCTCAAAAGATTAAGTAGGATCATATCTAGTTAGTGCTTGAACTGGGGACCATAAATAAACATTAGGCTTGGGAATTTGAAAACTTCCTAGAAAAACTTCATAGCAAACCAATTCAATAATGCCACCAAAAAAATTATATGGATGTGTCTGTGAAGTCACCAGGATTTTAATTCAAAAAAGACTTTGGGTTGACATGCTGAGCTATCAGTGTTCTGAATTTGGCATAAAGCAGTTTCCTGCATCAAATATCAAATATCCTCCTTTATTGCCTGCTGTGTATTGTAAAATGTTGCAAAGCTTTTAGATTTAGCAGTATGTCAGATTTAAAAATATTAGTGTAACTGTTTCCCTAATATCTATTTTCTGCTAAATTATTATAAAATGGCTCAGTAACATTTAAACTTTCACAGAATGCTAATAAAATTATGAGGCAGCAACCTTTACTTGGAGAGAAGACTCTCTGAACGTGATGTGACTTTTTTCAAAGAAACATGCATACAGAGATTTCAGTTGTAATGGAAAATTTATGTCATCCTATACTGATCTAAGTGACAAATTTGCTCTTTGAGATGAATGAGGCTTATGGATTGAAGATGAGAAGGAAATGGGAATACAGGTAGTTCTCAACTTATGATTTCAATTGAACCCAAAATTTCTGTTGCTAAGCGAGACATCTGTTAAGTGTGTTTTCCCCCTTTTTATGACTTTTCTTGACAGTGATTAAGTGAATCATTGCAGTTGTTAAGTTAGTAGCATAATTGTTAAGTGAATCTGGCTTCCCCAGGCAATCGTCTTAAATATGAATCAGTTGCCAAGTGTCTGAAGGTTGATCATGTGACCATGGAAATGCTGCAATAGTGGTAAGTGTGAAAAAGGGTCATAAATCACTTTTTAGTGCTGTTGGAGCTTTGAAGTCACTAAATGAACTGTTGTAAGTTGAGGACTATCTGTAAATGGGAAAGGTTAGGCATATAACAGGAGGTTGAACTATTTCTTTCAGAAAGGACAGGTTCAAAGCATCAGTTTCTTATGGGAACAAGAATCATCCTTGGAGTGAAGAGCTTAATGTAACTAAATGGTCTCTTAATTATGAGACAGGTAGGATAATCATTAAGATAACACTCTCTGGGCAACTATCAAGCTTCTCCCAAACCATTACAGAAACAAGAATGCTTGCAGGCAGAGATTCGGAGGCATAAGATATTACAGGGTTTTTAAAAAAAAATAAAACAAAAAGCTAGTGATTGTCAACAATAAGACTCAGGCTATGTATATTGAAGTTTCAATTTGAATTTCTTTCTCTAACCCATACATTGTAACAGACCGAAAGCTACTCATTTCCCAGCACTTACTCACTGGTTGAAACTTACGCACTATTACTGTATTGTAATGGATCAGTCTGATTTGGATCCTTAGTTTCTGACTTTGCACACACTAGTGCTCGGTTAGCACTAGGATGGGCTGATCCAGTCATTGTCAATTTAAATCTTCCCCACAAGCTGTTGTAAGGGTAAAATGATTGAAAGCATAAAAATGAGACTGTATCTGGTGTTAGGAAGCATACTTCTACTGATATAATAAGATGGTCACCTATGGTATTTGCTTTGTAAAAGCCATGAAAAAAATATGAGTGTTGCTTGTTTTGACATTGTGCCCTCCTGTAAGTATAAAGACTTACAAAATGTTGTTTTGTGGCAACTTTTTATTATCCTATTTAATGATGGGGCAAATGAGGCAAGCGGTAACGCTACTGTTCTTTTCCAGTATATCATTTGGTTTACTGCCGACAGCAAAGAGAGAAGAAAATATAATGATGGTTTCATTTCCATTTGATTTGCACCTGGTGCATCTGGATCTCAAGGGGGCTCCACCCAAAGTCTCATACCTGGCAGAGGTAACACAGTCTTTATGTGTATGATCAAGGAACTGATTTCTAGCTCCACCCAGCTCAAAAAAGTAGTCTTCAATCTATATATTCTATAACTGCTGAGGAGATTTCAGTAGAAACGTGGTGGGAGATAAATGTAATCAGTCAGTCAATTACAATAGCGTTCCTAGATCTATTTTGTATGGAGTAGCTGCAGTGTTACTACAGTTCAGTTAACTGTGTACTTAAAAAGAACAAAGACCTGGAAAATAATACTTTAGAAATAATAGCTTCTAAATCAGCAATAACTGGTTTTGAAATGTGACATTAGGAAGAATTCAAGAGTTGTGCTGGATTATGCTAGCCATCTTTCTAGTATCCCACTAAACAAGTAAATGTCTCTGGTAGCATAGGAACATTTCCCACCTGTTTTCCCCAGCAACTTATTTCTCGAAAGCTGGTAGCAGAGTTACAATCGTAACGGGACCTGCCTGTCATGTTGTAACTGGTGATGGTTGTAATTTGAGTCAACCATGTGACTAACCAGATTTTTACAACCATTTCCGCTGCTGTCATTAAGCGAGTGCTGCAGTCATTAAGTGAATCAATAAATAGTTTGCTATGGACATAGTTTTGCCCAAAACCTGAAGTAAATGCCAGTTTTCGGCAAAAAAAATGTTATAATGTCATAAAATGTTATAAAACAGTGTCATGTGACTACAGGACATTGCAAATGGCCATAAATGCATTTCAGTTGCTGAGCTCTTGAAGTCCAGTGAGGTAACCGTCAAAACTTCGAAGGCGGGTCATAAGTAATTTCCAGAGAGATCTGTCATAACGTTGAACAGTCGCTAAGCAACTGGTGATAAGTCCAGGACTACTTGTACTATGAAACCATTATGACTATTAGCCATTATCTTCCATGAATTTATCTAATTCCTCCCATCTTGGGGACCATGTTTTCCAACCATCATCTTTCCATTGCAAGGTTAAATACATGCTGTGTATTGTTCCTATTAGTTGTCCTGAATCTCCCACATTCACTTGAAATGTATGAACCTGGATTCTAGCACTTTGAAAGAAGAAAGCTGCTTCTTCCCCATTTTTGTACTGTATGCATAATGTATATAATTTCTCTATAAGAAAGGAGAATGCCAAGGAAGAATCCACTCTATGCTTGCTTTATTTTTTAAATGGGGCAAAAAAAGATTGCTAAAACATGTTATCTCACAAGATCTTAGACTAGTGATCAATATACCCGGGAGGCATTTTCTAAGGTCATTGTTACCTTATAAAAGTAAATGTAGCAATTCACCACTGAATAGAGATTTGAGATGTTTTATGCAACCAACAGATCTTCCCATTGCTCCATGTCCTGGGTGCAAATGGTATTCTCCTTGAATATGAAGATATGTACCCTTACGATGGAGAACTGAAGCCACTCCAAGCAAATGATGCATACAGGTATATTAGCCAGCCAGTTATCTTAGATGACATAGTCTCTGGTTCTCTTGTCTCACTGAAATCCCAGGTTTTATAGGAACTGATGTAAATTTACTACTGGGAGGCAAACTCTTTACTTTTTAATATCACTCAAAACCAATCCCATTCAGTGCTTATTTCTTATATTTGCTCTGTACTGGGTAGTAGTTTAGAATCTAGAGTAACTAATATTTAGAAACTTTGTTTAAATTTCCTGCAGGTATGGACATGTAAAATTGATGCAATCCGTCCACTATGCAAAGCAAACACGTCCATGCAAGATGGAATTCTAAACAAAAAACCTGGTATTAAACGTATAATTTATTAATGAAGGTCTCTCTTTTTCTAGTCCATCTGAGGTTAAAGAGATTTTAAAGCTGGCAAAGTCGCATGATTTAGAAGTTATCCCCTTAATACAGACGTTTGGACATATGGAGGTAAGTGCCAGCTCCTAGATAGGGACATTTCATCAGTTTGTGTAATTTTTGTACCGTAATTCTGAGTTGTTTTACTTGTTCAGACTTGCATTTGAAGCTATGCAATTTTCTGGATTACTGTGTTATATTTGCTCTGATTTATGGATTACTACCTCTGGTTCTTGCTTCTCCTGCAGTTTGTTCTGAAGCACAAAGAATTCTGCCACCTCCGGGAAGTGGCAATGTTCCCCAACACAGTGAACCCTCATAAAGAGGATTCCTTGAAGTTGGTTAGCACAATGATAGAGCAAGTAATGGCACTACACGATGATCTCCGATGGTTTCACATTGGCTGTGATGAGGTAATGCTTGGAAACATGGGCCTGAATTTGATCAGGGGAGACAGGGACGTTTAGCAGTGCTCATAGTCTATTGGCACATTATTACATTTTCTGTTGAGGTTTTTTTTTGTTGTTAAATTTATTTGCCACCTATCTCGCCCTGGGGCTACTCGAGACTGTTTTAATGTTTTTCTTCATGCCAACTTCCATGGGATGATTCTGATCAGTTTTTGTTATGCATAAAGAACTTACACTTTTGTATTTTTCATTTTAGCCACGTGTTATTATTTTTCTGCTAGTTTGATTGTACCCTGGTGTAAGGAAGATGAAGAAACCTCTTTGCAAGACAAGGAGGAAAACAAAAAACATATATTTCAGTTAGCTGCTTTCCTGAAACAAAATATCTGTGTTTCAGCTGTTTTGATCCACACAAAACACACACAAAAAGCTGCAAAGTCCATGCAGAGAGTAGATGAGGCAGCACACACTAACATTGTTCTAGTCACCTTGTAAAATGACTGCAGAATTCCATTGGGTTTTGTTTTCAGTCAATACCCAGAGTAATTTCATGGTTTATTTCCACCAAACTGGCTGATTCAAAAGCAAAGCTTTGAACTTGATGTTTTCTTTCACATTTGGAAGAAAATGTATTTTCTTATTGTACTTAGATTAATAATTAATAATTAATCTAAATAATTAGATTAATAATAATAACAATTTTGCCTTCCCATCCTTGCTATTATCCTGCAGTTGTCTGATATCATGAGATATTTTCTTACAAACAGCACAGTATAATTTAGCTTTACTACCTCATAAATATTGGAGTAGAATTAATAATGCCTGAAGGATTTTGTCAAGCTTCTCAGTGAGGGAAATCACAGATCTCTAAGCACTTAAAAGTTGATCCTGACTCATCACTGTGACATAGCAGTTTTGCTAAATTAGAATCTTTATTTCTGACAAGAATGAAGCCACGCAGAGTGATTGATTGCCTACTGCTAGTGCAAAGTAGTACAATAATTTTATACCTGGGGTGTGTTCAAACCAGATTTCTTTTGATCTCTGCCTTGTCCGCATCAATTTTCCAGATATAGAATTTTGGTATTTGCTGGTTTTCACATTTGTTAGTCCATTTTAACGTGACCTGACTTTATTTACTAAATGAATTTATATCTTGTCTTTTGACCAAGAGCTCAAAAAGGCCTACAATGAGTGTTAGATGATTTCCAAATAACATTAGCAGCATGAAAGAAAGTACTTGAAAGAAAAATAGGTATCTTGAGGTGCTTCTGCAGAAGAAAAAGCAGTAATAAATGAAATTTTCCCTTCTTTTCATGGTAAAGATAATCATTCTGAATGTGAAAAGCAGCTCTTTAATTATTTGGAAAAGCCTGTTTCCAAATGACATAGCAACATAGAAGGTACATGAAAGAAAAATATCATTGAATGAAAGTTTTGTTTTTATATCTTCAGGTGTATTACCTTGGTGAAGGGGAAGAATCCAAGCAATGGCTGCAGCAAGAAGAAAATACTATTGAAAAGTTGTGCCTAGCCCACATGAAAGCAGTGGCAAGTCACGTAGTCTCAACCCATCCCACAGTGAAACCAATTGTGTGGGATGACATGCTGAGGAGAATGAGTGAAGAAACTCTGAGAGGTAGATAATCCCAGCTGCAGCTTTGGAATATTTAAGCAAAGACAATAATTTCTGAAAGGTCACTTTTTATCAGTCACATTTGCACTAAATAATAAGCCATTAGGCTTGCTTAATGTGAAAGTGCCTGCAGGCCAGAGCAGCCTGTTTACCAGATCTCCAATCTATATTTGTTTGGGGTCTCACATACAAACTATCTCCTTTTCAAATTATCTGTATGAAATAATCATAAATAAATTATGGATAGTATCTATAGCTAAATTGAGCAGAAAGGAACATGCATCCTACATTTGGGTAAGATTAGCTGTTTGATACCTACAGATGGATATTTGATAGTTGCATTGCTTGAAAACAAGAGCCAGTGCTCACACAAATATCAAACAAACTTTCTTGTTGTGCACTCTATTGAGAATATAAACATTATAATCCCATAATCGCTCAAGGATCTTGAGGTACTTTTGCAGAAGAAAGATAACCATAAAGGAAATTTTCCCTTCTTTCTTTTCATGATGGAGATAATTATTCTGAATGCATAATGAAGCTCCTTGACCATTTGGAAAAGCCTTTTGCATTTTTCATAAAAAGCTATGTTTGTTTAGTGGCTATTTCTACCAAGTATGAACATCATAAAAAGTAAGCATTGAACCTAATAATGTTTTAAAATATGGATAAAACCAAATTGCTATGCTGTTTGAGGTGGAGTTCTTTTGGGAACACTAAAGACACACACACAATACACAATTAAAGCATTTAAACCTATAATCATTAAACTGGCACCAAAAAGAATGTCTATTGTGAACAGAAAAACAGTTGAAAACTATATAACTGCTCCTGCTTCAAACAACAGGAAATGTAGAAACACATTAAAGAAATGAATTCAAACAGATACTGTTGAATTAGAGGTAAATAATGTTGATTCAGTGCAGAACTGGGGAATTGATGTAGACTTGTATCTTCTTCACTCTTTCCCTCACAAACCATATTTGGGACTAGGGTCAAGTATATGAGGTATACCTTCACGATTCATAATTTTCCAAAACTCGTTTAAAATTAAAATATGAAAGTTAAAAAGGAAACAGTATTGTGAGATCAATTGTACAGATCTTGTACAATTTCATGAGTGAATGATAAAATTACTTGTTTTGCCCATTATTATCCCTGACTTCATTAATCCATTCTAAGAGTACTTTTTTTTCAGAATTTTAGCCACTGTTCTCTAAATTACAGAAATAGGAATTTTCATACAAACCTGAGAACAAACATCATAAAAGGTTGATCATCACAATCATTTGCATTTCTGTTTCTTTCCAGATTCTGGGTTAGCACAACTGACAGAGCTGATGATTTGGGATTATTCTACTGATCTTGATGTGGAGAGTAAAGGTTTGAACTTGGATGTTTTCATCTGGAAAAAGTGTAACTAAAATACATAGTCTTGATGATCAGAGTAAATACAGCTTCCCGTCTGCATTCAGCAGATAGTATGTACACTAGAATTGGGATTAAATCTCCACTTAGTCAAGAAGGTCACCGGATGTTGCCAGAATAAACACAGAGTATGCTTGTTTAGAAACAGTCTATCATGTTCCCTTTTGCTCAAGTTTTTAACAATAACAAAGAATTGGCCTGATTGGGTATGGAGGCACCAAACACAAATTGAAAAAAATATCTGCTCTTTATTCCCTTTGTGCTTCTGACTCACACAGAAACATATACACATAGGTGGAAGCAGCAGAAATATTGCTGTAGAAACAATTCCATTTGTTGGTGTTCCTGCCCTTTTTGCTCTTTTCCCAAAAGATTAATGGCTTCCAATTATAAGCTAGCCATTTATTTGGTTGGGATAAGATATAGATCAAGTCATGATTATAGATTTTGATTAAGGTCTGACTTACAGTCTGAATTTGCATAATGTGCTAAACCAATGGACTGCATGACTTAGTATGCATCTGTTCTAGCATCTTCAAAAAACTCACAGTTACTCTCATGGACAAGATATATAAGCAAGAAAGGAAAGCTTATTCCATTTGTTGATATATGTTAAGGTAAAGAAATAATTATCCCTTTGCTTCTAGTTCTTTTTTACAGTTTCATTTCAACAGGAACAATTTGTACAATTATTTTTTAAAAGATCTGGAAAGAGAAAGTAGGCATATTTTAATAATAAACCTATCAGTGCAAAGAAAAAAAATGTCTTTTAAGGGAAAACCCCACTAATTTCAAAAGTTTTAAAAACAATTATCTAGGTGAGACAGTTGAAAGAATACAGAGTTGGTGTTAATAATTAGTACCTGGAGGTATTTTTTTAAAAAAAGAAGTTAATATTAGGCAAATTCATATCCTATATTTTAACTGAGTTTATCAACTCTGTGGACAGAGCCTTAGAATCTCTATCTTTTAATACTTCGTTACTAACCTAAGTTAGTTTGTACTTGTTGCAAATCAGCTGTAAGAAAAGGGCCTTAAACATCTCAAAATTTTCATAAATTTTGCCCATATATTTCCCCTTGCTTTTAATAGTTCATGCAACCCGTGTCATTGCTGTCTCTTTTTTATGCAGCCAGTCTCATTGAAAAGTACCAGAAGTGTAACTTCTCAAAATTCTGGTTTGCTAGTGCCTTTAAAGGAGCCACTGGAGTAAACCAGTGCTTGACACTCATTGGACATCATCTTAAAAACAACGAGCAATGGCTGAAAGTGGCCAAGAGCTGTTCTGTTGGTATCATAAGAGGGATCACTCTGACCGGCTGGCAAAGGTAACTACATTGTATATAGATCAGTAGATATAATAGCATCATTAGTATATTGAAAATTGGAAGAACACTCTTAAAATTGGTTTTGGCCAATTTTTTCATATTAAATCATCATACATCATCATGAAGTCCTAGCTTTAAAAAAAACAACTTTAAATTCCTGATCGTATTGGAGCTATCACTTGAGACAAAATTTCCACTTTCTCCATTAAATTTGATGATTGTCTCCAATTGAGTCTAAACCTCTTTGGCATCTTCTGTTTGAATTATTTTCACAACTATCCTTGGTTCCCAATTTCCTAAGACCTGAGGTTTCTTTTCATATTGCATCTCCTAATAATTGCATTGCATAAAGGTGTTCAGACACACTGGAAAAGCACATTCAGATGTGTTATATGTTATTTGTGTTAGCTGAAGAGGTATGTAGTCCTAAAGTTCTTGCATTCTGAGATGCTACTGCTATATTGCCTTACTATGCCTGCTTTTTTTTTTTTTTTTTTTTATAGGTATGATCACTTCTCCGTTTTGTGTGAACTTCTGCCTGTGGGAATTCCGTCCTTAGCTATATGTCTCCAAGCATTAAGGAATGGTACAGTATGATTCTTTCTTGAGTCAGTTAAACCACATGCTTAGGATCTATCAACTCTTTGAGGAATCCAAACAGGAAACTCCAACCATGAGTACTCACACTAACTTTATTGTAACATAGTAATAGAATCTTGCAAGTCTACTAGCACTTCTCTCTCTGACTTTCCAGAGAACTAGGAAGAGTCCCTTCTGAGACATTTCTTCACCCCCGTTTCCTCTGTGTAGTAAGATATCTCTTCTCTGACCATTACCCTGCCTGCAGCTCTTCTTCCTATCTCCCAAAGTTATTCTCACAGTCCCTTAACAGCATCATAGTACAAACACATTTTTAAATTTCATTTTATTAAAAATTTAATAAAACATATACATAAAACTAAAAAATCCAATGAACTATTAAAAAATACAAAAATAAGCAAAAATAAAAAAACATAATAAACAAAAAAATTATGAACCATCTAGGAATACTACCTGTGTATCATGTTTTAAACAATATATCAACATTTCAAGTAAAAAAAGTGTAAAATGTCTTGAAATCTGTGCCAAGAAAACTTTTTTACTAATAGAATGCCCTTTCAAAAATAGATACATTACACATCTTGTTTCCAGTCTACCGTTCAAAATATTACTTTTTTAGTATCTCAAAATAATTCCCTTAGCAATTCCCCATGCCTGATATAACCAAAAATTCCTAAAAACAGTAAAATTCTAAATTTTTGGAATGTTATATGTATTGTAATATTGTTCCAAAAAGTTCCAGTAACTCGATTAACTAGATTAAATCATACCAGCATCGCAAAGAAGTTTCAGGATTACTACGTAATACCAAAAATTCTACATTTCTTCGAAATACCTTTTTCCCATCTAATTTAACCCATGTTTTTAGGTTTGTAACTTATAATAGGCAGCTGTGATCTTTCACTACATTTAGTACTTTATATGACTAATAGTTTTACCAATATGTGAGTTAACAGACTGGAACCTGAGGCAGTGATAAAGTGGTTTGCAACTCCAGGAAAATACTGCTCTTAAATATTTGATCCCTATCTTAGCTATTCCCTGTATGGCATCAAATAGGAAAGATTATCAGATAATTTTAAGCTATTTACATATTTATTTAGAACTTCAGAGACAGATCTAATCTGAAGATTACAGATCCCAAATGTTAAAGTGTCTATAGGATTAACAGCTTTTCAGCAACAGGAAAGGGATGGGGAAGGTGTATGCAGAAAACTGATACAGTCACATGTCCAACCAAGGAACATCTGAACAGGACCTTTACTGCTATTATCACCAACATGAAATGTGGCAACAGGAGCATGTCTGAACACTAATGAGACATTTTTGGCATTCCTCCTTGATTTTCCATTGCCATAGTAATAAATCGCTGTATAAGATACTTATCTAATTTTGTTTCCTTTCCAAATTTTATGCTAAAAAAATTCTCCCTTTGGATCTTCAAGGTGGTTATTCAGAAAAAGTGAGAGAAGATGTAGAAAAATTACTGGGGCTCTCCCATTTGGAAATAGACACCTTCATGAGGTAAAAGTTCCAGGTTTTCATTATTATTGAATTATATTACAAATTAAATCTACTATAACTCATCTTCAGAATAAGGATTTGGGAGTGGAACATTTTGGAGAACCCCAGAACATTTTGATTTGCCTTAGAAGTGTGCCAAAATTCCATGATCATGTCATTCCAGGGACGTTTCAGCTCTTTCTGGAAGTAAACTTCCAAAAGCAGAAGTGGTTTGAGATATCACAACTCATAAAACTGTTGAACATAACCCAAAATGGCATGGTTTGAGGGGGAGATGTTCCAGATTTCTCTGAAACATTCCATCTTTAGTTTTGCACATCCTTTCTCCTAAATTAGAAGCAAGCAAAACTGCATAATACATTTTTTAAATTACGTGGAAAAGATTTTCAAGGATAATAGCATCTTGAAGGGATACAGAAGCCATTGAAAAAGGAGGTATAGGACAACAAGTTGACATCCTTGTCTTAAATATTTAGCAATCCAATAAAGTTTAATTAAATTACAGGTAGTCTTTGGGTTATGTCCATTTGTTCAGTAACCATTCAAAGATATAACGGTGCCTAACAAATGGTACTGACCATGGGTTGTGTAATTTTGTCCATCGCAGCATCCCCATGGTCATTTGATTGTGATCTAGGTACTCAGCAACTGGCTCGGATTTCCAACCATTGCTTCATCCATGGTTATGTGATCACAATTTGTGACCTTTTCGGCTGGCTTCCTATTTCAATGAGGAAGCAAGCAGGAAGTAATAGTCACGAGGTCTTCGCTTAACTGGGACTGCCAGAATTGCTAAGCAATGCATTTCACATGATGACATGCTTTATGACCATGTTGCTTAGCAGTAGCAATTCTGGTTCTGGTCCCAATTGTAACCAGAGGATTACTTGTATAGCTATTGGCTGTTACACAAAAATATGTCTTCTGTTTCTGAACATTTGATAGAAACTGTTCATTGTCATTAGATAGAAAACTGCCGTCCACTTTAACAACTTATTTAATACTCATTAGTTCTTTCACTAATGACATCTTATTAGCAGAGACATAAGCAAATATGGGAAGGACATCTGAGCCGGATGAGGTTTCTGCTACTGAAGTTCTTAATTGTGAGGAAGTCAACAACTATATACGTTTTCCTTCTACAAAGATCGATCCTTCTATTTATTAGTGAAGATCAAGATTCATTCTCTTCCCTCATTTAATGCATACCTGAATAGGGCTCAGGCATCATGCAAAAAGTCCTAAATGTATTATCAGGAAGCTCATTCTTTCCCAATATTTTATTCATATTTTTTAAAAAATCCCTTTTAAAAAGGCTGCCCAGAGTGATTCACAATCAAATAAACAATATAATATCTAGTCACTTACAATGAATAAAATGTTTTATTCTAGCCACTTATTATGAAGGCTGATGCAGATTTTCTTTTTGAACAGTGACATCACAGGGACTTTCCCAGGAAATGAAATTCTCTTGCTTGTGACTCAAATTGCATTCTACCTCAAATCCTCAATAGACGAACTTTTGGAAAATAACAGGTGAGAAATCACACACACCCCTCAAAAAAAGTTGATTCTTATATATTCTTACACATAATTAAATTTGTACCTGTATAAAATGCAGTATCATTTTTTATGTATTAAATTATCCAATAAATATTACCTCATGGATACATGGCATTTAAAGAGTATCAGTATTGTATTAAATGGTCCTGAATAAATGTCTTCTAAATTTTAAATAGCATGATTGGACTTATGTGATGTCTCTCAACTCATTGTTTTTTTGTTCATTCATATCAGTCTGAATTTTTAGATATGTTACAGGCTGGTTTAGTCCCTATCACAGAAAAAGAAAGAAGATCCATCCCATAATGATTCATCACTTTCAGCCAGATGCCATAAGGTAATTCAAGATCTGTGATCTCATGCAAAGTCTGCATTTTTTAAAACTAGTTTGGGACTGACAGATGGCTATAGGTTTGCATTCTTGTTCAAACCCATCAATATAGGCAGTCCCATGTTGGGACTTAAGTGATGTTCTTTATGGATTCAATCCAGACTCAATCAGGTTTAGAGCCATAGTTAATGGGACTTATATTACTAGTGATAACAAATATCTCATTGATTTCAGTGCATCAGCTCAAATGTAGTTATACATTATTGTAAATTTTGGTCTGCTGGCATAGTCCAAAATTAATCAAATTCAGAAATAGCAAAATATTTCACTTATTACCTTATTACAAAAGAAAATTATTCACTGATTCGTATATGTTTGTATGGGTATGTATCAAATAAATAACATACTTAAAGGCAGGGAGATGAATAAAAACAAATATATCTATCCCCTATTTTTGAACTTCCGCAAAGTACATGACTGCTGGAAATTATGAATTATTCATGGAAATTTAAATTATCAATTTAAAAGGCATAAGCAAAGAATGTTGACAAAGTGCTGGTACCTTCATGGGACTTGAAAGGTGAATTTAGTTAGGCAGAGATGTTAATATCTAAAGATACAGGGGAGGGAATTATTTGATCCCCTGCTGGTTTTGTACGTTTGCCCACTAACAAAGAAATGATCAATCTATAATTTTAATGGTAGGTTTATTTTAACAGTGAGAGACAGAATAACAACAACAAAAAACCAGAAAAACACATTTCAAAAGAGTTATAAATTGATTTGCATTTTAATGAGTGAAATAAGTATTTGATCCCCTATCAATCAGCAAGATTTCTGGCTCCCAGGTGTCTTTTATACAGGTACCGAGCTGAGATTAGGAGCACTCTCTTAAAGGGAGTGTTTTAATCTCAGCTTGTTACCTGTATAAAAGACACCTGTCTACAGAAGCCATCAATCAATCAGATTCCAAATTCTCCACCATGGCCAAGACCAAAGAGCTGTCCAAGGATGTCAGGGACAAGATTGTAGACCTACACAAGGCTGAAATGGGTTACAAGACTATTGCCAAGCAGCTTGGTGAGAAGGTGATAACAGTTGGTGCGATTATTCGCAAATGCAAGAAACACGAAATAACTGTCAATCTCCCTCGTTCTGGGGCTCCATGCAAGATTTCACCTTGTGAAGTTTCAATGATCATGAGGATAATGAGGAATCAGCCCAGAATTACACAGGAGGATCTTGTCAATGATCTCAAGGCAGCTGGGACCATAGTCACCAAGAAAACAATTGATAACACACTACGCCGTGAAGGACTGAAAGCCTGCAGCACCCGCAAGGTCCTCCCGCTCAAGAAAGCACATGTACAGTCCTGTCTGAAGTTTGCCAATTAACATCTGAATGATTTAGAGAACTGGGTGAAAGTTTTGTAGTCAGGTGAGACCAAAATCAATCTCTTTGGCATCAACTCAACTCGCTGTGTTTGGAGGAGGAATGCTGTGTATCACCCCAAGAACACCATCCCCACCGTCAAACATGGAGGTGGAAACATTATGCTTTGGGGGTGTTTTTCTGCTATGGGGACAGGACAATTTCACTGCATCAAAGGGATGATGGATGGGGCCATGTATTGTCAAATCTCCTTCCTTCAGCCAGGACATTGAAAATAGGTCGTGGATGGGTATTCCAGCATGGCAATGACCCAAAACACATGGCCAAGGCAACAAAGGAGGGACTCAAGAAGGAACACATTAAGGTCCTGGAGGGGCCTAGCCAGTTTCCAGACCTTAATCCCATAGAAAATCTGTGGAGGGAGTTGAAGGTTCGAGCTGTCAACATCAGCCTCGAAACTTTAATGACTTGAAGAGGATCTGCAAAGAGGAGTGGGACAAAATCTCTTCTGAGATGTGTGCAAATCTGGTGGCCAACTATAGTAAATGTCTGACCTTTGATTGCCAACAAGGGTTTTGCCACCAACTACTAAGTCATGTTTTGCGAAGGGGTCAAATACTTATTTCACTCATTAAAATGCAAATCAATTTATAACTTTTTTGAAATGCATTTTTCTGGATTTTTTTGTTGTTATTCTATCTCACTGTTAAAATAAACCTACCATTAAAATTATAGACTGATCATTTCTTTGTCAGTGGGAAAATGTACAAAATCAGCAGGGGATCAAATAATTTTCCCCCCACTGTAAGATAATTAGTAGAAGGCTGAGACTTAACTAAAAATATGGAATGGGACTGGATACTAGATGTCAGAAAATGATAAGAGAAATTGAATTACTGGAGAAAGAAACACACACAGCAACTGAAGAAAGAAACAGGCTGAGGAGCAGAATCTCCTCAGATCTTCAGATCTCAGAATCTTGAATACATAGGAGAGAAAATAGGATTATACAAGAATTAGAAACACAAGCAACTTCAGAAATGAGAAACATAGTGAAATAACTGGTATTTAATCAGATTGTTGGCCCCTCAAGGCAGTGTTATCTGTATCGACTGCAGTAACACTCAACAGGCTTTTCAGAGCTAGTTAGAGAGAAAACAGCAAATCTTGCACAGTGCAAAGGAGAACAAGGTTGTATAATTGAAGAAATAGAGTTGGCAAGAAGGAAGCTTAAATAGGAAGGGAACACAATGAATTGAAAAGTAATGGAAAAAGTAATGTTTTAGTTTTTAATCTTCAGAATGTTACATAATGTCCTATTTAATGCCGACTATCAACTGATGAAAACTTCTGGCAGATCATAGTCCCCTTACTTCTTGCATCTTCTCTTATCTGCATATTCTTTGTAGCACAAGGTATTTTATTCAACATATTCAGCATCACTTTTTTTTTTTTTTTTTGCTTAGGCTTCTGACCAAATGGACTGTTCTAACCGAAGAGTTGCAAACAGCCATGAAAAAGATTTTCTACACCTCTGCTGTAGAAGAATGGATAGAAGAGAATGTCCAACCAAGCCTTCAAAGACTTCAAGGAACAGTAGATGATTTGAACTGTGCAGTACAGGAACTCTCTTAGCATTTTGATCTATGACTTTGCTAATTGGAAACCCAACTTTCAGCTAGCATCAAGCAAATAAATAATAGGGTATGTCCAGATGAATTTTAATAAGCTTGGCATTACAACAAAAAGCTGAGGTTATGAGTCTTCTTTCTATCATGCTTCTATACAATCCTCTGTGTAAAGGTGTGCACAGTGTAGAATTTCTAAATTTAAAAATCATGCAGACACTTCATCTTTTAAATAAATCTTATTAATATGCTTAGAATATTTCCCCTGAAGTGCGAGAAAAGTTAAGTATAAAAATTTGTCTCTGAGTACTACAGTGGTTAGGAATCTTCTAATTAAACAGTGGTAGGACATTCAGGGAACAGCAAAGGGACTGTCTTCACGCAACCAAGAATTTTAAGGAAAATAAGATAGTGAGGATTAGCATATAGACAACTTAAGAATGGGCTTGTACAAACTTTACATGGAATTTGTAATGTGTGAGAAAAAGAAAACACACAAGATTAATCTCTTCCATTTAACTAAGTCTGTTTATACATTGACAAGTAATCTCGCATCTGTTATACTGTTTCTTGAAGCTGGGCATTTATTTACACAGTTTCTGGAAACTATACATTTAGTGATTTAAGCTTGTAAAGCACTAACTGTTCCTTTTGTCAGATATTTAATACAGGAAAAATATGCAATTTTGTTAAAGACACACTTTTAACTTCAAATAAGCACCTTTCCATTTTAAGTATTAAGGTTTATCCAGGCAAGAACTTTAATTAAATAGTATTTTCCAATAAATCAAACTGCCTGGTTGAGATTAGTTTACAACCCAAATGTTTATAAGTAAATGTTGAACTTAGACTTTTTTCAGAATTATATAAAAGAAGAGTGCCTATCTTATCCTAGTCAGAGATACCAATCACATTTCCAAGAAGTTCTCAAATTGCTTCCAACAGAATATCTTAATATTGACCCCCAAATAACCATCTGTAATGAGTTCTGAGATGAGCAATGAGCATTAGGTTCCATTTACCAAACAGGTGACAGCCTTATGCCTAAATTTCCAGATGCAGCTCAGATTCTCTAACCATCTCAAAGATACAAGTCTATGTTGGATTCAATATGATATGGAATCATTATTTTAATGTTCTAATTATAATCTTGTTTAGATGGATATTTCTTCTATTGTATTTCAGTGAATTGTGAATTATTATCCAGTTTTTAAAAGTGCACATATTTGTAGACACAGTTCTTTTGCTTAATTGTGCAAGAAGAAACTTTTAATTTCTAATGCCCTACCTCCAGTAAACGAGTATTTACAGAATGGAGTTTATAACTTTTCCTAAACTATTGTTATTTTTTTAAAGCAAGAGATTGTTTTTAAAAGGAAGCATTAAATATGTTTCTATAGTATTTGGATATCTGACAAGAAATATTAATGCTGAATATGAAACAGTGCAATAATTATTAAATTATACAACTGAAAAACCACTTTATAAAGTACACTTTCCAACAAACATTTTAACACTTTTCAAATAACCTGACTTATTTGAACAAAAATGTCTTTTTGACATTTACAGTGTTCTACTCTAAGACACGTAGAAAATGATTAAAGTAAGAATTGTCAAGACAATATATTTTGAGAATTTCTAGAATGTTTAGTTTACTTTTTATATCTGGAAACCAATGACAGACCCTAACACCTTTTTAATTTAATAAAATATACTCAATAAGGCTTTTTGATACTTATTTTTCTTTAAAAACCCCTCTAAACAGGAAGATTTCTCTGACATACACCATTTTCCCCATTTTTAAAATAAAAATCCATTATTAAATTATCTATTAGACTGGATGTTTCCTTTGAACAGCAGTAAACTTAATACAGACATTATTGGTACTTGGCCCCAGTAGAAAATTAACCATAATCACCATCAAATTAATGATATAATAATATGAATCATGAGTAGAAAACAAACACACAATCATGTGCACACACATATAAACTTTCTTTGTGCTTATCAATTTTAAAGATGCAATATCAAATGTGGTTCCTGTGGAAAAGCTAACAGTAGTGTACCACAAACAATCAAGCCAAAGATGTGTTTTTGAAAACTTGCATCCAAAACATTTAATTTCAGCTCTCTACCTTTTAGAATTTATTATAGTCATTGATTTACCATTAGACTGGTATCACCTCTGTGGGTTGTGATTAGACAGCCAGCCTTTGGTTGGAATCCCATTTATGTCCTTTTCTACATAGGGAGAACCTAACTACTGTTAATCACAGACTGGTAACCAAAATTTTACAGACTGCCAATTAACTACAAACAGGAGTCAAGTTTTATTTAAAACTACTTGAGATCAGGACAAACTCCATGTGTAATTACAGATCTGATCAATTGCTAAGACAATTAGAAGAAGTTCTCTGCTATGTAACATGTCTATTGCTTGTCAACTCAGAGTTGTTCCTGCTTTTTGAATGTTCTTCCCCTTTTGTTTAGAAAAAAGCAACAGTTTCAAATCCGGATGTAATGCCAAACTGGTTTGCTCTATTTTTATATTGCTCCTCCTGTAGAAGTGCAGTTGTTGAGAAATAGCACTGTCCATATTTGAAGTCTGTGGCCTCAATACTATCTCTGGAGGATTTTATTGAAATTTAAAACAATCACAAGGAGTATAGAAGGGGAAAGAAGTAGGCTCAAGACTTATCAGGAATTAGATAATCATCTAAATTATGTCCAAACGGTATTCCCATCTGAAAATCTTTCAGTTAAAAATCCATTGGTCTAGAAAATATGGAAGACTTTAAACTCCTTTCTGATTGTTGCTTAATATCATACACAGGAAGCTAACAATTAAAAAGTTGTTTCTAGAACTTAAGAATGTTAACAGATTCAAGTTTTCTACCATTCAGACAATTTTTGGTTTCCACAGAGTTCATGCAATTATTTGTCTTTTGTTTGATCTTCTGAATCACTAACATCTGTTCCACTACTCGTTTCAAGGCCTTCATCAATCTGTAACTCATTCAGTTCAAGGAAACCAATAATGAGGTTAGCCACAGCCTCAACATCACTGAGGAAGAAAAAAATAATAGGCAAGATTTAATGAATCCAATGAGTTGGTCATGAAAATATGGAACTCTGTGCATCCATCTAGTAAAGGGAAAACATTTGGAAGTATAGCAAAATCTTTATTGTTCCCATATCTGTTTGAAAGAATATCACAGGATTTTAATGTTAACTTTTATTTTCAAACTGAATTAAATTTCAGTCTGATATCACAAAATTATTTTTAAAAAAATAAGTTAATTGTATGGGTTTCAGATACCAATTCTCTTCCTGATATATAATTAAGAAGTATTACATTAATTTACCTGAAGCACTATGCCTTTCCTCCTTACTGATCTAATGGCTAATAAAGCAACTGGCAGGAAACAAGATACATAGAAGGTATGGAAAAATTGTTAAAACACTTTCAGAAATGTGTAGCTTTATTTCTTCTGAAGATACTGTATATATAACATTTTTTAAATGTGCCTAAAAATCAGCTACATGTTCTATAGCAGCTATAATAAAAAACTAAGCTCATTTTAATTGGAGAATTGAAAATGTTGATGACACATTTCTGACATCTACACTTAAAAATGTCAAAATTAAATACACTCATTCTGGAATAGATTGCAGTCATGAAAATGCCATAACATTATAACTTTAACCGAAAAATGTAAGTTAATGCACAACTAAAGAATTTGAAAAGAATAGTAGTAACAAAAGGACAGTTGGGTTTTTGAGAATGTGATTGCCAATCTCAGGTGAAATGATACCTCCTAACATATTCTAATTAATCACAAAAGAGAAAGTTCATACATACCTTCTGCAGCCCATCACTGCATTCTGTGTGAGAGGGTGTGAAAATCCAGTGCCAAATCGCAATACAATTAGGTACCCCTTCCCAAAGTAACGAACCTTCTCTTCTTCTACATTCACAGTCTGTATTTCATCCAATGGAACAACCACTATTTGCAAGGAGCAAACACTGAATTGTTAGTAAAATAATGTCAATACTATGTACAATTCACACCAAAAAGTAGTAAAAACTATCTGGATCTCCTTGCATGCCCACAGCTGCCTCCTATTAGTTTTAGGGCCAACAGAGCTAACAAGGATTGACCCTAAACAGAAGACTTTCTAAATTCTTCCTTAGAAAATACTAGCATAAACTCTCTTTTCCCTCCTGCAACTTAGGTTTCTCCTCCCAGCACTTTTGAATGATGATTTGTAAATTTCAGGGCAAGAATGGAGTTCATTATTGATGTAGTAAAAATCTTTTAAAGCAACAACAGACTCCAAGATCCCCCAAACCATAACCATAAATTTAGTTTCTGTAGTGAGGAATGTGGCTATGTAGTTCGGATGCTGGATTGGATGTTAACAAGCCCATGTTCACCAGAGTGCTGCTGTGTGAAGGGGTGAGCTCCTGTCATTCACTCCAGCTCCTGCTGACCTAGCAATTAAAACATGCAATTGCAAGTAGGTAGATACCATTTTGGTGGGCACATTAACAGGACATGAAAGGAGCCCCCATCTGGGCATTCCCCAGCTGGTGATGTCACCAGCTAATCCTTTCAACCCAGAAGTGGCTTGGTGCTTCCAACATGAACGCAAGCGAGTTTCTGTAGCTGATTACTAGCTTAGAAACATGTCATTTTGATGTTAATATTCTTTTGGAAAGATGAACATATGTTTTTTTTAGAGATTTAAGACCCCTTGAGGATTTGCTAACAACTTTTCAAAGAGTATAGAAGAGTTGTCCACTTTCAACTATTACACAGGGAATTCTGTGTTTTCAAGATTTAAATATATTTGTGTCTTCAAAATCCTGTGATAAATCAATATACACTATGGTTAATTCTATATGAAGCAAATATGGTCTTAGTAGCTTGGTGGAAAGCAGGAGTTTACATGTCCAATCATCTGGTATTCTTGCAATCACAGCATAAAATACAAACTGTTTCAAACAGTTGAACTACGGGGGCTTACAAGGATAGTTCCTTGGAAGTTTCTTCTACATTCTTATCTAGCTGATAACTAAGGTTTCCTGGGGAATCCCCTTTGAAGTACTAACTTGGTCTAATGTGTTTTTTAAAGTCAACCAAATCAACCTAACTTGGTCTAAGTGTTTTTTAAAGTCAACCAAGGTGATCCAGGTGCTGCCACATCATGTACGGACAAAATGAATAGTAGTTGCAAAACTCTAACTCTGAAGTCTCAGCAACCACTAGAAACAAACAACCTACTTGTTATTATGAAAACAAAAACATTTAATCTCAAAACCAAAGAGAACACTAAACAGAAATTTGTAGCAACATGGTGGCTTCTGCAGGATTCTGAAGAAATTGTCATTTTCTTCAGTTTTTTTCAGAGACAAAACTTTAACCTGTCTAAGCAAACAGGTTAAAGAATCATAGTTATGAGCGCAGCTAAATATATTTTACTACAGTATGTACCTATGTCAGGATCAAATAAATATCTTACTTTCTATACAACATGCACCATACTAAGAAAAACACTCCCAATGTTCAATTCACTTGTTGCTTTACCTTGTTCGTGGCCAGCTCTTGAAAAGGTCAGAAGCTTTTTGTAAAGGCTGAATGACTTTAAGTAAACCTTTCCTGCATCTTTCTCAAATATAGCTTCCTGTGGGAAATAAATAAATAAAGCACCTTACGAAGCCATTTATTGGATGAGAGGAAAATAATCACAGTTGTCAAACAAGTATAAACATTCTTTTCTATAATAATGTCAATAATTAAAACAGTAAATATATAATGACTATTACTCCAAACTTTTGGATCATGTAAATAAATTTAGTCTCAGATCCTCCTTAAAAAGTAAAATGTACAGAATCTCACATTTCCCATCAAACTCTTTATCTCTCATTTTCAGAAAAATCTCAAATCTCAGTCTGAATCTCAAACTGGATTGTTCCAATTTTGGAATGAACTATTTCTTTCTGACTATAATTTGTTGAATCACTTCCAGAGCAACTGAAATGCCTTTTTCCAAAGCCAGAAGTACTTTTTGATCAGACAAGCTTGAGAACAATCTATTCTGGATTCAACGCATTCCATTACTGAATATTTTGTCTTTCCCCAATTTACTATCTGGCCAATAAAACTAACTTTTTTTGTATAAGATATTACAGTACTTACTTCCCACTCCTCCAGGTTTTGTGTAGCTACAAAGAGACAGCCAACAAGATAAAAAAGTTTCCAACCCAGGCTATCTGAATAACAAAATAATATTTCAAATTATGAATACATTTCTAGTTTATACTGTGTTTAAATTATTTGTAGGCATTAAAATGTGGCTGAAGATAAAATTAAGAATCATATTCTACTAAAAGAAAAAAGAATAAGAATAAAGGCTAATTTAAGACCAGCTAGTATTAAAAACAATTACAAATGCTTTCAGCAGCCCACTAAAAGTAATACAAAAATGATGAGAATAAATGTGCCCTTATAAAGGACTGTAATGATAGAAGCTGATACATGCCAACTGGTAATAATGTTTTAAACTCGCAATATACCAAACTAATAGAAAACAATGGAGAAATTGTGCAGAGCCTATTGAAGCAAGTACCATGAGCTGCCATGTAAGAAGAGGAAGGCAAAGACACCATCAACACTTGCTCTTACATTAAGGAAAAATTGGCCATTTTGCCTCTTACATTTTTATTTTAAAAATAGTCATTCTACATAATGGGGGAGGATATTCACTGAACCAATATTTTTTTTAACATTTTCACACTTCCTGTCTTCCTTATGAGGTGTCTAGGAAAAATGGAAATGTATAGACTACACTATAGAGTTCAGAAATGGAAGTAATTCCTCTTGAGCACAACCCAAATCAGAACATAATAAATTTAATAAATTTAAAGAATTTAAATAAATTTAAAGAGAAATGTGAGTGTGTTTTTTAAAGATATTAACAAGTAACTAAACTTTTCTGGTGAATTTACCTTCACTATAATAAGCAGCAGCTATGCCAATGGAGGAGAGCCCTATAGAGAAAAAGGAGAGAAATTAATTTACAATTTAATTCTACTATCTAAATATCTGATTAAACTATATAAATTTTTTTGCACTTAGAGGCATTTTAGGTAGATTAACTTCAAAAGAATCTTCAAAGAAAATAATTAATTCTAGCTATTTTCTTGAATTCAGTACAATGACTGCTATTTAGGCACTAAGATAGACATGTTGGAAATCTAAATGACTATTGCATATCTGGTGCTTTAGAGCTAGTTAGCATAAAACATAACAATCACTTTCAGAATTTGTCCACTTCCATCAATTTGACTATATATCTGATGAATTCTAATATTTCAGAGACTAGTCAAATCTTTATTAAACCTGTTGTAGAAGAAAAAGACATTAAAATTCTCTGACCTGATTCTCCCATTATTTTTTCCCTGCTGAGCTAAAAGGATTTGTAAAGGATTAACATATAATAATGAAAGGACAGTTAGAAATAGCATAGTGCCAACTATTGCATTATCTTTTTGAATTATACTGTAAAGCCTTCCTGAATTGACTCAAATAACAGTTTGCAATGATAGAATGATTCTGTGAAAGTGTTTATTAGAATAACTGAGGGATAATCACAATATATACATCCCAGGTCAATGACCTGAAGTCAAAATTCTGATTAATATTACAATCAACATGCAAAAGCCATTCCATCTATTCAAATTGTTGTCAAGGATATGGGAACAAGCAGTCTTGTTCTTATAAGATATTTGCTGCAAACTTCAGCCCTGAAGAGCGAGCAATAAATTGTCAAAAATGACTCTTTTTTAATAGTGTCCTGTCGTTTGAGCTTTCTTTTAGAAGTTTGGGAGAAACAGGCTTACCTACAAGGACAGACCAAGATCTGATGCCTGGGGATCTCTTCAAGTGAAGGAGTGAGTTTGAATGACTTTCAACTTGCATATACATCTTTGACAGTGGATAGGAAGTTATAGTGCCACAAAGCACTCACAAAACCTAAAGAACAACAAGGCAGGAAACCAACTAAGTCATTGTTTTCGAGCAAACTACAGTTTGGCAGAAACTGTTCCTTACACAGTTGTCCACGCTTCCAGCATTTCCCGTTATATGCATTCCCCCCCGCCCCCCTATGAACAGCACCAAAGCCCTCGTTTCCCACTCTCCAAACCAACAGCAAATTGCATTTTATATATTTATATATAGCGCTTTAAGGGTGCAGTTAGAAAACGGGAAATAAGGACGGTGGGTTTACTTCCTCCCTTCCCCGTTTTGTGCTGCACCGCCGGTGGTCCATTCTAAATAGTACAGTACAATGCTGAATAACCGAAAGGGTCCAGCGCCCTTTTCTCGTTCTCTATACAGCCTTTCAGACGTTACTTTTCCGGGCACGTGTTAGCCCCTTAGCTTAGTCCCGGGAGCCTTCCCTTTCTTGGTCCTCCCATCCCTTCCATCGCCGTGCAGTTCTCGGCGTCAGGTGTCTCCATCCCGCAGGCAACACATCCCTCACCTAAGTGACCGTCGGCGCTTTCCCGTTTATCCTTCGGGCGACAAACGCGTCGCCGAAGAATCATAGAACTAAGACAGCTCCCTTTGAAAGGCAGACCGCGCCTCAATTTCAATAGAAGCACACAGTGTAGAGTTGCGCACAACGCTCACTTCCTTTTCTCATTATTATTATTTTTTTTTTCGTAAAGGCGAGGCAGGAATTGAAGAAGTTGTAAGAAACGAAGAGAGTGAGAGAGCACAGGAACGACTTGGGGCAAGCGGGGACCTTGCTGCCTAGTTTCCTATACAGTTTTGAGTCTTCCCACCTTAGGCGAGCGAGTGAAGAGCGCACGGTGGAGCGATTTTATCAAGAATATTAGATTTTGAATGTTTGTTCTGTTTGGTTGTTGGTGAATAATATTCTTTATTTTTTTTAAAAAAATTATAGTGTGTATGTTGTCAGCCGCTGAGAGTCAAAAAGTCTATATTGGGCAGCCTTATAAATCTTTAAATAAATGAGTTGTTGGCACATCTGCTATGAATTAGAAGGCATTTACAGCATATTATTCTTAGTTAATGTAGCTTGGTTGATTTTCACTTTATGCAGTCTATTGAACATTTTGATAAACCTGTCAGAGAATTTGGGCTAATTATTTCAGCTATCTTTCAGGAAAAAAAAAATTATCATTAGCAGCAGACAAAACGAGGGACAAGAGACAAATGCCACAAATGCAAAGTCAAGAATATTCTTTTATTACCTGGAACAGACTTCATTAAAAAAAGGTCATCTGCTGGCAAGATAGAAAATAATGTAACTGTGCAGTGAAAGAATTCCATAGTTATTTCTGAGTTTGAGTGAAAATTTTGGGGCAATGGTTATAGATGAAGGACATAAATGGAAGCATATAAAATCTTCTACGAAATAACATTAAGTAGAGATATTGATAGTTACAAAAAATAACTACTTCTTTAATAGATTAACATGCATGCTATGACCAAATGTATATCCTTCATTCCATTTCAGCCTTAGCATTCTCACTGGTCTATACAATTCCATCCCTTTGTTCCTCAGAGCTGTCTAGTTATGTCACACATATGAAATGTTCAGTCTGACAGATGTAAGTATTGGTACCCTTATTTGTTTGTTCATGTAGTTTATTTACTGCTTCAATCCAGATAGTTTTAAGATAGTGTTCAAGTACTACTAATAAAACAATATAATTGTAATAATAATTAATACAATACTGTACACACTAACACTATTTGGTGTCAATGATTTGGTGCCTTCTGAGAAGCCAAGTAATAACTGCCTTCTACAAGGCCATAAGGGGGGGTAGTCACCCTTGATTCAAGGAATAGACAGTTCAAAAAGACATCAATCACCATAGAAAATTCCCACTAACAAGCCCCACCTGACCTTTTGGTACATGAGAACTCTTAGCAAGTATTCTTTAACCATTCTTGTAAGGTCTGTCTAGGTCAGAGGTGTCAAACTCGCAACATCACGTGACGTGTCGCGATGTATCACGACTTTTTCCCCATTGCCGGAGCTGGGTGGGCACAGTTTCAGCATGACGCATCTGGCCCATAGGCCGGCAGTTTGACACCCCTGATCTAGATGGTCTCTTAGATTCCCAAACCCAAGTTATGTAGGGCTTTGTAGATAGCAATCAGTGTGCTACTGCATTTGGAATCATGGTTACTAGTGCAGTTCCAGAAACAGCTGTGTAAAAACAATGTGACCAACCAGTGAACATATGGACATTACAATGTGGTGCAACTGAAATTTCTGGATGGTCTTCAAAGGCTGTCTCAAATAGAACAAATAACAATAATCTAGCCAAGTGATGCCATGGCAGGAGTGACTGCCCTCAACATGTCTTGTTCCAGACAAGACTACAACTACACACTAGCTAGAGCTGAAAAAAGGCCTCCTAACCAGAACATTCACCTGCTGTTTTAGCAGTAGCCATGAGTTCCAGGAGGATCTACAGATTGCAACTTTGCTCTCTAGGGGAGCCTATACATGACAGCAAACTTTTTTTTATTGTAAACTTCCTTAAAACTGTGACTTCTCTTTAGAATCTGCAAATAATCTTTAAATAGGCACTGATTCAATATCTTGCACACTTCAGTGCAACTGCATAGATATATTTGCCCAATGGAAACATAAATTAAACTATATTGTAACACATTATAACACAAATAGGGAAGAATTCAAAGTATATGCAGGTGCAGATGGATCAAAGGTTACATTTAAACGTTTACATATCCAAAATTCTCAAACAAATTAACTTTGAGACATCCTAAAGGCAAAAATAAGGAATGTTCTATCAGTTCAATTTGTGGAATCTGAATTTCTTTTAACATTTTTAATAGTTATTATTTAGATTTATAGACCTGCTAAACAGAAATAATAAGTAAAAATTCAAAGATACAAATGTTATAAAATATTCATAAGTCAATACGGAAATACTATCATTTTGGAGAAATAAGCAGAATTCCAACCACTCATTAATGACCTGGCAGGATCCCAAATTGCCTCAGCCTCTAGTCTGCTCTTTCTCAACTTTGTCAGTTTAAGATGGGTGGACTTCACTTCCCACAATTCCTCAGCCAGCATTGTAGCAGATTGGCTGGGGAAATCTGGGAATTGAAGTCCATTCATCTTAAACTTCACAATGTTGAGAAATACCACTCTATTCAAAAAACTAAGTTGTGAAAGCTTTTATAAGGATAAGAGTCAGTGGCAAATGATCCTTGGGAGGAATGGTATTCTAGAGGGCAGGAAAAACAACAAAGAAAGCACATTTTAGGTCCCACAATATGGCAGCTACTTTTTTGATAGAACATCAACATACTGACAGTTTAGTTGATAGAATAGAGAGAAATGTTACTGACGGTGGGCTTTGAAACAATCAGATCTTGTACAAAAAGGGGGTTTACAGATGATACCCAGCACCTTGAACTGCATCCAGAAACCAACTGCAAACAGTGCAGTTCATAAAGTAGATATATCAGATTTTCATACTGAGATACAGCCATAATTAGCTGAGCAATCACTTTCTGAACCAGTTGTAGTTTCTGAACAGTCTTCAAGGGCAGCCCCCTGTAGAGTACATTACAGTAATCTAAATTTGTAAAATTGATTCATGGTAATTATCCCAAGACCATGACTTCTTGTTTACCAAAATCCAGGCTATTTTAGCAAAATTTTGTTGTCAATTTCCTCCACCTTTCTCAGAAATTACGAACTCCCCAATTCTAATGTAATATTTTATAGGTTGCTTTATTCAGTGATGAAAACTTTTAAAAAGTCTCCAGGAGGTGTTTCCATGTAATAAAGTACAGTGTGTTTCAAATACACAAGCTAAAGAAATCAAGGAAATAAAGCCACAAAAACCCAATGAAAAAGCTAAAACATATCAATGTATGCCTAGTACAGTACATCACATGGACATTAGTAGATAATTTCCATTAAAACATTTCAGAAAATGGATCCTAAAAGGCTCAGTTTAAGTAACTCTTCATCCCTTGTCTGAAAATGATGTTTTGATTTAGCATTAAGAAAGATACCTTTCTTAGGACAGGGTGGCCCTCTGCTTAATCACTCTTGATTGGATTATTGCAACATACTTTACAAGTACATACTCTAGTACTCTATCCCTGAAAAGTAACCAGAAGCTTCAGCTGGTGCAAAATGCAGCCTCCAAAATCCATACTGAGTGTCCAAAGAAGGAAACATATAACAACTTTGCTCTGGGAACTGCACTGGGTGCCAGTTTGTTTCCGAGTCCAATTCAAGATGTTGGTCATCACCTAAAAAGTCCTACATGGTATAGGGCTGTGCTACCTACTGGCTTCACCCCATCACTTCAGTCCATCTCACTGGTTAGGCAATGTAGATATGCTACAGACTCGCGGGGTCTAGAAAGAGGGCCTTTGTTGCACTGTGGAACATCTCGCTTGCAAGGGTAAGGCAAATCTCCAGTCTCTTGGCCTTCCACAAAGGGGTCAGAACTTGTTTGTGTAGCCTTGTATAGTGGACACACAGGCCCACACAACCATGGGGCTGTCTGGCCCCATGAGAAGCCCACCCCCATGTATTAACAACCGTTAATCCCTCATCTTAGAATTCTTCACCTTTGAAAAATTTATAATTTTGTTTTTGTAATTTTAAAACTTTTAATCCTAAATTATTCTGATTTTAATGTTTAGTTTATTGATATTGTACACCTCTCAGAGTCCTCCGCCGAGGGAGATGGGCGATTAAAAAAAATGAAGTATAAATTCAATAAAATTCACTTGTCCAGTGCTTGGGTTACAAGCCATCTGATTATCAAATAACACTTTTAATCCTGTTTATGTGTGTGATATGAAGTTGTATATTGACCATAATGGGGAATTATCTTTTCTGAAGAGCAAGAATTAATCTAAAGAATTAAACACATCTTCCCAAGCATATATCTTTCCAGATTTTGGGGGACTACAGTGCCCAGGAAGTGTAGCAATATTTACATTTGCAAACTGACTACGACAGCATGCAATTGTATGAGTTCTGGAGCTCCATTAAGTCAAATGTTCCAATGATTAGCATTGGCAAGATGCCAGTTTAACTCCAAGCAAGTTTTTTTTTTAAATAATGTTTGTTCTAGATAAACTTAGAAGAGGAAAAGGCAAGAAAACTGTAAGCTAAATGGCTGGTAAGTCCCTTAGTCCAATTCCTTGCCTTGGACAAGATTTGGATACCCACAATATCCAACATCCAAAGGACAAAAAAAATGGAAATTAGGTTAGAAGACACAGGAAAAGCACTCCTAAAAGGGAAAGCCAGAAATAATTAATAAGCCAGAAGGGAGAAATCAGACTCCATCGTTTAGTTGTCTCAGGGGTTGGGGAAAATGTATTGCTGAAGAGAACCTGTATTTCTCCAACGCTGCCTCTGATTCTCGAAGTAGATGATTGTATTTAAAAAAAAAAAAAAATCATCACCATCCTCATCATCATTGCGGAGCGATGTTCACTTTTGTGACGCAAGGGGGCGCTGATCCCAGCTTGCCACGCCAGTGCCCGAGAGTACGTGACAGCTCTCAGGTCTACAATGAACGCCGGCGAGCGGCGGGGGAAGGAGGAAGACCAGCGAGACTATCCCAAAATTAGGAAGGAGAAAGAAGAGCGGTTTGCATCGCATTTACTGTCATTCCAGGACGCCTCCCGCCCTCCGCTCCTGCCCCGTTCCACCCATTTCTCCTCTGGCCATGGCCGTCCGCCGCGGAGGCTCGCGCTAAATCCTCCTAGGCATGTCCTTTGTGACTTAAGGGGATTCACCGCAAGGTACCGTGCCTGCTTTTGTTTCTTTCCCTCCTCCCCTTTTGCTGCATGTGGGGATGTTCTTTTTTCTTTCTTTTTTTTCCGGCCTCGGTGGGCGCAGGCATCGCCTTCTGGTCTTTGCGGGCGAGAAGTAGTGACTGGCCGGCGACCCCCAGAAGGAGATTCCTCGTTGCGCGGCATTTGTGGCAGCCGAGGACGCCGCTCCTCCTGCTCACACTCGTCGTGTGTAATCTCCAAGACAAAATGCACCGCTTGGGTTAGCTCTGCTAATTGGGGAGGGACCGTATTAAATGCTTCAGTAGGGAAGCCCCTCACAGAGCTGAAGACAACTACAGTACTGTTGTTGGGTTTGGTGTTGGGAGGAGGCAGGCGAAGGGAAGCAACCTGTGCTTAAGCCAGCAGAACGAAACCCTTGTGACACACAATAGCCAGTATGTCAGTTGTGCAAGCTGAATCTAGCAGCATTCCCTGCTATTACTCACCCGTGGCATTTGCCACTGGAAGGGGTGGTTGATCAAAAGTGATCCGCTTCTTTGGAATCAGGTGTACTCCTGTCATTGTTTTATAAATCAGTGTATTCTGCTTCTGTAAAAATGCAAGCTGTGCCTAAATCCTCAGAGGGACGCTGGTCATTTGCTTGTATGCATCCTGCTTGTTCAGCTTATGCACAGTGAGAGGGTCACAAATGACTCTTCCTTGTGGTACTGTTCTGTCTTCAGAATTTGAACGTTCAGCAATTAAAGAGATCGAGCTTGTTTCATGGAGCTGTGACTTGATGTAAGGTGGTTGTGGGAGCATCTGTGGTGGGATATTATCGGACTCTGGCTTCATTCAGTTCCATCCAGAAAGCAAAATTGTTGAGGATTGTGGTCCAGCACAGGCTCCACACCCATAGCATAAAAAAAATGTTGGGGCCTTAAGGGCATCAGAGATGAGAAGTTACCCTGTGCACCTGTCATGCAGCATTAGGGATATCTTGAAGCTGAATGTCTTGATGTTCATAAAGTACTGAGAAGAAGCTGACAGTCTTGTGCTTTGGTCTCTTGGAGGAGAATCCCACTGCTGTACCACATTCAGGAATGACTTGCAGGCATTTTCTATGTACAATACTGTTTTCATATCTGAGATTTGAAAGGCAGTCATCCCCATTCCTGAGAAGAAAGGTTTGCTGAACTCCTTCTGGACTATGAGTAAAACACGAAAAGAGCCTGATAGATTTAGTTTACACACATGCGCACAGCTTCATTTGTTACCTCAGGGTCATCCATTAAATAAAAGATGGGGAAAAGTTCTCCCTTTTTGCCTTTTGCCCTCTCCTCTCTGGGCTTGAAAAATGCATCTAGCTGTAAAAACAACCATTTGCTTGGGTTCCCATAGCAAAGGAGCAAAATGTTGTGTTTGTATATTGGCAGCAATAAAATGGTGAGTCTTGATGTTAATCATTGACAGGAAATAAAAAAGTATTTTAGTTTGACAGATTTTCCACATCACGAGAGTTGATTGCTGTTTTCGTTAGTTCTGCAAAGTGAGAGGATTCAAAACTTCCACTTTTCAGCAGAAATGGGACTGGCAGCTGAGTAGTCAGGTGGTCCCGCCTTCAGAGTTTCTTATTGGCTCTAGAAAGTCTCATTCAAAAGAAAGTGCAAAATAGGGCTGAAAAACTGGGATAATGATGCGGGGAATCTGCTACAGCTCTTCCGTTGTTTTTCATTGTTCCAGACAGATGGAAAGCAGGAACATTAGCTCCTTTTTCTGAGCACATCTGGCAGCAACTCAAGAGAGACCCAATTTTGCCAAAATAAAAAGTACCAAAGACAGACCTACCAATGAAGTGTGAAAATTGCACCAAAAAGGTGAGTCTTGTTTTTATTACTTATTATCATGCTACAGTCCCAATGCACAAGTATTGGGCAAGAAACCTTTGGATAGGCTCTTTCTCTCTCAAGGTGGTTGTGCTGGGGGAAAAACAGGAGAGAGCACTAAGTATGCTCCTGAAAGAATAGTGGGAAGTAAATCTAATATATACATACATAAACAAACCTGTGTACTTTTTGAAAACAAACCCCATGGAACTTACTAAAATATATTTGCAAATAAACGTGAAGTTTTCAGCTATTGTGGCGGTTGTTCCTCCTACCCAGAAAGAAATGGGTAATGATAATTAAAAGTAACCTGTTTAAACAGAAAATAGTTGCTTTTAATCTCTAAAACCTGGCTTTTGAATTGGAAAAAAAGTATATAATTGATGACTGGGATGAGAAGTGCTATAACATAATTTTAAACTAATGGTATTGTGGAACCTTTTACTTATCATTCAAAGAGATGCAAAGGTATAAATGTGCATTTATAGCAGGATATAAAAATAGATTGCGTTTCAACTCTGTATCTTCCCCTACACTGTACCTTCCAAGAGTCTTGGAGTTCAACTTAAATAGTTTTTGGCCAATATCGTCATACTGGCTGGAAGTTATAGAAAGATTTGGAAGATTCCAGCTTATGGGAAGTTGCTGTATATTTATAGCTTCTACATAAATAAGAAATAAATTGCATCAATGTTTTAGCTGTTTAACATCAGAACTTCCACAAATTACATGTTAACTTTATTTCTATAATGTTCAGTATTGTAATTGACCAGACAGTACCATAATCTTTCTTGATGTTAGGCTCCTATGAATATCAGAATAGTTAGTACTGTAAGAAATTTGGAGCCTTCTTTCTATTGAGTTGAAAGTGGTAAGACAAGCTCAATTCTATATGTGCATTGTATGCTAACCTTGCTTTTTATAGTTCTAATTTCTTTGTAGCTTATCACAAATGCTGTTTTTTCACAGTCTCACCACTTGAGTGGATGGGGGTCTTATCATTTTGTCCAGATTGTTAAGGAAAATCCATCCTTCCACCTACCTTTTTTAAACCTCTTTTTGCCTTTTGTGAGTAGGACATATTATTAGAAATAGTTAATGTATAATATGTTTTGTCTATCAGGATGAAAGTGTTAAAGTTACATCAGCCAACAGATCAAATTTTAAATTTGGTTTCTTAACCATTAAAAATACTTTAGAAAACAACTATCACACAGACTATTTTCATTGCTTTCCTTAAAAACACTTAGTGCTGCATCAAATGTAGATCTTTTAATTCAGTTCATATTATAAATTCATAATGTTAATATAAATGCAATATATTAAACTACAAAAAATGATACATTTCAGTTAACTCTGACATGTTTTTAAAGAACTATATGTATAACATTAATTGAACTTGAACCAAGAGCAACACAAATATTTGTGGAAGTGAAAGGCAATGTAAAGTGTTTCATTTCCTTTTTTTTTCAGATTATTGTAGTCAGTATTGTTATTAGCTCTATATGTAATTTAAGTAAGAAAAGGGATTATTGGGAGAATACTAAACATTCAGAAAAGTATTGGAGGGGAATTTTAATTAAAACAAGAACCTAACCTAATTCCAGAAGGTATAGAATTTTATTCTACTTCATAAAGAAAAGGGAGGTTGCCTTCTTACAGAAAAGGGAAGTTGCCAAAGTCCATTGACTTCAACTACTTTAGGCATCTGTGGCAGATATTTTATACATGCATTTTCTTTGTAGAGGTTTCAGAACAAATACATCTGTGCTCCTTTTCCTTGAAGACCTTTCAATTATGCTGGTCCTTTTTTGTTGTTTGTTTGGTTTTTTGCAATGAGTTATTTAATTGTTTAGGTTTCTGAACATAAGAATTTATACTTCAGGAATAATCATCTTTTTGACATTTATATCCTGCGGTAATATCTATTTTTTAAATTTTACCTTTGTGACAAGAGCTAGCTAGTGATTTGGCAAAGGCAGAAACTGAGGAGCTTTATGTTTGAAATCCGTAAGTTCACTTCCCAGACACCTTGTGAGACATTTATTATAGAGGCTGCTAACTGGCAACCTTGTATATTGGAGTTACTGGATCATTTTTCATATTTACTGCCATTAGAGATAGAAAAATACTTAGTCTATTCCCCATCACCTGGTTTTTCTTCCTTTTATTTTTCCCCTCTGCTACCCCCTCTTTGAGTTGGCAGCAAGTCCTTTTTCTTTTATTCCAGTGGATTGTTCTGAAGCTAAGCAAGGTCAAGTCTGATTAGTACTTAGATGAGAGTCTTCCATTAAATCCCAGGCCTGTAGAAAACATTCCAGAAGAAGGTAGCCATAAACAATTTCCATGATATTGCCAGGGAAAAGTACCAGGTTCGTACCTATGTGTGTACCAGAATTAGACTTCAATCTTTGCCTTAAGAGCACCTTATGTATCAATAGTATTATATAAATTATTAGTTGTTTGGTTAAGTTTTGCTAGATATATAGAGTTCCCATTGGGTGATCCCATGGACAAATTTATTCTACCTCAGGTGGCTTTGATCAATAATTGTGTTGCCTTTGAACAAATGATGTTTTATACTATGTTTCAGGAATGTAGTAAAAAACAGAAGAATGATGATCCACAAAATGCAATAGCTGATGTTCTCAATTCAAATGATGAAAACAAGGAGGTAAATTCCTTTTAGATGAATCTCTAAACTGCATTGCTCCCTAGACAGTTTAAATTAATCCTGACTAAGCATTTCTGAAGGTGGCCGAAATGAAGATAACCCCTTTCCTCCATCAATTTCAGCATTTAGTTGCAACTTACTCTTGTGGTTTGCAGCCAGCATGCTTTTCTTGTTCAGTTTTATAATTTCTAGTGCAACAGATTTCTGAATGCCAGGCTATTGAAAAGATTCTAATTCTGAAGAATTCCCACCATGCTACAATCCTGAATTTCCTAATCATATGTTTCACTCTAATGACAATCTAAAGATTAATGAAATTATTCTGCATTTAAAGAAAGCTCTTTGGGAAAAAAGCATACCCAGAATCCCATGGTAATATTTAATGCGGCACAAATAATCTTGCTTAATTACTTCACTTAATTCTCAAAATAAATAAATCTTTAGTCGCAGGAATTAGTCTCAACTCATTGTTAAGATCCTTCATAATTTAAATATCATTTGGAACAGAATATTTCACAGATATATTCATTGTTGTGGAGAAATATGTGGCCAGGTGACCTAAGTAAATGTTTTCTTGTGCTGCCTTTGCCCACTTGCATCTTGCAGTGGCCCAAATTTATGCCAACTACATTTTTTGTCTGCTCTTGCTCCAGCATGTGGCCTTGATCTTCTCCCTAGCCTAGTGTGAGATAATGTTAAATCCTCTTTTGCTGTATCAGGGTTAAAGTGGTCTTCTCCAAGGACAGCTTCAACATGTGTAACTTGGCAGCTTTGTCCAACATTGCCTTGGAAGAAAGTTGAGTGACTGGCAGTAGCTGGGAACAAAAGGCACAGAGACAGGAAAGGGATTGGTAACAGAGATAGCCAATTTCATATGAATGGAATATGAGCTGATTTAATTGAATTGAACTGAATTTAACTGAGCTGAACTGAATAAATTAATTTAGGGTTTCTGCTCATTCAGGGATTGGGAGAAGAAAATCTTTCAACTTGTCAATAGAAAAAGTTGCTAGGATTCTATTCAAACTAGACTTGGATTATTCAGCAGAGAGAGGATTGCTTCAAAAAAGAAACCTTACTAACACTTACTAAAGTGGGGTACACTGCTGTCTTCATCTGAATAATAGCATTACAGAGGTGAAAGCAGAATGAAACCTTCCTCCTTTACTTTTCATTCAACCAGCTACTTTTTTTCCAAAAGCTGGGAGGAACCCAAATTTGATTAAAATGGAAGTAGCAAAATTAGTGAACCCACAGATTTAACTAAGGGCTGTGCATGCTTCCCCATAATTCAAGCATTATACACAGAACACTTACCTATTGTGTGGCACTTAATAGTTCATTACTTCTTATTTCAAGAATAACTGCACTATGTTCTCTTTTTCCTCATTACATTTTTGATGGATTTTTTTTTAAATTTATTCATTTCTAGAAAAGTGAATTCCATAAGTTGGCTAATGCTAAAATATTCCTTAGTGACTGCCTAGCATGTGACAGTTGCATTACAGCAGAAGAAGCAGTCAAAGTTTACCAGCAGAATCCCAATGAGTTGTTCCGTGTACTGAACCTTAATAAGGTAAAGGGGATGATGTTTATATGCCTATACATGCCCAGGAAGTTTTCTGCCTTAACATGTCACTCTAAAACAGTGTTTCTCAACCTTGACAATTTTAAGGCATGTGGACTTCAACTCCCAGAATTCCACAGCCAGCATTGCTGGCTGTGGAATTCTGGGAGTTGAAGTCCACATGCCTTAAAATTGTCAAGGTTGAGAAACACTGCTCTAAAACATTGTGGTATATCCAACTTCTTGTTTTCTTTATTTTGCTTTCCCTGTTTCCTACTTTTAGGTTTTATTTACTTTTAGATTTCATCCACTGAGATTTTTCTTTAAAAGCTGTTTTCAATTCTTCAATACTTATTTCCATACTCATATTATAGCCAAACATCTTTTACTTGTTCTTTATATTCAAAACTCTTCAAATCCATTGCTTCTAGTTAGTGTTAAAAAAATAATGTTGCTGATGATCAGTCATCGTTTTCCCAGGATGGTATTTTTAAATTTCCTTTTGTTTTTTTAATACCATCGATCCAGTTTATCACTAAATCTCTTGCCATCAAATTTTGAATAATCCTAACATCTGCCTTTTTATTTCAGTGCCAAAATCCTGGTTCTCTTATTTCTTAGTGAGTTATTGGACAAATTAACAACTGACCTCGTTTGAAATCTTTTCCTAATTGTTACTGCACACCATTTTGCTTTCCTTTTTAGCCTTTACCCTGCATCCTTTTCTCTTCCTGCATGCAATGTGGATGTCCTTACCCAATCAGATCCTTTCATTTGTTTACTCTGCCCTACCATCTTTCATTCAGCACACCCAAGCTTACCTGGTCTAACATTAATCTTCCTCCTACTCCCGCTTTTCTTTTCTAATCCAAAAAATTCCTTTCCTCCCCCACATTGGATATGTTTTTTCTTTGGCCCTACCTATATTCAGAAAACTCCTTTGATTGACCTCATTAAATAATCGTTTATTTAAGATTAAGGGGGGGGGACTATTTTCACTTTACTTTTTAATTCCCCATCTCTTTTCTATAGTTTTCTGTCTGAGTGTAAATTTGTGGGCAGGTTTTTAGCTGTGGATATATATTCTGAATGTTTTATGCTACACACCTTCCACTGCTGAGTTTTTATCTTTGTTTTCTATTGTTATTTTTGTTGTTTATTTATATTGTCCTGATTTAGCAATTTGTTATTATGTTTTGTTTTTGCCTAATTCTAACTCAGAGGTTTATTTGCCTTAGTAAGAATTGGCACCAGTCGTAAAAAACCAAATTAATTTCTGTATGAAGCAACAAGCCATCTCTTGTATAAGCTAGAATCTAAATGTTTGCATTTAACCTGCCCATGTGTTTTATTTTGCTTTCCAGAAGTGTGATACCTCAAAACACAAAGTATTGGTAGTGTCTATATGTCCCCAGTCCTTGCCTTATTTTGCTGCTAAATTCAATCTCTCAGTAACAGAAGCAGCTAGGAGGCTTTGTGGCTTCCTCAAAAGTCTTGGTAAGTTTGCTATTAGATAAAAAACAAAAGAAAGCTGAAGACAGCATTAAAAACCTTTTTTTAAAAAAAGTTGTTTCCTTAGACAATTTTTATAGCATGTGTGTCAGGGTACAGGCAAGGGTTGCAGAATGGTTGAGATAACTGAGTTGTTTATGGATATGACCACAAGTGTTATAAATGAGGCTATAATTAGGCAGTTAAGGCAGTACAGACAAGGCAAGAACACATACAAATCTTTTCATTATGTTTTTGTTCATAATCAAGGCATCTAAAAGTTCCTTGTGCTGTTTGCACAGAATAAAAATGTCTAGTATAGAGTTTTACATCTTTCCAAGAATTGCACATCCCCTGAGGATAGTCAACTGCCATGGAGAGGTTTAAAGGGAGAGACCAGGACTGCATCTGTTGGCCCTACCTGCTGTCTTTATGGAACATTCTAGGCATTTTGGCTGGCACCTGGGAAGACATCTGCATGCTGCCACCTTGATTGTATGGTCCTTGCCCACTGCTTTTGCCTGGGGAGAGTTGATATGATTACAACCTCTATTCGGTATGGAAGGAGACATCATTTGAATGCAAGAACAAAGTGATCCTGATGTCATACACATATATTCTTTTACATAAATCAATAGTCTCTTCAACTTTAAAAAAAATATCCAGTACATTGCTTGAAGGAAAAGAAGAAGCAAAGCTATTGTTAATTCAGCTATAAGCTGGTATCCTAGAGAGCTGTGGCACAGGAAAAGAGGAATTTGTTATGGAACTGAAGATATGTTCAAAGCTTGTATTGTTTTCACATTTTACCCAGTGGATGGATCACTATTTATTTATATTGTGAATTACCTTGCCAGTGAAGTTACAACATCAGCTATTAAGCCTTCAAATATTCTTCCCTGCCCATGCTGCAGATGACTTAAAGGGCTGCCTTAGAAGTCATACAGACTTGATCTGGGTTTCAGCAGCCAAAGATGGGCATCAGTTTCCCATACAACACAATTTCCATTGTCTTCAGTATTCCAACTGAAAAGTTACAGTTCAGCAACCAGCACATCTCCATTTAAAAGGATCTTAGGAGATAATTTTCCTCAAGAGCTGCTCTCGGGTAAAACAAAAGACTAGGCACGAAAGGCATAATATATAGTGTATACTTTGTCTTAGGGCAGCTTCCAAATGTTTCCTGTAGTTTTGTCCTTCAGAGCATAGCATCTCTTGCTTACTTTAGAGAAGCACTTAATTTGTGGTCCTCCACAAAGTTGCCTCTGTCCTTTACTTTTGAAATTTGATCTCTGTCTCTGAGTCTGTCTTTTTCCATCCTCTGCTGCCTTAATGAATGATGAAGAATCCGCAGAGGGATTGTAGGAAGAACAGTTAGAACAGTAGGAAGGGTGGTAGGCTACAGGAACAATGTATTTGAAGGTTTGATTAAATTTCTTAGTAGGAAGGAAGGTCTGTTAACATATTCTGTAGAATTAAAGATGATCTTTTAGGCTGCTTCTTGGATAGGGGGATGGAGAGGTTCCATTTAAATCTTCACGTGAAAATAAAGGTTGGAGAATGCATAGGATGCATGCCAAAAACCAGCGTTGCCTGAGAGAAAAAAAGTAATTCAGTTCTATAATTGATCTGTTCTCTAGGAGTGCATTATGTCTTTGACACCACAATAGCTGCTGATTTTAGCCTTCTGGAGAGCCAGAAGGAATTTGTGCAACGGTACCGCCAACAGAATCAGGAAGAACATGTTTTGCCAATGTTGTCTTCTGCCTGTCCAGGTGAGAAAACTAAATCCAGACATGCTGTAATTTACTTTTCCAATGCTTGTAATGGGAGATGAGTGTGTTTAATAATGATAAAGACAGTGAGTTTCCTGAAGTGTGATTGTCTCAATTGGCTTGCCTTAGTGTTGCATCTATATGTTGGGAAATTAATTTTTATTTTAAAAATATAGCAGCTAAGAAATTTCTGTTTTTCCATTCAGAAAATTGATATCAGTTTCAGTTCTGTAATAGTCCTTGTCAGCTGGTAGCAAATAGCAATAGCAAATTCTGACAAAGGGGATATTCTGTTTGGTTCATTTTTTCCCATTCTTCTCTCTCCTAACGATACTCTTCCATGTTACTATAATATAATTTATAGAAAATCAGCGTTCCCTAGCATTCTTGTAATGGAGCATTTAATGAATGTGTTTACAAGTGGGCTGATTTTCTGCCACTTCCTTAGGGTTTTCTTCCCATTTTTTTTAAAAAAGCATTATTTTTCAATCCTTTGCATTATATTTGCCTCAAAGATCACTGATGTTGGCATAACATCACTGCTTGCCAAAGCAATTCAAACAAAAAGTAGCATAGCATAGAATAAAGTACAGAATTGTTATATAGAATAATACAGAAATATTTTAGCATTTGGACAGAAACCAGAATCTGTTCCATCTGGAAAGACATAAATTTAAAAGTTATTTATTTTTATCTGTGTCTTACATTTCAGTATGTAGATGTACTAAATACTAATTTTCAGGAATGTATCTTTGGATATCACAAACAATAAGAGGAGGAAGGGAGGGAGGGAGGGAGGAAGGAAGGAAGGGAGGGAGGAAGGAAGGAAGGAAGGGGCTTTAAAATATATACTGTAAATTCATTCTAGCTAAATTCTAAGTAAATTTTGAACTAAGACAGAAGACAAAAATGAGGGCCAAACAATTTTATGAGATATATATGACAATAACACCTAAATTCATAGACCATTCCACATTTTGTTTATTTTAATATAGAAATTTATAAGGCCACACAACCCTAGAAAGACTAGGTGGCATACTGTATAGAAAGAACAACCATCAAATGCAATTAGTTGTAAAATACAATTAGTATTCTGCCTTACATTTTGGTTAGCAAGTAAATAAGTAGTTGCTAAATTTGGGACAGGTGAGAATGGATGCTTCAGGCATTACTACTGCAAAGCCTCTTGAAATTTCAGCTGGATATATGTAAAACATTTGCCTGAAACATTCAGCTTTTTAACACATTTACAGAATCGAATTGTGATTGTTATCAGTTTATCCAGCAGAGGTTTCAGCTGAATTTTGCATCTTAGCTGTAAGACTGTTACAAGAATAGCTGAAGTCTCTATGCCAGGCCTTTTCTTTCCTCCTCTCCCGCTCTTAAGTTAGCACTGGGACTCCTCATCTCTTTCTCAGCCAGCTCTTCTCCACTCCAGTTGAACTGAGGCACAACTCTGGCTGGGAAGAATGGCAGCTTTGGTTGAAAGCACGCAGAACATCCAGTTGTGAATGGCAAACATTGACTCTGACTCTACAGCAGAAGGGCTGTATTTCTATATGGTAACAAGGAAGTGCTCCGGGTCCAGTCTTCAGCTTTTCTGTAACAGTATTTCTGGAGTTCTGCCTTGGAGCTGACTGCAGAAAAGGCCTGGGTGTGGGTGCTTGCTTCAATAAAGATAAACACCTTCTGCAGCCACCGCTCCTTATACACCAAGACAGTCTGTGTGATCACGCAATGGCAAATGTGAAATTGCACGGCTAGACTCGATACAATGAACTTTGCTTTTCTTCTTATCAAAACAGATACTCGGGAGGTCACTCAATTTACAGAGTGACGCATGCTATAAACTGGTTCTCAACTCAGCTCATTAAACTTTGCTAAGACTTGTTTGATCAGAAATTATAAGACTCGGAGGCTCTGAAGCTCACCTTTGATGAGATGAGTTATTGTAAATGATTTTGGGGGGGATTACTGTCTTTGTTTCAAGGAGCCACAGCTGCATTGCACATTACATTTTGTTTACCTAACTTGTAACATGTGTTTCGAAAGAGTACCAGTGTATTGCAATCAGGTGATTATTTTCAATTTAAAACATCTTCCCAATGTTAAACATGATACATTTTTTTTCACTCTTTCTTTCTTTACTGGAAGCGTTCTATCTGCAAATGTGAAAGCAGAAATTCATGTATGTTGTAGATACCAGGGGGTGAAGCCCAAAAAGACGAGGGAGGATAAGGAAAAGCAAGTGCGTGCTCAGATAAGTTGGACAGAAGTGTCAGCTGGCTGCTTGTGGCTTGCCCAGCCTAAGCTTTCAGAAGGGAACTAAGAAGATTTGCAAATAGGGAAGAGTAAAATTACATTTGCTTTTCCAGGTGGATTGAAAGTATCTTTGTGCCTTTTTCCTAACCTTAAGTAGAGCCTTTACTAAAGAAAAAAGCAGATCCTCTAAGTATCTTATCTGGTTGAGATGACTGGGGGAAAAAAAAATGTCGATTGAGATTTTGCTTCCTGGGAACTCAGCCAGTCTGCCAAAAAGGTTTTCCTACATGTCTTGCTCTAACGCAGTGTTTCTCAACCTTGACAATTTTAAGGCATGTGGACTTCAACTCTCAGAATTCCACAGCCAGCAATGCTGGAATTCTAAGTGGAATGCCATTCAGTGCAGTGGAGAGCACTTGACCCTCTGGCAATTTGTTGCCTTTGCCCTCCCCCCTGATTTAAAAAAGATATATGTTAAAACTTGATCCTTCAGCCCTGACCAAGATCCAACAGCCATATTGGCTTTCCCACAGGGCCTTGCATACTTTTATTTGCTTATTTATTTCTGCATTCTAGGCAGCTTACAAAATAGGATTAAAACATCTGTTAAAAATAACAAATACCATCATTCCAGAACATTATGGGGGAAATGATTGCTATTGCAAAAGACTGTTAAAGTGGTTAAAGTGTTATTCTTAATTTTAAAGAGTGCCCGATACCCCTTCTGTGACGGTTGAGGTCAAAGATTTGCTTGATTAATTTAGAATTTTGACAGCTCTTTATGCTGTTACTTATTCAGAACAATTTCTCATTAAAAGAAACTTTGAAGCAACCTAAAATCAGATACTGCAATTGCAATTAAAACAATAGGTTTTTAATTAAAAAAAAATAGAACCAAACAAAGGTTAAGATATATTAACATTGAATGCCGAAATTCTGTTTCATTGATATTACTATAGTTCAAGGTGGCAAGGCAGCGAGTTCCAATCCAGTTCTGAAGTTCATGCTTTCCTTCACTTACTGAGTCATTTGGTAGCCAATGTTCCCTCCCTATGAAATCATAAGGTAGTCAAATGTGATTGGAAACATAGTGTCATCACGTTATGTTCCTTATATAGTCCCTAATTGTTATTATGTAGGAAGAGAAGAAGAAATCTAGAAATGATGTCGCAGAAGTTTCAGATCTGGGCTATAAAAAATTTGAAAAGTCACATTTCTGGGAAATTCTTATTATATGTCTTGCAAATGTTCTTGCAGCCCTGAAAGATTTGCAGAAAACATTTGATACTGCAAAAGCAAAAGATGATAGTCTCACGGATAGTGACAGCCTGCCTTCTGCCTGTTTTTCTTTCTCAAGCATGCAGTAGCTTTGTGTGTGGCCTTGTATAGTTGAGGCTGCTAAATCCAGGCATCTAGCTTGGTACCCTCTGCTCTATAATTTCAGGAACTATAGGATGCTAATTACTGGCATTGAAAAGGAAGAAGGTATCTTTGCTAAAAACATATGGCAATAAGTTGGATTTTTCTAAACATCAAGCCTGGAAATAAGACCTATTGCAAATGTAAACTTTTCCTATGAATCTAACATTCATCGTTTCTATAGCTGATTGCTCCTGAAGCCACCACATTAGTTCAATTCTCATGTAACAATCCAAGCCTTGGGAATTTCCCCAAATTCATATTGTCTACAGACTGATGGTTCTTCGGTGATGTGATATTGAGATTTTGAAAAACAAAACTGATTACATCCACCTGGCTTACTGAACAGTTTCTTTGTTCATTATCAATTCACCACCACAGTGATACAAGAATACAGTATTTTTAAAAAGATGGCTTTGTGTTTGTCTTTTTAATTTAATTAAATTTTAACTTCTTTGGTTAGGAATATTCCACCCACTTCAGTCCCTCTTTTAGTAATTTTGTTTGTGCCTTCTAGGCTGGATCCAGTATGCAGAGAGAGTCCTGCCCAGCATGGTAATCCCACATATTTGCACTGCAAAGTCACCCCAGCAGATCATGGGTTCCCTGGTGAAGAATTATTTTGCCAGGCAACAGGTACCAGTTTGCAGTTTCTGATTTGGGGGCTTCTAACTGTTTGAGAGCCAAATGTTCTTTTCTCATTCTGACCTGGGATCATTTTACAAAGGGTTTTTAGCCATTTAGCGAAGTTAATGCTTCTAGTAAACAGGAGCTTTTGAAAAGCCTTCAGCCAACCTGAAATCCTTCTCTAACATCAGCTTGTATTCCTGAGCAAGTAGACTTTTGCTAGCGCCCTTCCCTTGCTACTAAGTCACCTTGATGTTAAATGAAATGTTAGAGTGTGCGCGTGATAAAGGGCAGCAAAGTATGTTTATTCACTGTTTTCAGTTATTTGCCAGTTCTTATCTGCTCTTTTGAAAGATTTTGGTGCCAGCACTCTAGAATCCCCACATCCTGTATAAGCAAAGACCTATATATAAGGAGCCCTGTGCAGTGGTTAGAATGCAATATTGCAGGCTAACTCTGCCCACAGACAGGAGTTTGAGCCTGACAGGACTCCAGGTTGATTCAGCCTTCCATCCTTCCGATCAGTAAAATGAGGATCCAGAGCGTTGGGGAAAATATGCTGATATTTGCAAACCCCCTCAGGGAGTGCTGTAAAGCACTATGAAGCGGTATATAAGTCTAAGCGCTATTGCTATATTGAACTATAATGTTGAACTGGCAGCACCCAGACAATTAACATTAAATCCTGTAATGCCAAGGTTTGGGTTGCAGGGCAGGGAGACGTTTCCCTTGCTCATCCTTCCTAATTTCCCTTCTATTTAGAATGGAATTTAGAGTGCTAGAATGCTGTTATTTATTTATTTATTTAGAAGATTTGAATTATCTCCCATCACAGAGCACAGCTCTAGGCAGTTGACAACAATAATAAAACATTATGGTCTGTAAGCCGCCCAGAGCTGCTTTATTGGGGAATGGGTTGACATATAAATTTAATAAATGCCTAAAAGTACAAGCCATAAATTGTTCTGGATCTTAAAAGCTGCAGTCCGGTACACCAGCCACAGCAGGAAGGGATTTCATTGATTCACTTTTCCAGATATACCCTGCCTCTTCAAGGTAGATGATTCTCCAAGCAAGCTATAGATCAGTGTTTCCCAAACTTGACAATTTTAAGGCATGTGGACTTCAACTCCCAGAATTCCACAGCCAGCAATGCTGGCTGTGGAATTCTGGGAGTTGAAGTCCACATGCCTTAAAATTGTCAAGTTTGGGAAACACTGCTATAGATTGAGCACAGGGAAACATATATGAAGGCCAACCAGGATAGACTAATGGACTCTTAATTTCCAATCTAATAAAATCCATATTCCAATAGAAGAGAATATCTGTAGCTCAAGATTGAACTGTGGACCGGTTGGTGCTCTTTGAGTTCAGTTATTTGCTTTCATGATCCGACTAGGTAACATCATCAGTGCACACTGATAATATTGCCTAATTAGGCCATGAAACATCTGTAAGCAAACAGTCAAGCTCAAGAGCATCAGGATGCCCACAAATCCAAATTCTGTAAGAAACGCTTTCTGAAAAAATGTTTCTCTGTGTATGTGTGTGTGTAATGTATTTTCTTTTTTCCCTCAGAATCTATCCCCTGACAAAATTTTCCATATCATGGTGGCCCCTTGCTATGACAAGAAGTTAGAAGCATTACGAGAAGACTTTTATACCCATTTGTATAACTCTCAAGATGTAGATTGCGTTTTGACATCAGGTAATAAATATCTTCTTTACAATATACCGCATTCACTTTTATTCGTTTTAAAAAATTTCTTTTAACAAGGACATTGTATGAGGACATATAGTCATGTAAGAGTAAGATATGATTGAGTAGATTTGACTGGGTATTTTAAGAGACGGGGAGAAGGATTGGCAGCCAGGGTAGTTTATATTTTGAAATGTTGTGATAACACTCATATTTTTCATCTTTGATATTACATTGCATTATTATGTCATGTTTCTGTGCTTTATATTCTTTAAATTGAAACATGACAGAGTAAGCCCTATCATTGGTGAGAATGTCCATAGGCATGTAAGATTTCTGACATAGTTCATTCTTCTTCTGATTTTAACCAGCCGAGAGCTCTTGTATAATTTTTATCTCAAGTGCCAAAATATCTTTATTGCCCTTGAGTACTAACAGTCTTCATTGTTATTGGGAGTTAACAGGTCATAACTTTCAGTTTCAGAGTGACAAAACAATATATTTGGCTACCTCACCTGAGGGAAGAAAAAGTTAGAAGCCAGCTAAGTTCAGACTTAGTTAATATTTTGATGGAAGCCCTCCAGGGACCCTGAAAGCTTTTTCCAGATGGAAGAGTTAAAAAAAAACCCCTGTTCTAGAAAAAGAAGAGAATTCTCTTGAGAATGTTTAGTAACCTTGTTATATATTTAAGAATGGGGTTTTTTTCCGTACAGGTGAAGTCTTCCAAATGATGGAACAAAGAAAAATATCATTGAAAGAAATAAGTGAGGTCTCCTTTGATACCTTGTAAGTAGCTTTGATAAGTTTTTATTTCATGATTTTTCTAAAAACAATCACCTTATGCATCTCCATCAGATGAAAGCATTTCACAGGCACAAATATGAATTATTATGGCCTTCACCATTCTTCATATGATCCTGTTGTATGATCCTGTTAAAAATTGCTTTGTTTCAGTGTGCCACCCTTGTAAAAATGAGATCCTGCTTATATTTGGGTAACTGGACTGGCCTGGCCCCCATCCCCGTCGCTTTTGTTGTCTTCTGTCCTGTAGCTCTCCTTTGCAGAACTAAAGTATCAGCCAGCTTCTTTGTTCCCTTCATCTTATTCCTCCCTCCCTTCCTTCCCTCCCTCCAACATATGAGCAGATGACACCAGCCAGATGGGAGTTCAGCAGTTCTCATCCAAGTTAAATATTGATGTTGCCAGATAGATTGACTTCTGTTAATGTGAACGTCCACAACCCCTGACAATCACACTACCATATGCTCTCAGTTGCAGTGCAGAAGCAAGAGTTGTTGTTTGTGGACATGAAGGAGTGGCATGTCCAGCATGCAGTACTGGGACACATAAGCTTTGCTTTGCGGGGTTGACACTGGGCCTACATGCCTGTCCTGAGATGTACTTGCTGTAGAAGCATAGAATGTTTATCAGAGCATATATGTGGGAAGCCTCCTCACTGTCGAACATTGTATAGTTTGGAAGTAGTAATAACTGCTCTTTCAGAAGACATACTGCTAGAAATGGCATTTTGAAAACACTTAAGTATTGTTTTAACACTTAAGAATCATGTTATGGTGGAAGTCTTTTAACATCGACTCCCCATTTTATTTGAAACATTGTCTTTAGAAATATTTTGTCTACAGGACAAATATGTAATTTAGTCTATGGGAAACCAAACAACTAGGGAAGAAAAGACTTACAAGATCAAATGGATGCAAGATAAATCACAAACACCATTCACAGCTGTAGTTATCACCCCTTAGAGTCAAATACAACTGGACAGGGGAAACCTTTACCTTTTTATGGTTAAGTAGCGTATTGTAATTGTTGATACACATGTATGTACCAAAGTCTACAGTGCGTTCTTCCCCAATCTTGATATGCTGTGCTATAGCTCCCATAACTCTCAGCCAGCATCAGCCTTTTGCCTGAGAATGATAGCACGTTTAAGGGCCCAGGATTGCCATTTATACAAAGTGACCTTGATTGTCCACCTCTTGACTCTTCCCTTATTACTTAACAGGTTGGGTGGCATAAAAGAAGAACTAAATCGGCGTGATGGAAGATCAGATGGCTACCTGGAGCACATATTTAAACATGCTGCCAAGGAGCTATTTAATACTGAAGTGAAGGAGCTCACCTACAAAATATTAAAGTAAGATGCTTTAAACAGAAAGAGAAAATAGCTGCTTCTCAAGCCACACATACAGATAGTCCTCAACTTATAACAACTGGGAGCAGGATGGCCATTGTAAGTCAGTGTGATCATAAAGCAAGATGTCATGTGACTGCACCAATTTCAGCATTCCCTGTGGCGGTCATTAACTGAGAATTGTTAAGTATTCACTCCTAGCCTTTTGGGGCTTTATCCCTCCCAGCTGTGAGCCTCGGTAAGTTAAGGGACTGCTTCCAACTTCCCCCGCCTATCTCCCCTAAGCATCTGTACCATTTTGGTCACCCTGCATCCTGTCTCATGGTTCTGGGGCTGCTTACCACACCCCAGGAAATCTCAAGCCATCCAGCCTATCTCAGCAAGCCCGAGCAAGCACTCATTTACCCAGCTGCTTTGTCTCCAAGTTCCCCATGCCAACTTTTGCCTTTTGCACCCAACTGCCACAACCAAAGCAGGAGAACCCGACTCTCCTTGCTGTCTCTTTTTGGACCCAGTTTCTCTGGCAAACTTTTCTTATACTCCTGGCTCCTGAGCCTTGGTAAAACTGAGCTCTGTTTGTAAAGCTTTGCAATCATCAGAACCCCTCTGAAAAGACAGCGCAGCTAATGCAGTGCAACTTTACAAAGACAGTGCAGCTTTACGAAGGCTAGGCTACTTTGCTGGGAATAATATTTACTTCAAGCCTTGATTTACATATTTGTTTTGCATACAAACCTTCACTTCATGGGTCAGTATTAGATTTGTTTCTAAAGCACTGTACATAAAGTGTGCAATTGCTTAACCGCCATTGTTTATTTTCGTTCTTTAAATCACTGTTTAAGAAACCTGATAAGCTTTGGAAGGCTGTGACCCTTGAGTTGCAGATGCTTTCAGGCACAAGAGTTCCAAAGGGGGAAGTCTGTTCACAAGGCCACTTTCTGCCCCTTCAGAGCCTGGCCTCTTTGCCTGCATGGTAAAACTGTGCTGAATTAGAGAGACAAAGACTGTCCCTTTGCTATAAAAGTCCAAGACCTCAACTCTTTTAAGGTCATCTGTTTGCCTTTCTTTATGAAGACTAGGTTGATATAAATAAAATCAATCATAGTAAAACCACAGTCAAAAAAAATTTTTTGGGGGGGGCAGGAAATAGTACAGCGTTTCATTTACATAAGAAAGTGTAAAAACAACATCTTGGATTAAATTAAAAAGAACACAAAGAACCAATGCAGGGCCAGACAGTAAAGAACTGGTATCATGCTGCCAGCATTCTCCCCCCCCCCACACACCTTTTTTTTTTTTTTTTACAGAGAGGAACTACTCATTATTTTACCTGCTGAGCTACTAAAGCATATAAGCTGAACTACTAAGGGCATATGTCATCAGTATGTAGTCCCAAATCAGTAAACCCCCACACATCCCTGTTCCTATAATTGTATATATTTATTGCATTTGCAATCACTTTCAGAATAAATCTTGAAACAGTTTGGAGAGAGTGATTATATTCCTTCCAAAAGTGAGCAACAAAATGTGGCAGCAGATAGAATTAGTAGAAAGTGTTTCTGGACATCAGATATAGAGGCTGAAATAGGAAATCCTATCTATATTCATAACAACAACAACAATAATAAAGTTGGAAGGGACCTTGGAGGTCATCTAGTCCAACCCCCTGCTCAAGCAGGAAACCCTATACCATTTCAGACAACTGGCTGTCCAGTCTCTTCTTAAAAACTCCCAGTGTTGGAGCATTCACAGCTTCTGGAGGCAGGTTGTTCCACTGGTGAATTGTTCTAGCTGTCAGGAAATTCCTTTGCTTGCTTGCTTTGTGTGGGACCAACCAGAAATCTTTTTCCCCCCCCCTGTCTTTTCAGAAACAAAGACTTCCAGGAGGTGACCCTAGAAAAGGATGGCGAGACAGTGCTGCGTTTTGCGGCGGCCTATGGCTTTCGAAATATCCAGAATATGATTCTAAAGTTGAAAAAGGGGAAATGTTCCTACCATTTTGTTGAAGTTTTAGCCTGTCCTGGAGGTAACCACCAAACCCTGAGAACTTTGCATCTCCCTATACAGTTACAGTTTTTTTTTAAAAAAAAAAAAGAGCCGAGGTGGGGCAGCAGTTAGAGTGCAGTACTGCAGGCCACTTTAGCTGACTGTGTTCAGCAGGTCAGCGGTTCAAATCTCACCGGCTCAAGGTTGACTCAGCCTTCCATCCTTCTGAGGTAGGTAAAATGAGGACCCAGATCGTTGGGGGCAATGTAAATATATATATACATTGCTTACTGGTGTACACCACTTAGAGAGTGCTTGCACTTAAAGCGGTATATAAGTCTCATAAATAAATAAATACAGTAATTAAACTCTTTAATGTTGCCTATGCTGATTCTAGTTAAGACAGTACTGTCTGAAACTGCATATAGCAGATTTTAGGTGGGGAGGCTCTATTTGTCCATATTTATGCAAACATGTCAGAGGTGGGGTGAATTAATATGGCGATGTAAAGATCTCATGAATATAGGCTATACAAAATCATGGTGGATAAACCCACTCAGTGTTTTAAACTAAACCTAATTTCTTCCCTTGTTTTTGGTCATTGATTTGTAGGTTGTTTAAATGGAAATGGCCAGGCACAGACTGAAGACGGGAAACCCGATAAAGCCCTGCTCAAGCAGATGGAGGATGTATATGCCACAGTTCCTGTTCAGATTCCTGAAACCAACGGGCATGTGCAGAAGCTTTATCAGGAATGGCTAGAAGGGATGGAGTCCAGCAAAGCCCAGGAATCTTTGCATACTAAATACAACATGGAAAAACCAACTGCCAACAGTTTTGATATCAAATGGTGACCCATCTGATTATAAAACTTGGATCAGGGTTGATGGACCTGCAGCATTGTCACAACTATGCTATGCAACTGAGATCGGAGACACAACCATGTAAAGCATGCTCAGAACTAGAACTGCATTTGTTTCCTCATTGGGGTTATGCAGAATCAAAATGCAGCTGGTCTCAGTGTAAATGTGGTGCATCTTTCTTTAATGAAAACTCTAGCCCAATCATCAATATACCTGTTAAGATATATTGGAACGAAAATCAGGGCCTGCTACAAAGTGCTTCAATGCTGACCTCTTCGGTACTTAAGGCCTATGTGCCAAGAATCTAATACCATGAATGTGCTCAGAATGATCTCAGATTAAAATTTATCACTTATTTAAGACTTCATATTATTACCAAACATAGTAAGATGCCAAATATGATAAAAAACCACCTACTACTAATGTGTCTGTAATGTCAGGCCTATTTTCTTAGTTATGGCAAAAAGAATGTCTGAGTTTACACTAGTCTAAGAGAACAGTAGGAACGTTGTCCTCTGCTAGAAATGAATGTTCATTTGGTCAGCTTTATTTAACTCCATGGGGAACAGGGAGTTTGCTTCTTCTTACTGGCATTGATTTCTTCTTGAGAATATTGGTATCCTGGTCCTTAAGACAACCGGGTAAAATCCTTGAAGTTCAAAACTATATTTGGGAGATCTGTATCATCAGCAACAGTGCTGGGTGAATTAGTAAATCCTGAGTAGGCAAAGAGTACTGTAAATGCAGATACGATCATTAAATCAAATGGGCAAAGGTCAAGCTAGAATAGGCAGACATGATAAAGCCAGAATATTTGAAAGAAAGGGCTGACCTGATTTAAGTAGATGTACTATAATTCTTGCCTAATGCTCATGTTTTAAGAAAAGATGGTTCAGTGACTTCTTCCTAGAAACGCTAATTAGTTTTTAGGATTTTCTGAGATTTGTTAAATTTTAATTGTGATAGCAGAGTCCATGCAGATCAGTCACTGATAATCTGTCTAAAGAAGGTAGATATGAAGAGAGATGCCTTAATATGTGGTGAAAGTTGTAGTTCTATTCATCACTTATGGATGTTTCCATTCACAACTAGACACTGTGTACAAGCAGGCAAAACCTGAACATTCATTTTACTCTGGCATCACCCTGCCAATGTCATTGGGATAAATTAACACTTGAGCAGAATTGCTAAAAGGAGAACAATAATAAGACTTCTTTCCATTGAACATATGCTGAATATGTAAATACTGTTTATTAGCATGTGAGGTCACACCCTCAAAGTTTATGCAGCACTTGGCCAATAAGATTGCTTTCCCTGGGAGATGGGCCCAGTAAATCCAGAATTTTTTTAAGCAGACATTATAAGTTTATATTTTAAGAGCTGCATATACAATACTGAGATGCAATTTCAAGTACATGCTCAGTGAAAGGAATGATCAGCAGTTCTTATGCTCTAACGCAGTGTTTCCCAAACTCGACAATTTTAAGGCATGTGGACTTCAACTCCCAGAATTCCACAGCCAGCATTGCTGGCTGTGGAATTCTGGGAGTTGAAGTCCTCATGCCTTAAAATTGTCGAGTTTGGGAAACACTGCTCTAACGTTGTAATGTGAGTCCATTTTCCCCTATTCTGAATCACACCTCTCAAACAAATATACAAAGATACCCTCTTGAATGCTTTGCTCAGGAAGAAAAAAAGTGCTACAAAGATTGATGAATCTTCTGTTTCATTTCTGTTGTTCTTTTGTTTTGTCAGATTTTTGAAACTGCTGCCTTTGGCCTGTCCTATGTTTTCTTTTTCATTAGATGTTCTTACCTTAACACGGGTAAGCTTGGGTGCGATTTCGCTGAGAATCCCAAATTCTTGGATGTTCTTAAATTACCAGTTTATAAATTCATAAAATTGGGATATTATGAATTTTATTTGTCCATTATGAAAATGTAACCTTGAGATGTAGAGGGTTTAGTGGTTCAGTGGTATCTCAGTTCCAACAAAGGCATTAGATTTTTACCCAGGACTAGAGACACAGAAAATCAAGCAATCATAAAGTGATTTGCTTTTTGGCATAGAGATAATGGGAAGAAGAGGTGCATTTTATGTACCATACATATGAATTGGGCTCTAAAACTGCATGTCTAGATTCATAATATCCTTGTAACAAGAAAACAGTAACAAAATGAATACCATACTAAAATTTATCAGTATGGAGGAAAGGAATTCAAAATAGCCGAAGTATAGGTAGGCATAGTGCTACATTAAAATAAAAAAGGACATTTTTATGCTACTTTTTCACAGCATTTGGTGTTCAAGTATATCAGCCCATTAAGGTATCAAATATGGGCCAGCACACTACACACTTAGATTCCTTTTTATCACAAGAACATTCTTCTGGGGGTGAAATACTGATTTTTTCTAAGAATACCTTCAACACTATCAGTTATGCAATTGAAAAGAATTTTGGATGAATGTGCCCAAGGTTGCCTAAATTTCTGAAGCAAGGCAAAAGCATAGAAGCACAGTTTTTAATAACTTTAAGTTATGGTGGCAATGTAATTTATTTCAATTGGGGGTGGGGGAATTGTTCATTGAGTTGCCCTGGACATTTGATTTCCCCCCCCCCTCCAATTCTGGCTTTTTTACTCCGTTCTAATGTGTCTGTATATACAAATGGACCACATCTTACATTAAATACTAGGGCTTATGCACTCTGACAATAATTCAGAAGAAACTTTTGAAAATCTACCATTTCTAGTATTCATTAAAGTAGCCATATCACTAATGCATAAGACTAAAAATTTGTGGGTCTTTAATAGTCAATAGTTTAATTCATCTTTTTGCAGACTCATAGAAACCTGAATAAAGACAGGCTGCTTTAATGAACAGTGGAGAGGTGCTACATTCATGGCATGTCTTCTGGATCATTTTCAAAGCATATGCAGCCCTTATTATATAATTTAACTTGATGTTATACATATTTTAACAGCTTGTAATGTATGTGCATGATAGGCTTTGAAAAATACGGATATCAGTGAAAGATTTTTAAATAAAAAGGCCCAGTGTTCAAAATACTCTGCGAGCATAAGTTCCCATATACTGTGTTGGCTGTGGTTGGAAAAAAAAAATGCTTTTTTGTGCCAAAATGGAAGCTGCTCGGTGTAAATCAAGGGTTATGGAAAAATCCTGTCACTTGACTCAAGCAAATTCTTATTGCATGTCACATCTGTCGTACTGCGGTTTCCCAGGCTTGCCCCTGCTCAGGCTGATCAGGCACCACAGAAACAACAGATGAATTTAAAAACTCACCTCCTAGGGTTACCTGGATCTTTTTGTCCTCCTTGTCGACAGGGCCTCTAGTTACCCACTGAAAGACAATACAGAGTAATTCCTAATTATTTGTGTTTTTTTTCGGGTAGGAAATGGTACAGTATGCTGGGCAAAGCTTGTTTCCTTTGCAGTACCTTGATGTCTTTCCATGATGGAAAACTGGATGGTGTCATCCTTTTTGCATCTCAGAAAGATACCAACACTCGTGAAAAAGTAAAAGCCATAGATAGGAAATGTTGTCCACATGCTAGATCTGTGGCTATGCAAAATATGAGCTGTAGGAGGTCATGATTACAAAATCTGTTACATGCAACAGTTATTTACACTATAAACCTATGGATCATAACATTCTATGAAATTATCAGCAAATACCCTTAAAGGAGAGTTTCTTACATTACGTGTCTAGAGTAGAAACATTGGAAGCATATTCCTCTTTTAGATTGGATTTACTTGAAACTAGCTCTTTTTTGATCATTGCATTATAACAAAATATTTTAAGTTCAAGGTTATAGAAATTTTTATCATTTGTCAGCTGTGCATCTGGTCGTTAGATCAACTTTCTTAAATCGCTGTGATGGCATTTTGTGGAAGCCAGCGAACATATCCAATGCACCTTCCTCCTACTCCTTTCCCTACAACAGCAACCCTGTGAGATGAGTTGGGCTAAGAATGAGTGACTAAGATCAACCAGCTGGTTTTCATGGCCAAGGCTGAACTTGAACTCACAGCTCGGTGTTTTAACCACTATTTAATTCTGGAATATATTCTGGGAATTTGGGGAGTTGCAGTCCACAAGTCTTAAAAGTTGTCAAGATTGGACACCCCTGAATTAAAAGAACCTGGGCTGCATTCTGGTCATGTTTGGCTGCTACAATGCATATTTGTGGTGCTCTTCATGAGTAAGCAACTAACTAGCCCAGATTTTGGTAGTTAAAGGTAGAAGCTTAGGGAGGCTTCCCGACTGCACAAGCTTTAATTAAATCCAAATTCCTCTAGAGAAAGTTACAGAGACCAATTTCTCTGCTTCCTGGTGGTCTCTGCTCAGTCATCACTTTTGCAGAATGAGAATGTTTCTCCTTGCATTAAAGGAACGTTTTAAAAAGAAAACATGTTTTCGAAAAAAGAAATCTACCCTAATCCTGCTCATAATTACAGTTATATCAGAAGATTTCCAAATCTTTCTTAATAACATACACATTTTTACTTCTCCACCTCAGGTTTCATCCTGAGGATTAGCGTGGTGAGAATACCTACCCACCCACCCACTCGCTCTCTCTCTCTTGCGCGCACCCCGATTTCAGGCAGATCTGCTTTTTAGGCACCGTTACGCAGCCAGAAGATCCTTGCTTGTATTATGAAAAACGCTGTCTTGTAAAAAATCAAGCAGCCAAGAAGTCTGGAGGAAACCCTTCAGATTTTTGTCTGCCAGAAAACGTTCCTGAATAATCAGAAAGGTGCTTTTTCACGAAGCAACTGGACATCCTTGTTTTCCTTTGAAGACATTTCGCTTCTCATCCAAGAAGCTTCTTCAGCTCTGACTGGATGGAGGGGAATGGAAGAATTTATATTCCTTGCAGGCAGCTGGTCATTTGCATTGTTTTAGAGCAGTGGTTCTCAACCTGTGGGTCGGGACCCCATTTGGGGTCGAACGACCATTTCATGGGGGTCGCCAAACAACGCAGTCCACCATTTTTTCCCCCTTTTCCTTAGCTGTGCTACTCCCTTTTATTCTATTGGCTTTTGAAAGCCAATAGAATAGACTCTCTTGAATAGAGTCTAATTCTAATGGCTTTCAAAAGCCAATAGGAATTTTCCAGGCTGTCTCTGCCCTGCTGAGCCTGCCAAAAGTCCCACTCTGCAAACGGTGCTGCACCAGTTGAGTAGTCCTCGACTTACGACCGGTTGAGTAGTCCTCGACTTACAACCGGTTGGGGGGGGTCGCGGCATTAAAAAGGTTGAGAACCACTGTTTTAGAGAGTTATTGAGGCTACCTGGAAGTTTACCTGTGTCCTCAGGGTCACCTGAGTGGTGCAAATGGGTGTGGAGCCTTCTTGGAACTGTTGAAAGGACTACATTGTAGACTGGAGATAGATGATGTCGTATCCCTCCCCCTCTGTTCAATTTTGACATAGTGGCCTCTTTGACCCCTCTTTCAAACCAGAGGTCCTCTCTGTCCAAAATGTGGATTTTGCTGTCTTCCATTTAAATGCAGATGGACTGCTGAATCTTATCCTGATGGGTTTGTGCTTCTATGTTGTGCCATGTGTTTATGAAATGGTTGTTTTGTTTCCCCAACGTACAGACTTGCACATGTCTCACTGCGCTCCTGAATTAATATCACAGCAAAATTTCCAGCTGGAGAATTTTCATCTGACCCCGATGTTTCCAGTTTATACTTTTTGCACCCAAGCAATTGATTTTGCCTTTAATTGAATAGGATCAGCAAATAAGCAAATCTTATAAGACAGCGTAGTACGTTTATTGCAAAGATCTTTTCAAATAAAGGCACATTTTCTTGTTCTCAAGAAATAGCTGTTATCTAAAAACAAAAACGCTCCCTTAAAACGTTATGCTGCAAACTTAGGTTCTACCGAGATTTGAACTCGGATCGCTGGATTCAAAGTCCAGAGTGCTAACCATTACACCATAGAACCACGGGACAGGCGTTATTTTGGAAAAGTCCCCCATTAGCACGTCCTCCTCCTTTCCCTTTGAAATCTGGAGTTTTTTGCTGTTACATTTCCTACAAGAAAACTTTTCTCAGAATGACAATCTTCTGTTGAGCAATAAAAATTTGAGAAACTATAAGGAAAACTGTTCCGTGTTCTTTTAAAAAGCATAACTCAAAAGCCCTTTAACCAAACGACCGAAATTCACCATGATTTTTCGACTATTTCCATTATGGAAATACATAAAGTCAAAATGAAAAAAATTTGACCTAATAGTTTTCAAATATATTTTTCTTAATTCTTCCTTTTTTTTTTCCCATCAGTCCATAAAATGGAATCCGGAATTATCTTATAAAAAAAACTTTACATGACAGGTTCCACCGAGATTTGAACTCGGATCGCTGGATTCAGAGTCCAGAGTGCTAACCATTACACCATGGAACCACGATGCAAACGCTTTCGATTCTCTCATACTTACTCCGGTCGCAAATTAACCTACAATTTTTTTTTTCAGTCTTCAGACCGGATTGAAGTTTCGGATTCAAATTAAAAACGTCGAACTGATTATTTATATCAAACTTCTTTCCTTCTAAAAACAGCCTCTCCGGTTCAGCGCCTCCCAAACCCACCAATGAAAACTGAAATGAGAAACACCCGAGGAATCTAATGCGATTCATAAATAGCGCAGAAGACAGTTGCAAACGCAACCCAAGGGAAATGACATCGTCAAACAAATGTATTATTATTATTATGGTTCGTGGCACAATCAGTCACATGTTTAAGACTGGATTTGGCGATTTCATTCACCTAGAGATTTTATCCCAAGGACCTGGAATAAGCGGTTGCTATTGATTGATGGTATTAAAGCTGTCTCAAGATGTAAGCTGTTGCAAATAAAGCTGATTTTTGCAAGTGAATAACGGGGATGGTTTTCAGTTATTTTCGGATTGCACTTAAGGTGCCCATAGTTATTGACACTACTTTTCCTTTCTTTTGCCACAGTCGTTCTACAGTTTGCTGATTCTATTTCTAGGCCTTTGTATTTTGTGATTTTCCTCTAGTTCTTCCGTTCCAGAACTAATGTATTCTTTTCAGATATCCTCTTCACCTTGGACTTAAATTCGCAACAGGTAAAAAAAACAAAAACACCTTTTCTTTCAGTAGTCCTGCAGCTGCTGGCCGTGGTTACTCAGCCAACAGTCCTGATTTCTGTAGCATACGTGGCGCCAAATAATATATTAATACAATTAGTGTTGATGTTTATTTAAATAAGTGTTTAATTTAATATTATCTAATCTTACATTATTATTTTTATGTAATTGTATTGCACGTTTTAAAAAAGGAAAATAAAACGAAAACAAACTAATATATAAGATATCGGAAAGAAAGCTTAAAGTGCAGGAAAGGGAAAAAAAGTTTTAAAAATAGAAAAGAAAAAAATTCATAGCGATGACTTCTGTCTTTACAGCAGTTAATGAGTACAATTATACATTTATTTTAAGGTTATAGCATTATTCTTTTCTTTCTATAATCTATCTTGTCTCATCATCTTAACCATAAATCATAAGTTCACTTTTTAATTTATTTATTATATTATGCGTTTAATGTTATTATAACTCAAGGCAGCAGACACATACAATAACCCTTCCTCCTCCTATTTTCCCCAAAACAACAATCTTATGAAGTGGTTTGAGCTGAGGGAAGAGTGTCTGGCCCAAAGTCATCCAGCTAATTTCATACCTGCTGTGAGACCAGAACTTCAAGCCAGGTACTTCAGCCATAATAAAGAGGCCTGCTTTTTTGCTTACCCCAAGTTTCCGTTCTCTCCCAGTCATCTTCTGCTCAATAGATCACATGTGGTAAATTCTTTGTTAGCTGGGGAATAAAAAAAGGTTTAATAAAAAAAATGAGATGATATACCTGTCTGACGGACGTAAAAAAAAACAATTGGTGGGAGATAGCCTTTTAGCAACTTTCCCAGCCAAAGGCATGTCAGGGTTGGAAAATTTTGTTAAAATGACAATGCCATTGTCTTTTTAAATGTCTGACATCACAATACATGTGCAAAAAGAGCAAAACTGAGTTCTTAAACTCTGAGTCGCCTCAAACTCCAAGATGAGCAGCAAGCTATAAATAAACAGTTTGTCCCAGTTGCTCTTTTCCCCAGTCTCAGATAATGGCATTATTCTCACAAACAACAATAACAACATAAGTGTCTCAGCTGCAGCAAACCTAAAGTGAATGCTTGACTCACAAGCAAGTAGTTACAAATTCTTCCATTAACCCTAGGATATGCCCAAATTTAAGAACTACTGACTTACAGCATTAACACTGTAACATTATTGTATAAGATAAGATAATCTTTGTTGTTATTTTTTACTGCGGAAACACTGGCACACATTAAAAAAGAAATTCTGTTGCCGACTCTCAAAAGTATACACATACACAACACACATGTAGACATGCTATATACATACATATGTATATACCTACACCCTTACATATAAATACATATAAATATTTATCATTATCCATTTTGAATACATAGAGGAAAGAGGAAGCTTGAGAGTTCGCAAAGTTGATACTGTATGGAACAAAACTGTGACTGAATCTGGATGTTCTGCTTGATGTATTTTTGTTGAATTTACCTACCCAAAGCTCTAGGGCACGGGTGTCAAACTCGCCACGTCACATGTCGTGTCGCGACGTATCACGACTCTTTTTGCATTGCCAGCAATGGGGTGGGTGCAGTTTCAGCATGATGAAACCGCCCGTGGGCCGGCAGTTTGACACCCCTGCTCTAGGGTGTTGTTCATCCATCCATTCAGCTGTCCTTAGGTGACATGTTTAGGTGACACGAGGATGGGCAGTTTGAGGACTGGAAGCTCAACCTTCTGAAAGATTATGAAAACCCATTTGGTGATGCTATGATATAACCATAAGGGTCTATTTGGGAGTTGGTTGTGTTTTGTTTTTTTGTTTTTTGCTTCTTAAGATTTTTAAGTGGTTGTGTTTCTGATCTTAAAATCAGTCTGAAACTGGGTTGATATGCTACCATTCTGCCCCCACCCATATGCAGGAATTTTACTAAATCTCAAATAAAATCACCTGGATGTGCAGAAATATAGCTCACAGCTAATCAGCAGTGAGTTGATTAAAAAGAGTTTTAAAGTTGCTGTTTGTGATAAAAACAGTACCTTTTTAGATGTATGACGACTAGAAAGAGCAGAAATATTTTTTTTCCTTTGAATGTCTTTTGCATTACTTTGTGGAAAGCAGTGTTATTTCAGTTTTATTCTATTCACTTTAAAAGAATAATCTTGTATTTGGAACAGATCTTTTTAGAGCAGATGATGAAACATATAAACAAATTCAGTGACATACGTAACCATTTTTTTTTCATTTTCCTTTTTGTTTAAACATACTCATTCTCTGTTTATTTGTTGCACTGTCTCTTCGATTTCCTAGCATTTGAATTCTTTGCCAAGGGCTCCACCTAAAAGGCATTGGAAGTTGTGAGAAATTAATTACAAGTTTTTCAAATTTATGCCTGACATCATCTTGTAGGGGTATATACAAAACATAGATTTGACTTGTCTCTAAATTTAGTGATTCAAAAAATAGCTCAGTTCACTATGGATTACTTGGAACTCTTCCCTTCTTCAACTTTTGGCCAAATTACAATCTTGGTTTAGGTATTGTTCCAATACCATGAAAAGGAGAACATTTGTCATGCTTGACATAATTGGATGAAAGTACATATTACAAAACTCCAATGTTATGACAAAAACAAAAAATATTTTTATCCACTGTCCCCACACTATCTTAATCATTCTTTCTTTCAACATGGTTTCAAGCATTATTTCCTCAAATCACTAATTTTGTCTACTAACCATACCCTGGAGGCCTGCTAGCAGATAGGAAGTTTGCAAAAATCTACTTAATTCTCCCCAGGACAGAGAGGGCAATTTTTTTCATCTTGTATCTATGCATGTTTTATATAAACCAAAAGGCTTCCAGTGCATTCATCTTTTGTCTTAGATAATTTTGCCTCTTCCTTTTGCTGCAGATGTTCAGGTATTATAGTATAGTTTTTGAGATGGAACAGCTGCTAGATTTTTGGATATTATTTGAATATGGCTTTGGACATTAGTTGAATATAGTATATTATCTGAAATGATGATTTAAATGTAACTCAGGCACATATTCTGAATCTCAGGATTAGTTTATACATTGTTCTTTAAAATTCTTTAGGAATTCTGTTGGATGTTAGTATTTTGTCACATGTTTAATAGCAAATCCTGCATCACCAGGATTATATAGTAGGAGAGGGAATGTTGGCTTGATGACTCTTCCCCTATAAGTGCTACAGAGCTTGTTGCTCTCCCCACTGCTGTTTAATATCTGTATCAGGGGTCTTCAAACTTGGCCCTTTTATGACTTGTGGACTTCAACTTCAACATGCCTGGCTGAGGAATTCTGGGAGTTGAAGTCCACAAGTCATAAAAGGGCCAAGTTTGAAGACCCCTGATCTATATGAACTAACTGGGTGAGATCACCTGTTATTTCAGGGTGCAAAACTATCAGTATGCTGATGATAGTTTTACCTACTTGAGCCATATGATTATACTCTTGAGATCTTGGTGTCTAGAAGCTGTGAAGGTCTGAATGTAAGAATACAATCTAATATTAAATCCTAGCAAGATGGCATTATAGTTTGCCCATTAGGATTCTTGGGTAGCTAGGTATGGTAGCATGACCCATGGACCAGAAGCTCTATGGCTTGGGGATCTATCTGAATTGTAGCTCTTGCTGAAATAACAGGTACAAGCCATGGCTAACAAGGCCTTTACTTGACTCTAGTTGAGGCCCTAACTACAGTGAATCAGGTTTTCATTAGAGTTTACTTAGACTGCTGCAATGCACTCAACGTGGACTTGCCTTTAAAAATCACGTAAGTTTCAATTGGTTCAAAATGCAGCAGCCTATATACAATCCAGGGCTCAGCAGAGAAAATATTTTACAACTGTGGGCACTGCATTGGCTTTCTGTAGGCTTAACCTATAAAGCTCTTTATTGCTTGGCTCAAGTTACTTTCAAGACTATATTTGCCCATTAAAATTAGCCCAAACCAATTTGATCTTGCAGCTGATGATTGTCCATATTTAGGAATTGGTGTGGGGAGTGGGGTGGTGACTGATTCTCAGAGACTAATTTTCTTTGGCCGAGCTCATAAATCTAAGCTCTGGTATGGCCTCCCTTTGGAGCTTAGATTAGCTCCAATTTTAACTATTTTCTTTACTACTTTGGTACCCACTCAGTTTAAAAGAGGACATTGTACTGAGACATTGTATTAGCAGTGGCCAAATTTACATGACAGTGGCAGAAACTGCAACCCTGAGCAGAGGACAAGAGCTTGTTCAAACCGGAGTTTTATTTATATCACCCCAAGGCAAGATTGTTGGCCCTGAAATGTGGAAGAAAGGGGATCACAACTTTAAGTATGCTAATCCACTGTTTCCCTCATGGCTGTTTCTAAATCAGTGAATGTGTTTTCAATTGCTTTTACTGATGAGCATAACAAAATGTCAACTGGCGATTAGGAGAGAAATAAACAGGCAGTGGAGTCAAGAAAGATTGAACACATCTCCGGAAGGTACATTGTTTGGGAACCAACATTACAAGACATTGCACCAAATAAAAGCCCAACAGCAGCCATCTTTCAGTTTAGCACCTCTCTCTCATACAGGCACATACGCAACACTTTCACAAAGAGTACATTTACTCCCATTTACTTCCCATTATTTTTCACTAATAATGGACATCCTCACACTTGCAGAGGTGCGCATAGTCTTTCTACGAACCATATTCATATAGTAAGAATATAAACATTCTCATTTCTGTGGTAAACAGATCACTTTGCCCAATCTGGTGATCTCCAGATGAACCTCCCATAGATTTGCTATATAAAATAGCTGAACCAAGCTAGTGCCAATATTCTCCAGTTTTTAAAAAAGAAGTAATCTCTATCTATAAACCTTTTGATTAACTTCACTCATCTGCCTTCACTTTTTACTGATTTTATCTCAGTCTCAAGCTTCCCCTAACTTAAGATCCTGCATGATCACCCTTATCATACACGATTAGTGCCACTGTGGGCCATGCTGACTGGGAATTACAAGAGTTATTACTTGACAGGTGGGGGGGAGGGGGAGTGGAAACGGCAGGCCTATTTGGAGAACAATTATTTTGAGGGAAAATGCAAGTCAAGCCAGATCCAAAACACATTATACGCTGCAGTATTCAAATTGGGCTCCAAAAATTCTAATGACCACTAGATGGCAACAAAGACACATAGCAAACACTAATATTTTGTGGATTTCTAGTGTTCATCTTGATTTTATTTATTAGATTTTTTTATCCCATCTTTATTACTTTATAAGTAACTCAAGATGGTGAACATACACAATTCTCCTTCCTCTTCCTATTTTTTCCACAACAATAAACCTGAGAGGTGATTGGACTGAGAGAAAATGACTGAACCAAAGTCGATTTTCATGGCTAAGGCTGGAGTAAAATTCAGTTTCCTGGTTTCTAGCATAGTGTCCTTTTTCTCTCTCCTTGCAGTCCAGTATGGAGGCCTGGCTGAAGGTGCATCACAACAAATATCACTTGAGAATTTAAATCCCAAGAGACTGTATAGCTTGATCATCTGATCAATAAAAGTTCATATCACCTCGTAACTATAACCAGTGAATATAGATGTTGGAGGTTTAGCAATGTACTGAATTTATAACTAGCCTCATGAAAATATCCACTTGCAATCCATTCTAGTTTGAAACATTAGAGAAGACTTGGAATTTGCCATCCCTGTCCCTAATTCCAAATTTAAGGTGGAGTACCTTTCTGAGATAATTTGAGTATTGCTGCTGCCTTTGTACTATTACTAAAATGACACAGCAAAGATAAAAATGTTAAGGAAAAAAATACTTTTCTGTTTAGAGTTGTAATGTCTTTACATTTTGAGATTTCTATGAACCTGTAGCATTGCATGAGGAGAAGGAGGCAGTGTCAGAAGATGAGTGCCAATATTCATCGAAGACATGAATTTATCAGTAGTGGTCAGTTGCTTTGTCTGCAACAAGTCAGTTGCAGTAAGCTTTACAAATTGTGTAAAAAAATGACAACACACACATGCTGACATTATGATACATAATCTGTTCTTACACATTTGTGTTCTGGTGTCTTACCTGACACCAGCAGGTACATCATGAAGATATGTGTCATAACATCATGATATGCATTTCATCATATGCTCCCCACCACTATCTTGCGGGTGTGTATTTTTTTAAAAAGTTATGCAGTTGGCCCAAACTGGACATATCTACCCATGTGGAATGAAAGCAATGCAACATTTTGAAATGTGGAATATTTAATCCCCACTCCAGACATTTGCTTATTTTTTTTAGAACTAAAAGCTATCAAAACCTAGCACTACTGCAGATGTGAAAGGTTCAGTTAATCACACCAAAAAGGCAAAGGTTCTGAAACCTTTTTCAGTTTCCTGTGAGAATTTCCTAAATGTCAAACCCATCTACTTTCTAAGATCCAAGCACTCTGGTGTGAACCCAGAACCTCATACTCTTTCTATACTCTCTATTTCTTTTCCATGCATCCATTGCTTATATTCTCCCCGATTGCTGAAATTCCTCATTTTTCCAATATTAGTTTACAATTCTCTTGACCTTCACCACTGCTCTGAACACTTCACCCAACATGCAGACAATTCATGCTTTCTATTAACTCTTTTGAAATAGCAATTGTCCAGGAAACCAGAGGCCCCATTTCAGATGACTCACTTGGCACTCTAAAAAATGTCTTTTGTGCTCTCTTTCATAGCCCAGCAGTACACTTTTAATGATAGATGAAAAGGCCGTATCCTATTCTACTGCCTCCAGATCCTCAAACATAACTTTGTTTTTTTGTTTGTTTGTTGTTTGCTTCATTTGGATTTATACAACATTCTTCCAAGGTGCCTCTGCAAGAGAAAATCGGCACAACCCTTCTATCAAGGGAGCTGAGCTTGATGTATCAGTTTTCAACTTCAATTTTCTGTTTTTCTTTCACTCCAGCAGCAACCACAGCAAAAAATATCTCTGGGAGGAAAGTGCGAATATAAACAGCTGCCTTTGCGATGGGGTTTGCCATGAACACCTCTTGCTTCTTCCTGTTCACTGTCCGTAGAATTTCTTCTGCTACCTCTGTTGGGCGGACACCATAAGCTGACTTTCTGAAGAAGTCTGGGAATTGGGCAAACAAGAAAGTATTAAAAGAGATAACTAGCTGCTACGTGTCATGCTCTTGTCTCATTTTAAAGACAATATGAAGCCGATCGTGGGGACAGGGAAGGAAAGAAATTTGGAGGAATGAAAGGAAGATGCTAATTCAAAGGAAAAGAATAAATAAAAGAATAATGAATAAATAAAAATGTTGGAAGGAATCTTAAAATGATGAAATGTTGTTCCAGGAAAATAGGCAGACAGGTTAATGTTTGTTGCTTTTAATAAACTACTCAATAAAAAGAAGACCCAAAACTTTTTTTTAAATGATAAAAACTGCTCCAGGGTGTCAGAATGAGGGATGTATTCTCCTTTACTTTTAATTCTATATTTTAAAGGCAAAGAAAAGACATATTTTTTTTTCTTTAAAGGGCTAGTTGCCATGTTAGGAAGGGAGTTGCATTATTTATCACAAGGATGTCAGAAACATTCACTTTTTGTTACTTATGATGCAGTAATGGTTTACAGCCAATGTATTGTTTTCTGTGCTGAGAGCAAGCAGCAATGAATTTTCTAAGTATTTTACAACTGGTTTGCCCATATTTATTAACTGGACAGAAAAAAATATGTATGAATGCCAAGAGTTAACATTAGCATTCCCTACTTTTGAAAACAAAAATTTACGTTTCTAGTTAATGTGCTGCCTTATATTCCAACTACAAATCATTACTTATGCTTCTGATAGTAGTAGATGATAGTAGGTTCTTTAGAGGAAATGTATCGCAAGTCTTTGTCTCCAAAGACTGGTGATTTTGAATTTTGTCAGCAAGTTATTTGCCTAAATCATCTTTGTCTTCTTGGGTATTTTTTATCTTTTAGTTCTGCTTGTGTTCTGGTCGCCATCCCAGTGTGAATGACTTACTTTTCCATGAAGCGCCTTCCCAGTTCTTAGGCTGCAGCTGATTATGATCGGAACATATAAAACTTGGAGACACAGTACTGACACAAACACCAAATTCCTGCAGTTCTGCTCTCAGGCAATCAAAAAATCCTAGAGCAGCATGCTTCGAAGCAGAATCTAGGAGAAAGAGAGATTCATGCAAGAAACATACTATCATAATATACCAAATACCCATCCATCCAAAAATCCATCCATCCATCCTTCCACATTAGCTTGTCTAATGTTTGGATTCAGGATCTCCTATACTAAGAAAAAAATAAAATATAAGTCATGTTCGTGCTTCCTCATTTTCCTCATGCCACGAATATACCTTGATAATTGCTTTTTTTCTTCCCTTCTATCTCCAGCCCATATCTGAGGTAGCTTAATGTTGTCTTTAACAGTGCAAGTTTCAAAATCATGTTTTCTCTTGTCTTCCAAAATAGTTTGTTCCTGGACTGAATCTGGCACAGTTCACTAGTGATACGGTTGCTGATGTAGTAAGCAGTTGGGATCTGCCTCGTTCTCATTGGCTTCTTTGTGCTGCTTCAAGCAGGGCCCCCCTTCTCCAGTTGCTGGAAACTATCCTCCATGTTTCTTTTGGCTTATGCTGCTGAAGAGGCTAGAAACCTGGCTTCCATAAAACATCTGATTCCATAAGGCTGAACCAATGCTTGCTGCAGCACTTGTCAAGTCTTATGCTGGCTCCTTACCACACAAGTTTAGCACTTTCATGAAAAAATGTTCAACCTGTATCTTGAAATACTGAAATAATGCTCTAAAAAGGTGCTAGCCCTCTGCACGTAGAAGGTTCTAACAATGGTTGGAAACTGATCAAACAGAGAAACAACCTGGAATTAAGGAGAAACTTCCTGACAATGAGGACAGTTAACCAGTAGAATAGCTTGCCTCCAGAAATTGTGGGCGCTCCATCACTGGAGATTTTCAAGAAGAGGCTAGACAGTCACTTGTCTGAGATGATATAGGTTCTCCTGCTTGAGCAGGGGGCTGGACTAGAAGACCTCCAAGGTCCCTTCCAGCTTTATTCTATTCAAAGTCAGTGTAAAGCAGGTTATAGACAGCCTTCTGTCATCTTGGTATTGCTAGTTCACATGTTGTTGCTTTAACTATATTTACTACTTTTATTCCTGAGGACCTACACACAAGTTCTAGGACTATCATCTGACCATTCCTATCTCTAGAACCAGTATTATGCAATTGTATTTGCCATGTTCAGGCAGTTCACCATTGTTATTTGTAATACCTGAAGGAAGTGTGATGGCATTTTTCTGTTCCATTCTATTTGGACAAAGTTAAATGTCAAAATAATGACTATTGTTATGCACTGGCCAATCACAATATCCCATTGGCTCCTTCTTTGGGACTGTTAGACCTAAACTCAGTATTGGTTTTCTTGGTTCTCCATCTGATGGTTCTGAGGTCTGGAGGAGGAGCTGCTCTTACCATGAGCAAGATGAAATCTCCCTCCTGTTTTTCTCCATGTCCTTCTCCGAGTCTATCGATTGGGTAGTCTGACAGATGGCTAAAACTGCCATTCTGAGCATCTGCTCACAATAATTTATTCCATCCCATATTAAGGGGGATTTCCTATAAGTGGGTGGCATATGGTGGGAAGGAAAATAAAACCAATGGAATCTATCAATTTCTTTCCTTACCTTGATCTGCATTAAGAAAGAACAATACATTTGCCAGCTTTTTGCAAAATTGGATTCATTGGTGAGAGAAGCACAATTTAAGCCAATGCATTGTACTGCTGGACTTGCGGCTAGGACCTTTACGAGACTGTCCACAAGTCCCTTAAGGATTTCTTAAAGCATCCATTACCCCAAATCATTTCAGCAAAACAAAAACAAAAAACCTCCCACCAATCAGATAACCTACACAATCAAAGCTATTACCACATGCCGGTTTCATATGAATTTCTTAAAATATAAAGTTGCAATCAGACAGGATCTAATAGAAGGCAATGACAAAGCTCCCACATCACGCTGCACCATGATGTGTATAATTATGGTTCATTGAGTTAGTCACAACGGAGTGTGTTTGCACTATTAACTAAACTATAGTCTATACATTTAATCAAAATCAGGCAAATTGCATGTTTGCCTACATCCAAATGGGGTACTCAGACAACTGAAATGATTGTTCAGTGGCATTGTCTGTAATAACTTGGAGGAATACATGGATTCAGATGATCAAGTCCATCTGTATCTTCTGACAAATATGGAAGATCAGTGAAGAAAACATGTGGTAGAATTGAAAGCTATTCTTACTTGGTGAAACTAAAATTCTTTGGCTTTCTCTTAATAATAGCTAGATTCAGAGAAACTAAAAAATATTTAAGATTCTCCAGTTGTTTTAGACTCTAAATGGAAGACCTCAAGTTTCATATTGTTCTAATTGCCCAGAAATAAAAAAGAAAAAATGAGTTAAATTCATAAACTCACAGGCTGCACGAAAGGGAATACCCAATTTCCCCTGGATATTGTTGACTAGCACAATTTGACCAGTTCTCCTGGAGATCATGTTGGGAAGAAAAGCTGGAGAGCAAAATATGAGAGAAAATCATTTCAGATTAACAGATATGAAAATACTAATTTCTGATCCTCTAAACCAGGCATGTCAAACTCGCAACGTCACATGACGTCGCGCAACATATCGGGACTTTCCCCCCATTGCCGGCAATGGGGTGGGCACGGTTTTGGCGTGATGCATCCGGTGCATGGGCCAGCAGTTTGACATGCCTGCTCTAAACCAATAGCAAATGAAAGGATCACAATATAATATCAGCTTACACTATGCTATATAGAAACTATGAAACATTTTTTTTTGCTCTGTATGCATTTTTCAGTGGTAAACACAGGATTCAGATATTTTTTTTTTCCTACCTGTAGTTACATTCCTCAGGAACTGAAAGCTGAGAAAACAGTTCAGGTCCTAAAAGAGCAATTGATAATTGTGCCTGGGATGAATAAAAATGCATTGCTGATCAATGCAGATAAAACAGAAATGTTTCTGATCAATTGAAAAGCAGTTAGGTAATTGCTAATTCCCTTGAATGTCATGCGGGGGAGGGAGGGCATAAATATGATAAAGAAATAAATAATTTCCTTGGTTGCTTTCATCAATGCAACGTCAATTAATCTAATTTCTTCTAGGTGACCCACAAGAGATTAAATATGCCCAATAGAGATCTTTACAATATGAGACAACATATCAAGCAGCCACATCTTCAATAAAATATCTTCCACACAGAGATTTTTTCAAAGGGAGAAAAGACCCCATTCCAGGAGATTGGAAAAAAAAAATCTACAGCCTTGTTAAACATCACCACTTTTTAACCCTAACAATTTCATAAGTTTTTAACCAATTACATTGCTGCAGTTTAGTGTAGGGCTTTTCAACCTTTTCACAGATTGTACCACTTTTAGGACATGACAATATTCAAGTACCACCCGTGCTGAATCAGGTATCAAAAACTTGATGACTAAAAAAAAGGGCGAGGGGAATTTTAGGTTTTACTGATTAGATTGATTTGTTGTTATAGAAATGGCTAGTTTATACTATTATGGAAAAGTAAAAAGTTGAAGTTCAATGTTAATGCTTCATTCTATTGCAACAGAGGAAGTCGGAAGTCAATGCCTTTTCTTTTTGCCCTTCTCCTCACTTTTCTTTCCCTTTTCCCTCCCTACTGTGTCCTACTATTTGCTTTTGTATTTTCATATTTTATTCTATAATCTAATAAAATGTTACAAACTGTAAAACAAAGGAAAAAAGTACTAGTTTTACTCCTCTTTTTATATCCCCTTCTCTCTCCCCCTCCGCCTTCTATATCCTCTCTTCTTTCCCCACTCCTCCTTTTATATCCTCTCCTCTCTCCCCACTCCTTCTTTTCTTTTCTGCTCTGCTGGAAGTGCCAATCAGCTGAAGCTGCATGCGTCGATCCTGGGCTCTCAGCAGAGTCCCAGAAACACCACACACAGGTCCAGCTGAATCACCACCTGAAGACTGCATGCGGCTGCAGCTACCCCCAAGGCCACCGGAAGTGCCGATCAGCTGGAGCTGCGTGTGCCGATCCTGATCCTGGGCTCTCAGCAGAACCCCCGCAACACTGCAGCTCCAGCTGACTCTCCCACAGGCCTGTGCGGTGCTGCCTCTGCTTCACCTCATCCACTTTTACATTTTTTTAATATACTTTTTTTTACAGTGCTTTTCAATCCATCATATGCGTACACCTGCCAGATGCCAAAGTACCACCAGTGATATGCATACCACTGGTTGAAAAGCCCTAGTCTAGTGTGCCAACCATTAGAAACCTAAATAGGCTTGGACCTGGGTCATAATTGGATGGGGAAACTATCAGTAAATCCTATGGCTATAGGCTAGTTTGGGAAATAAATAATAAAAACAGAACAAGGCAACGGCAAATTATTTTCCTATCAAGGCTTTGAAAATTACACGGATACGTCCATGTATTTTCCAGAGCTCAACTTGAGGGAGTCTTTGCTTTATACTACAATTAATTTCAACTGTTCCATTACATTTTACTTAAAACAAAATAGCATGGCAGAGACCTGAATAATAGTTGAGAAAGCTTGAGAAACACTATATGTAAGATAGTGTTTCTCAATCTTGGCAGTTTGAAGATATGTGGACTTCAACTTTCAGAATTCCCCAGCTGGTAAGGCTTTGCCAGCTGAGGAATTCTGGGAGCTGAAGTCCACACATCCTCAAGTTGCCAAGGTTGAGAAACACTGTTGTAGAAGTAGTGTATCATTTTCCCCTGCCTGCAAAATTGGCATTATAATGCTAGGCTATCTTACAGAACTGTCTTACCTCACATTCACTGCCATTAGCTATCCAGATAATAATGATGGAATTCATTTGTGTGCATTTTAAAAATGTTTAGCAACTAAACAACAACGAAATTATTTTTTAAAATCACAATTCTTTTCTTTACTTCTGTCTTTTTTTTATAAATAGATTAGTGTCTAATCACAGCAACATGAAAAGTCTGAATATTTAATGTATTTTTTTAGTAGCAGTAATTGCTTCCCACTGAGGAAGATTATTTTTTTTTCTTAAATAGTATTTATATCAATCATTATTAGGGTGATTCATGTCATCTACAAACTTGAAAGTTGATAACAAGCCTGCTTTACAAAATAATCCAAGCAATAGCTAAATTGTACATTTTGTTTTATATCTTGGCTTATGGGAGGGCTAAAAATACTTCCACTTTGATATCTTTTGGGTAAAAAAAAATGGAGAAGGCCATCCACTTCCAAGAATAATCTTATAAAAAACTATTAAAACGCATGTGTTAATGTATGCAAAGCATGTGGTCTCTTCTAAACTAGTATTTTTAGAACTGATTTATTACTGAGCATGGTTTCATCATTTTTTAAAATTTTCATTTATTTATTAAATGTTTATGCCACTCATATCCCCTAAATGATGACTCTGGGCTCTTCATGCTGCTTGTAATTAAACTACTTACAGGTTTTTTCCCCCTGTATTTTCTTTTACACGTAGTAAATAATTATACAACCAACCATATATGCATCCTTTAGTTTGAAACAATGAGCTTGTCCATGCCGTAGCTCATTCAGTTTGGAAACAGTTCCCACTACATGCTAAACCAGTCCATTTCTTCTTTGCATTCTTTTTTGTCAACTGCCAGTCACAAAGCCTTTTGTTTAATTATGCTGAAAGGCAGGATGCACTGTCTAACCCAATGCAGAACTACAGGAAGTGGGAAGAGACTGTCTTCCAAAGACTGCTTGAAGTTTCTCTTCCTTTCTGTGCACCAGCAGTGGTTGGCAACAGACATTATTCAGCTGATGAGTTTGTGTCCTAAGACAGACATAAGACATAACCTTTGCATGGAAACTCCATATCATTTCTCATTTTAGAATGAGATCTCTGCATGCTATAATTGCTGCTTAGGAGTTTGGGATGCTGCCTGATGGAGGATTCATATCACTAGCAATTAAAAAAAAAGATTGCATTTATCTGGCATTTATCTTTTTAATAGATGTTCTATAGTGAGAAGAGAGATGGAAGATGCAGTAGAGGAAATACAGGATTGCAAATGGAGGGCTGGACACTCAATAACATTGTGTGAATATATTACAAAATGAATAGGAAACCTTTGGAAATGTACTATGATCTAAATTTGAGTCAGATCCATGTGATATGGAAGCACATTATTAATCTGGCAGGACATGCAGGCCAGTTACAATCTGAAACAGCAGGGATGTACTGTAATCTGAGAAGTAGCGGCATTTAAAAGGTGAGTGATACTGTACGATTTCCAACAGCTATGGGTGAGTTTATGTATTTCCTCATTCTTTTATTTTTGCCTGATAAACCACATCTCTGAGATATATTTTCAGATGAATAGTAATTATTTTTTTTGGGGGGGGGGTCTAAGGTTAGTATTCATTTCAAACTATTTTGAAGACCTCAGAAACAGGACATAAAGCCGTAATGAACTCATCCACGGAGAGTTGTTAGTGAAAAAATTAACAAGCAAACCCAAGCAATGTGATTAACCTCCCCTTGGACTCCAAAAAGAAGTTCTCAATGGGGTATTCATTTCAAACTATTTTGAAGACCTCAGAAACAGGACATAAAGCCGTAATGAACTCATCCACGGAGAGTTGTTACAAAAATTAACAAGCAAACCCAAGCAATGTGATTAACCTCCCCTTGGACTCCAAAAAGAAGTTCTCAATGGGGTCAGACTCTTGCTGTAGTACTGGGCAAGGTATAAATGTGCTTAGTATAGTTATGGGGTGAGGAATTGCAACAAAGAGCACACAGAATAAATCCCAGCTTTTGAACTGGTGTACTCAGACATTCTTGTTACATTTAACAAAAACGTGTAAACTAGACCCTATGGAATTCTACACCTCCCCCATCCTCACACACAGTATAGTCTTTTTTGAAGAAAGGGAAGCTTCATTTGGTTAACTGGATGCAAACACCTCCAATGGATCCTAAACCACATGTTATTTGGCTTCTGCAGCACACAGCAGTCCCAGAATGTACACTGCAAAACTCTGTGTGGATACTTAGGACAGAGGCTAGGTTGCTGCACTTAATGACGGCTGCAATTTTGGACCACATAAGCCCCTTTGTATGCTCCTTTTTATTGTAACTAATACATTCCCAGAGATGGCTAATATTAGAATTGGAAATTCTGTGGAAGAGCTGTGTAATCAATCAGTCAACAACTGAATGACTTGTTGAATGGATCAGATTGATTTTATGATCAAAGACCAAAGCAGCTGTAGTTATCACCAGAGAAAGGTTAAGATGACAGATATTTTTCCATACAGTCCCCAGGGGTCAGGGCTGACTCAGTCCCATTACAGCAAACACCTCCAGTAAGGCTGACCCCAGCAATCCAGTCATTAGATACATGTACTATTAGGGGAAAATGCTTTACCAGCAAGCAATATTCTGCCAAATCCCCTTCATTAATAAATCTCTCATCAAACTCTGCAAGTCTCTGGAATAATTCCACAATGCATCCTAGTTTGCAATCAAGGCATATGTAAGCACAAATGACTAAAGTCACTGCCTCAGTTTTCTTGATTTAATCACCTCCAATTCTCTCTCCTTCCTCCACTTTTCCATGTGAAATGATAGATTACAGTAACTAGAGGTATTTGAAGTGGTTACATGCATCAAGTCAAATCAAGTAAGAGTTGAAACAGCTATTAGAAATGAAAGCAAGTTGCCCTACAGATACGTTTTATTCCCTCCAGAGAGTCTTAGGCAATTAGATTTGTGTGGACCTCTATATCATGGAGCTTATCCGAAGAAAGGCATGACAATTAAACTGAAATAAAATTAAGATAGTTTGTTGTATGTATATACATAAAATGACTAAGGATTCCTCCCTTTGAAGAGCAAAAATATAATACAGGTAGTCCTTGATTTACAACAGTTCATTTAGTGACTGTTCAAAGTTACAATGGCATTGAAAAAAGTGATTTATGACCATTTTTCACACTTATGACCATTGCAGCATCCCCGTGGTCATGTGATCAAAATTCACATGCTTGGCAACTGACTCCTATTTATGACAGTTCTAGTGTCCTGGGGTCATGTGATCATCTTTGTGACCTTCTGACAAGCAAAATCAATGGGGAAGCTAGTTCATTTAACAATTGTATTATTAACGTAACAATTGCAATGATTCACTTAACAACTATGGAAAGAAAGGCCATAAAATAGAGCAAAACTCTCTTAACTACTGTCTCACTTAGCATCAGAAATTTGGGACTCAATTGTGATCATAAATTGAGGACTACCTGAATCCCTAAAACATAATACAATAAGATAGACAGTCTTCTATATACCTTTGGTGAGTGTTATAGGTCCAAAGTAGTTGGCATCCATGATCTTTTTGTCAAGTTCCAGTGACACGTTTTGAACTGTCCCCTTGGCTTTTGTGCTAGCATTGTTAATGAGAATATCCACACATCCATAACAATCCAGGATTTCTTTAGCTACATCTTGGATACAGTTTACATCAGCGAGATCTAAAAGGATAAGCTTTGGTGTAAATGTCTGCAAAAGAAGGAGGGTTTGGGGGTTACTGTACTATAAGACAGAGATATCTCAGTACTTTTTGAACATAATACTTAACAATACAGAAGAGAGAGATAATTCCTATGTGAGACAATAAAGCACTTTCCCCAGTTTGGTGACTTGCCTATTTTTGGATCTTCTGCTCCCAAAATTCCCAGTCATATGGCTCACACAATAAAGGAAATGGGGTTTATCAGATGAGCATGACTATGTAGAAGGAAATCAGGTCCAAAGATAAAGTAGAACTAATGTATTAAAAATATAATTAGTAATAGTTCCTTAGGAAAAAAAAGTGTCAGCTTTAAAAATTTGGTAGTACTCTTGTTGTTTAAATCCAGAATCACCTATTTGTCAGTTTGTCTGGCCACATGGAAATATTGGAAATTTGGAAATAACTGGTTGTGATTATTTGTATGCAAAAAAAAAAAATGTGGATGATATACTCCAGCTCTAGCAGCATCTTTCATTTATCATTTAAAAACAAACTGATTAGACTGACCTTAATTTTGATATTTTGCAGTAACATTTAATGAAAAGTGTGATCATTCATTATATAAGACAATACTGTGAGACAACAAAAGCATACAACTGAAAAGAGAGGCAATAAAACTAATTTTAAATTGCCTTGGGAAATAAGTTTGTTTTGATCTAACACTAAAAATATTGCAACATCTATATCGAATGCCCTGCATACTGTTTGAAATATTGAATACTAATCTGTATTTTTCTGAAAATGCCTGTAACAGCCTATGGTCTATTGCCATCCCTTAATCACTAAAAGTTATTTAGTTGAAAGTTATCCTTATTCTATTTTTTTTACATGATGTGTCTTCCTAACAGATCTTTTTATGGTACATCAACAAGATTAAAGATTAAATACTTATTTAAATGTGAATTTTATTAAATGAATTTTATTTGGTTGCTATTATCTTCAAACAAGTGCATCTCTAGCAATTTGAGACAAGTGTTTCTCCAGCAAGCAAAATATGCATTTTCCTACCATTACTATGCTATGCTTAAATGCTATCATTTAATTGCAAGCTGCCTAGAATTTCTTTGGCAAGTTCAGTGACATAGAAATATAATAAATAAACAAATGAACAAATAAATAAATGACACAAGGTCCATCTCTTACATCCTTACATGTGAGTACTAAAGGAACAAAATCAGATTTCATAATTTGTCAATGTCCATAAGGCAGTAAGTTAATCCTTAACTGCCTTCCTCAGCATTCCAACAATTTCCAAAACTAAGTTGTTGGAACACTGCTGCCCTCATTTCTCATGCACAGGTGGAGATGGTGGAAATGATAATTTAAATATTCTGGAAGTTTCCAGACTGGGGAACGCTGGAATATAATCTTATAATCTTCCATGTGTTTTCTGTTGTCCTATAATTTCTTCAACCACTTGCTTTTTACTTGTATGTACCTTCTCAACTTTTAGGCTGATCCCTCAAATTCCTTTATAGTAGAAGCAGGGAAAAACATTTGCCTTCCTGAGTTTGACTAGCAAGTGTCTTTTAGTTCAGTTATGGTAAGGGGCCAGCATTTTCCTTCCCTGCATCTAAGACCAATGAGCAATTTTAAGGAAAGCAGAGGAGACAGTGTGTCACCCATATTTGTTCAAGGTAAGATGAAAATAAATAAGGAAACCTCCCTCCTTCTACCTAATGGCAGGATTGAATCTCTGAGTAATTAATTTGTTGGGAAGAAATGTTCAATTCAAAAACCCTGAAAAAAAGTGCTTGGCCATTCTAGAGTAAGTGTCTCTTTTGTTGCCTTTATAGAGAGATCTTTAAGGATATACAAGAGTCTTACTGCAGTAGGATCAGCCGCGCTATTTAAAGCATCACCGAGAGCTTCTAATTTGTCCAGGTGTTTCCCACACAAAATCAGCCTTGCTCCTCCTGTATGAAATACTTGTGTACATTCTGGAAGATAAACCAAGGAATAATTCAGTTAATTGGGATTGTAATACAGTATATCTGTTCTCATTCCTTCAACCCTAAAAAAGAAAAAAAATATTCTTCCTGTACTCAGCATAAACAGATAAACTCTCCTCCCCCATGGAATTCCTTGTGCTTTGAATACAGATCTTGTGGATGGTCAAACAAATGTATAAACCAGACATTGCCTGAACATATTTGTACCTCCATTTGCTTGGAGGATTCTATGTAGACTTGTGCTTGGTACTAACTTCAACAGCTAGAACTCAGGACTACTACAGTTGGGCTATAGATCTGAAAATGCAAGGAAGTCATGATGTTTCCTTTGTAGATCCTTTGTAGTGAGAGAGGGGTGCAAAAATGTTAAGTGAAATCATCAAGCCTGAAACATTGCTTAGTTAGAGACCTGCAGCTGTAGGAGCTAAATAGCCATTTCTCTTAGTTAACTATAAGCTCAGCCATGTTGATATAGCAAGGACAGGAGCAGTTGTATGTCTATGCTGGGTGAGGTAAAAATGATTTAATATTCCCTATTTAATATAGAAATACAGAGAGATACCAGACCAGCATTTTTGCTCTGTCTCTGGCATCTTCCAGAAAGGATGTGGTGAAAAAGTTTTATCTTCCTCTGTTGCAGCTTGGAAATGAATTGCTGGAAATATATTCCATTGAAAAGGTCTCTCCACACCACCTTTGGAAAGCAAGACTGGGAATCCTGGGAAGCCAATATTTCCATGCATTTGAATAATGTAGCAAGTATGCCAAAGGGAGAGTCAACTGAATGATGATTGCAATTATTGTCATCTTGTAATTGAAAGAATTCCATCCCTGGAAATCTCATAAGAAATAGCCTAGGACACACAGAGCATGCTCAGTAGTTGCAGCATGGAATGCCAGATGGATGATGATGATAACCTTTATTGTCATTTTTTACAATAAAAAATGACAATAAAGGTTATCATCATCCATCTGGCACACATTAAAAATGAAATTTAGTTGCTTGCTCTCAAAGTGTACACATAGATAACACACATTTAAACATACATTTAAACATACTATATACAATATAACATATAAATATTTATCACTGTCCATCTTGCATACATAACGGAAGGAGGAAGAGAAAACCAGGAAATATTGTCTAGCAGGAGAAGAGACAAAATGGCAGCTTGGAAGGAATGAATGGTTTTCTGTCCAAAAGCCAGAATAAAATCATTAACTGAATCAAACTTTATTGAATTAACTTGATTTCCTGGATTTACTCAACACAGGTGTTAAAAATTAACACAATTTTAAGTTTAGTGGGTTGCACGAAGTCAATTACAATATGATTCTCTCTTTATGTGAAAATAAGCACAAAATATTTAAAACAGATTCTCCCTTTAATAAAAACCTATTACAGTCTTCTTATAGAATGAGTCTTATAGAACAGTCTTCTTATAAGGGAAACTTGACAATAAAATTAAGCAATTGAATAGAATAGACTAAGATAGCTGTCTATAAATTAGAATAATCTCAACCTTTTTATCAAGAGATTTCATAAATCTTCCACTTTCCATCCTGTTCCAGCTCCAGTAAACACAAGAGTTCTGCAAAGTTCACTGTTGGGGATGAAAGTGTAAAATTATCTTGTTCTATCACTTGATGCACTTCTCCCAGTATGTTTGCCAATGGTGCACATGACCCTGATGATTTCTCAGTTGGCATCTCCTGTTTCCTTCCCTCCAATAGGCAGCAGAGCAGCAAACCTCCTGCATACCTCTGAGAGGAATCATTTTCCATTCCCCTGACATTTGTCTGGCTAGGATTTTCCTCCATTCACCAAACCAGGGCTGCAGGTTCAACGTCTTCACTACAAGATCTGCCAATAATTTTGCTTCAAGATAACCCTCAATACCTCAGCTGCTTGGTGCAAGATCTTAAAGCTCACCACCAGTGCATAATTTAGGGATTACAGAAATAAGCTATTTATATCAGATTGCTGCCACTTCATAGGTCCTGTGTGTGCAAATGGTTCTCACCATTACAGCACAGCCAGCCAACTATAAATAGATATTTTCTCTCCTAAAACAAGGAGTTTGTAGAGGCACTTTTCTAACTAATTGTGGGTCCAAGTACTATCCTTTCTAACACACTGTTCAATAGTTGCATTGTAAGAGATAGTAAATAAATATAGCTTTTATGGCTGTTTGCAGTTTGTGCAAAATGTGGGTAATTTTAACGACATGGAATTCTGAAAGTTGGCTCCAAACAAACACCAAGCAACGTAGAATCTAATTTCTTGGACACTAGATTAATTGACCATACACTCTTGATGCACAATTCTCCTCCCTCTCTTGAATCTTCATGCCTCATGGTCTATGTTTGCTTTCTCTAATTTATTTCAATTGCAACATTTGGAATTTTGCAGACAAGGTATTAAAGCAGGTTCAGAATGCACACAGAGACCATTAGAAGGCAATGCTTCAGATTGAGCAAAAGAACATACAGTAGACTTGTGTTCTGTAGGAAGAAATTTGTTGATGAATAAGAATAAATATAGTAATTTGGAGAAATTCTTAATATGCTCACTTAAGAAGGCCCTTTCTGCTCAAATACACATATTTATATGGCTTCCATACTCATTTATAGGGCTGAAGCCTTAACTCTGGTCTATAATACTGGTTTCTGAGTATTTAATGTTTCTTGTATTTCCAAGTTTTCTTTTATAATCACAAAGGCTTACATCTCCCTGCTTCTTTTAAAGGAAGGGATGCTGAAGTTCTAAGAATCCTGGATTTGTCATGCTTCAAATGGCTAAATTCCAGAAGGCAAACATTCCTAAAATTTCCAGGAGGAAATTCCTATTTTTGCAGTCTCTCTCTCCCTCCCTCCCTCTCACCCTCTCCCTCTCCTTTTCTCCCCCCCTCTCACACACACTATAGAATATGAGTTATTTGCTGCACTTCTTACCCTTGCCCACACCAGAGAGAGCATCAGTGATTACTACAACTTTGCTCTGCACAGCAGACTTTGTCATCAGCTGAGTAACTTTCCGATAAATGTATATAACTCCACTAATTCCAACCACAAGCAGTGGGAGAATTAGAATAGCCAAAATGCCCATCTTCACCTAGCAAAAAAGATAACAAATTAAAGTCACACAGAAGGTTCATCACACTTGTTACACAGATTTATTTTTCTCTTCTAAATATACTTCCATGGAGGTCAGTGAACAGGACAATTGGTAATATATTGCACATTCTGAATCAACCCTATAGGAAATTGTTTATATGCACATATATATCAGTGCATATGGAGATTTTCAAAACTGCACAAATCTTTTTTTGTTTGTTTGTTTGTTTCTGCTTTGGAAAAGCAAGGCATTTTTTTCTTTTGCAAATGAACCCATTTTCACAAGATTTTATCTTGTAAAATCAAGACAATGACACAAATCCATTTCAATCCATGTTATATTCATTTTCTTATTTCCTACTTTATATTATAAACAGCTTACATGCAATAGTCCATTCATTTATTGCAATGCAAAAGAAAAAAAAAGGAAAGGAAAAGAGTGGAGGGGAAAAAAAACACGTTAAGTATTTCCTCTTACAATTATAAAAGGCCAAAAAGCAATTACTTCAGACATTAATCCCTTTTGATATCCAACTACAATTCTGCAATAAAGCTAATAACTTACTTGGAAAGCAAGCAGTTAGCCTGCTGATAAGGTGGTGTCTCCTGCCAAAACTGGTTTATTCCAGAAGTTTAATTAAACCTGTAGACATTTTTTGGAAAGGAAAAGCAGCCCACAAGCTGTAGCCATTCCTTTGAGCAAAAGCAACTATGTATAGTGCCCAGCTGCACCCCAGACTTTAAAAAAGTAAATATAGTATCTGTGGTCTCAGCCACATACCTGACCTATTTTGTTTCATAGGGCTTCCAAGTCCTTCTGCAGCTTGGAACAGTGGAATAACTGAACATTAGGAAGCAATGATCTTCATTTATTTGTTAGCAGGAACCTTGAATTAATTCTAAACTTGCTTTTGGAATTTCTATTTAACATGGGAATCATTGTTAGGAGCCTCCAGTCCATTAGCAAGGTTTCTGGCCCCATTTGTGGCAAGTGCAAGATGGAATTGATTACTTTTCACAGTACTTATGTGGTGGGAATGCCACTAGAAACTGACTACAATATTTATATGTGTAGATAAGAATATTTTAAAATATTTGCATTAGACCTTCAAAGCCCACATACCATTTCAACCAACCCCTATAGAGTTCAAAATAGCTTGTCATCATTATTAGCTATGGATATGAGTCAAAGGCAGGACAAAGTTCGTGCTTCTTTGTTCCTATAGTCCCCAGGAGATGCTTTGGTCCTTCATCTTGTGACAAAGGTATGTCTGCACTTTGGGACTTCTCAACTAGCACTTTCATCTTATAATGGGCTGTGTCTGACGCCATGGGACTTCATGCTAAATGATCACTCCATTTTTGTCTCATACTTGAAAGATCAATTACTTTTGGCAGTGAAATCATTCCATCTCTGGATCTCATGAAGCCTGTATCCTTGGAAAACCAAAATAATGCAAGTAAATTCATAGTTGGGCTCAGTATGTTTTGTGTATTAATTTTCTTTAGGTATTGTTTGACCATTGGATTATCTGAGTAATAGTTCAGATGATAGGTATTATTTAATGGATTCTTGAGTATCATGAAATGATGGATTCCTTTCATTGTCATAGGATTGTATGTCTTGATATGAATTGTGTGAACCTTGATGTACTTTTTCTACAAATTTTTTCAAATAAACCGCATGGAATCCCTAAGACTTTTATTCGGAAATATCTCCAGTTATCAATGACCCTATAGATTTAAAAAAATTAAATCTTATAAATTTGTAGCATAATTTTTCCTCAGAAAAGCTTTTCTTTGCATAGCACAGTGTTGATTTAAATATGTTTTACCAAGAATAAAGCAATTTGATTTTACTAATCATAAAGCAAAGATGCAGAACTTAAGATTTCTGATAGATCCCAAAGTCTTTTCAAAAAATCTCATCAGTCTGTATATTTTAAGTGCCAGCAGGAGGAAAATATTTTATATGTAGGAGTAATCATATTAAACTGGATGTAATTACCTTAAGTCAAATTCATTTTTATCCTGGTTTGCCATTAAAAGTTCCTCTGTGGTTTTTCTGAAAAACAGTTCATTATTGCTGTAAAATATATAGATTCTCTGTCAAATTCTATTTCATTTATTTCTCCCGATGAATTTTAAGAAAGTGGTTTTTATATTTGGGAAATGGAAAATAGAGCAGATAGTAATTTTTACACATCAGGCATTTTCTGATTCATTCAGTGGCGTATTTGATCCCATCAGTATCAAAGTCAATTCCATATGTGATTTTCTAATAGCAGCAGACTTACAATTTACTACTGAGATAGGAGTGGATGTGAATATGACAAGGCATCTATACAGGGGGATTACAACTATTCTGTCTATGATCATAGCTTGTTTTAAGAGCCAAAGAAAAGCATATAACTCCTTGAGAATTCTCAACTTTCATTTTGAAATCATCCCAAGATTCTAAGTTTTATATCTGGGGGCATTGGGAAATGGCTGCATGGGCACAGGATTAGCTTCAGAAAACAAAAAGATGACAGTGTAGACATTACCAAAATCAGATGATCAGATCTTTCAAGCATTGATCAAATTTCTGACCTCCCGTATCAAACATGGTTTGCATCCAATGCCAATAACATTCTTCCTCTAGCAACTAGTTGCTCAGATAAATATAAGAGATTTGCAAAAGGGCAGATTTTGCAGGGCAACCAATAAAAATCATATCAATGTGATTTGTGCTGTTTAGTGACGCTATAAAAGATTTCCTGGTTTTTTTTTTCCATCTCTGTTTCTTGACAAAAGTCATCTATGTCTAAGCTTAGCATTTGTTTGGGAAAAAATTGGTCTAAGTTAGATATTAATTTAAATCCTATGAATGAAATAATCACTGTGACTTGAAAGATAGTAGAGATAAAATTAGGATCAAAATTTGGTAGAGATATGATCAGAGGAAAAAAGAACTAAACCTTATTCCTTATTCCCATAATAGCCCCAATTGAACTATGATCTACAGTATAAGGGAAGAAACATAATGACTCACAAAAACTATATTAATAAATTTCTGCTTCTCTACTAGCAAATGTGGAGAGAAAGTGCAATGAAAAAAGAAAAGAAAAGGAAAAGTAGTTCTAGTCACAAAGCAATGAGTTTATCCCTTTTCCCTATTCAGGACAGAAATCTGGGAATTATGGAACATATGATTATAATGAAATAAACAATTCTAGAAATTAAAAACAAATTAAATCTTTATATCAGACTAAGTGAAGCTGTTCTCTTTTCTGATCACTCAATCTCAAAAAGGGTACAGCAGAAGATGGAAGAAAAGACATACTACTACTACTACTACTACTAATAATAATAATAATAATAATAATAATGGAGTTGGAAGGGACCTCCGAAGTCTTCTAGTCCAACCCCCTGCTCAGGCAGGAAACCCTATATCATTTCAGACAAATGCTTGTCCAGTCTCTTCTTAAAAATTTCCAGTGTTGGAGCATTCACAAAGCAAGCAATTGAGTGAAAATAGTGATATTATTATTATTATTATTATTATTATTATTGTTGTTGTTGTTGTTGTTGTTGTTGTTGTTGTTGATCATCACACAATCAGCCAGATGTTCAGACTGTATTTGGCATTTCTGCCCACCTATTGAGTCCTTACCAAGGACCTGGGATAGGCAGATGTGGATATTTAATGGTATTACAGATATAGTCGCTGGATGGAAGCAGTTCCTAGTAAGGCCACTAATTGCAATTGACTAATGGTGAATTTGTCAATGCCAATGGTGTTCAAATGGTGCTCCAGTTGTTTTGGGATTGCACCCAAGGTGCCTATTACTATTGATACTACTCTTGCTTGCCTTTGCCACAGTCTTTCTATTTATATTTGTAAGTTGTTGTTGTTATTACTATTATTATTATTAGTAGTAGTAGTAGTAGTAGTAGAAGTAGCAGTAGTATTCTTTAAGTGGTAAGATAGGAGATAATTTTGTTCTCAATGTGGAGAAAATAGCTAGAAATCAGTTTTGTCTTCTTCCACAAGGTAGACTTTGAAATTTCCCTATGAGAATTGTGTTCAAGATAAATAAAAGAATAACTGCATTCCCTGCATACTAATATATTACTTTTTCCTAACAGGCTTCCCTCTGCCCTATCAGCATGGCCTGGTTGGCTTGGGATGATTAGACTTGATGTCCTATCTTCTAGAAGATAGGGTTGGTTGCTTTAAGGTAGAGACCATAATCTTTCGGGCTGATCCAATGAAGACAACATTTTTGATTCCCCCAGGCTGAGCAAGAGGAAAAAGGCACTTAGATGGCTTTGGTACATAAAGGAGGACTAGAACCTGAGTCTTGTCTTGAGAACCTGAGTCCTACACCAGCATCTTAACATCATACCACACTAGCTCTCCTTATACCGGCATTGGTGTTAACTTAGAACTAAGGAGAAATTTCTTGACAGTTAGAACAATTCATTAGTTGAATGACTTGCCTTCAAAAGTCATGGGTGCTCCAACATGGAAGTTTTTAAAAAGGACAACTATCTGCCTGAAATAGTATAGGGTGTCCTACTTCAGCAGGGGGTTGGATTGGAAGACCTCCAAGGTTCCTTTCAATTCTGTTACTCTGTTATTTTGTTATATTTTCAGAATTAAGTCTCACTATATTCAAGATGCATATAGAACTACATGCCATGTTACAGAATTCACTATTACATGATGCAGTAGCAAGATGTATATAAAGGGAATTAGGTCCATTAATTGCTCAGTTGGGGGAGGCAGGGGAAAGATTATTGCCTTTGTTCCATGATTGGACTTCACTAAGGCATCCAATGGATCCTTATGGTTTGGACACCTAGGCAGATCTTTAGCCTGTTCTAGAAAAGATTTCATAATTTCCTCTACTCTAGCTGTCATTGCCTCATTTATAGAATTGAGCAGTACAGGTAAATGTCTGGATGTTTTGACTGCATCTTCCATTAGCTCTGGTCAGTATAACCCAGGCAAGCTGGCTGAGGAATTCTGGGAGTTGAAGTCCACAAGTCATAAAAGGGCCAAGTTTGAAGACCATCCCTCACCCCCCCCCTCCCCCGGTATAACCACACCTGGAGGGAGATGGTATTGACTGTTGTCAGGATGCAACAAACGTCCCCATTGTGCATTTTACTTCAAGGTAAAATAGCTCATCCTTCACTATTGCAATTCCCAAAATATTCACTAGGAAAGCTCTCCATTTTCTGCATCCATGCAGAGAGTGCCTGACATATGAGAAGCAATAAGCAGATTATGAAAAGGGGCGATGTGTAAAAGATCTCCTGCAATCAAGAGAGCCTGCATTGTTTATTTTGCTAATGCATGGAGATCAGAACCTTATTTGGATTTAGAAATGGCTCTATTTTACATAGATCTCACCAGATATACCAAGAATGTTTGTTTAGAACTAGAAGGTAATAGATAAATTAACTTCAAGCATCAGTAAGCAATTGCATGACTTTCAATGTTTAGAATGCAGTCTTCTGCAACCTCTTGCCATTGGCCTTATCTGAAACTGACAGATCGGGAGAGTAGCCAATTGTTTGTCCCTCCTTGCTTTACCGGGACATTGATATACAACTGTACCAGTAAGTTTGCCCTTGCAGTTCTGGACTTATATTATAAAGCAAAGGCATTGCTTATTGCAATACACTGAAGCACCTTTAGATGTCTCTCTGCTTATGTGTTTTTGTGCAAAAAAAAGGGGGGGGGATTGTTTGTCTGCAGCTGTTTCCTTAAATAAACTATTTTGTTGCTTGGATTGTGATAGAAATCAATAACAGCAAGCAATTGCCCAGCCAGTGTTTCCAGTTACAAAGTGATCGTGCAAAGTTGGTGCATAGCCAGACTGATAGGGAGAAGCTGGCTTGTAGCTGTTAAGCTGTGGACAGAATTACTTCTAGAAGACAGCAGGCAGAATTACACCGTTGTTATGCCAGATCTTGTATCTTTAGTATAAACAAAATATCACGGTGAGGATAAGCCTGTTTGGCGGGAAAGGTCTGTCTATTTTTCTTTCGGTAAGCCAAGGAGTTGTGACCTATTTCAGAAAGGCACGAAGCAGCTACTATTCTACGCAACTGTGTCCAGAAAGAAAGAAAATTATCTTTAAAGCAGCGCTTCCCAATCTTGGCAGCTTTCAGACATATAAACTGCAGTTCCCAGAATTAGTAGCAAAGCTGGCTAGGGAATTCTGAGAGCTGAAGTCAACCCATCTTAAAGTTACCATGTTTGAGAAACCCTGCTTTAAATGTTAAATTGTTGAGAAAGGTATTAGCTTTACACTTTTTTTTTCCCTCTTAAGGATCAACATAGGTGCATGTCTAAACATACATTTGTGCTTATCACAGCCAAGCTGCTATCTAAGTATTCTGGGAACAGAAGAACAGCCAAGTCAGTGAGACCATTTTAATGGGACATGTCCACTTCCAAAGCAGGACCATTTTGAAGTAGACTAATGTCTAAAGCAGGTCCAGCCTTCTCTTGCTGTAGTGAGTCTTACGCCTTGCATTATTACTTTATAGATAACAAGGTTTCTGTAGGGTAATAAAATCAATGATGCAAGTAAGGGAAGGAGGGATAGAAAAATAAACTAAGGTCTACACAGGCTAATAACCTAACTAAATTAACTAAAAACTAATAAGCACAGACACCTCTTTAAAGTGCTTGAGAGGAAGCAGTGGAATTACCAAGAACAAAGAGGTCAGGAAGGGGGCATAAAAGGAGCAAAATAAATCTCTGGGTGAGTGACTTGTGTCCTACACCGGAGACTGGAAACCAAACAATGACATATTTTACATTAACTTCAAGAGATTCAATGTGAGAGGTAACTATTTGTCAGAAGGTGCTTGACATTCTGGAGTCACCCCTAGGCAAAACACTGTGCAAATAGGTGACCGAACCAATGCACCTTTGTGCAAAATGAGTGAATTGTGAGAGCAGTGATATGACTTCCCTCTGATTCTTCTTCTTCCTGTTTCAGTTCTGCAGAGGCTGCCTGGCTGGCACATGTGATGGAGCAGTGCAACCAGAGCTCTGTGGCTGAGTTCATCCTCCTGGGACTGGCAGAGGGGGCCATGACTGAAACCATGCTTTTTGTTCTCTTCTTGGCCACATACTTAGTTACCTTAGTAGGCAATTGCACAATGGTGATGTTAATTGGGGTTGAACATCGCCTACACACCCCGATGTATTTCTTCCTCCTCCATTTGTCTCTGCTGGACCTTTGCTATTCCTCAGTTACCATCCCACAAATGTTGGCGCATCTCCTCTCTAGGCATAAAGCCATATCCTTTGGCCGATGTGCCTTCCAGATGTACATCTTCCTGGTGTTTGGTATGGCAGAATGCGTGCTGTTGGGTCTCATGGCCTATGACCGCTACGTGGCAATTTGCCACCCGTTACACTATACCACCATCATGAACTGGCACTTCTGTAGCTGGACTGCAGGAGCTGCCTGGCTGAGTGGCTTCCTCAATTCTCTCATTGTCAATGCTTTTGCTCTGCGCCTGCCATACTGTACCCAAAATCGCATCAATCAGTTCTTCTGTGAGGTACCGGCTGTGATCAAGCTGGCATCTGCTGACACGTCAGAGGCGGAGGTAGTTGTGTTTGTCTTTGGCTCCATTCTGCTGCTTCTGCCTTTTGTCCTCATCGCTGCCTCCTATGGCCGCATTGGGATTGCCATCTTGCGCATTCACTCAGCTGAGGGCCGACGCCGAGCTGCCTCGACCTGTGGTTCGCATCTCCTGGTGGTGAGCCTTTTCTATGGCACAGCACTCTTTGCCTACATGAGACCCAGCTCTGTCAGTTCTGCCACAGGCCAGGATAAGGCTGTGTCTGTGTTCTACACAGTGGTCACCCCCATGATGAATCCCCTCATCTACAGCCTTAGAAACAAGGAGGTGAAGGGTGCTCTGAGAAAATTATTAAGCAAGAAAACAACCTCTCCGAAGACGTGATTCTGGTGCTGTCTTCAGCTCTGTTCAGAAACGGATGCTGAGAATAAGCATCATATCTGTAGTGAGCCAAGAAAACAGAACATTTGATGGGTAAAGGAAAGGATTTTTGAAAGTTCTTATAAAGATTCCTCTTTAGCCTTTTATACATATTTAGAAATCCAGATCAAGCATTATCGGATCTCTACAGAGGCTTACTAGTCAGTTTATTAGTACTGTATTTACTGGAAAGAAAGACTAGATTTTCTTCCTTCCCAGAAAAGTTATCTACAAAATGAGAGAATCCCCTTAGATCTGCTGAGAAAAGGGCACCAGCAGAAGCAGATGAATTTTCCGTATCTAAATTTCCCTTTTCAAGGGGGGGTTCAAGACGGGTTTCCACTTGGCTAAATATAATATTTTCTTCTTATTCAATTCTTCCCTGTGGCCTTTGTGAAACTATTAGTCCTGTTTCAATAATACCTGCGTATAATACAAGCCTGCACATTCAGTGCGTTAAGGAGCTTTTACCCAATTTATATTATGCTTTCTGTAACTGAGGAGAGTGAGAATGTCCTTTGAGTAAGTTACAATTAGCTGAAGATCTATGTCCTAGAGAAAACCAAAGAACTAAACCATTAGAGTTCTTACCTACACATATCAGCTTATGTGCTGATTTCTCCGAACCAGATTAGATTTAGGATCAGCTTTTGCTTGAGTAAGAGAACCAATAAGAGGTTAGAGAAGGAGATGAGTGCTTCTTTAGCAGGATTCTTGAAGCTTGGGCCCTATTAAAGACCTGATCTCAGAGGAAAGAGGAGGGAGAAAATCATTGGTAACATCCATTCAGGCTAGTCTGTGCAAGTCTTCTTTTCCTCAACCAAATGTAGAGACATATATTCTACCTCAGCTTTAACTTACCATTGAGTCTCCTATAGGTGAAATAGTAAAGAATAACATATTGTGTGATATTGTAATACCGTTTTTAATACATGTTTTCTGTTATTGATTCACAACTCAGAAAAAAACATGCAAAAATGTTTTAATTCCTTCTTTTTAGAACCTGTAAGGTATAGTAAACTGGCTCATGGGATGGCCCATATGGAAATAAAAACATATTTAAAGTATGTGGTTTGTTTCAAAAGTCCCCTTTTTTGCTTGTGAACCTAAAGCGTTTTTTGGATGAAGTTTTGGCAATGTAGTTTTACCATAGTCGTCCATGTATCTTTAAATAGCAGTTTACAACTTATGAATTCACAAGGTGATGTTTCCCTTCCTTTTTAACTGTTTGTAAGGAAAAACTTTCAGCTTTAATTTCTACATAATAGATTTGTTTCTTGATTAATTTCTGTATGTCAACATGAAGATCAAGAAAGAATAATTACATGCCCAGCAGGGAAAACTGTGAATTGTGTTCTTTGGCACAGCAAAATGTTTGATAACACAGTGAGTTGACCATAAGCCTTTCCAGATCAGAACAGCTCTGCAGTTCACCCAGAGTAATTTGTTACTTTATTTATCTATTTATTAAACAGGTTCCCATTCTCCTGCAAACAAAAAGATTTTTGCCAGCTTATATAGATTATAGTAAAACAATTTGGAACAACTCGCCTCCAGAAGTTGTGAATGCTCCAACATGGGAAGATTTTAAGAAGAAATTGGATAACCATTTGTCTGCCTGAGCAGGGGGGTTGGACTAGAAGACCTCCAAGGTCTCTTCCAACTCTGTTATTCTGTTCTGTTCTATCCACAACAAAGTTCAAAATTAATAAAAAATATCATAACTTGCCATTAAACCATACCAACTTAAAGAATAATAAAGGTAATTACCAAAAAGTACAGATGGCATAATCAGGCATAATTCAGAGAAGTTTCTTTGAAAAATTGTCTTTAGAAGTTTTTGAAAGGTCAATAAAAAGGGATAGTTTGAGAAGCTTTTTTATTGCATTGACACCAACACCCACACAAATTAAAGAAGAGGGAGTCAACCTATTCTCCAAAGCACATGAAGGCAGGACAAGAAGCAATGGATGGAAATTAATCAAGGAGAGAAGGAACTTGGAACTAAGGAGTAATTTCTGAACGGTTAGAACAATTAATCGGTGGAATAACTTGCCTCCAGAAGTTGTGAATGCTCCAACACTGGAAGTTCTTTTAAGGGACAACCATTTGTCTGAAATAGTATAGGGCAGTGATGGCGAATCTTTTAGAGACCGAGTGCCCAAAAACTGGCCTCGCCCCCGCTCCATCCTCTGCCCCACGCCTACCCTGCCTGCCCTCAGGGCCACTCACCGCCTCCAGGGCCCAACGCACATTGCCCAGGCAGCCCAGCAGCACCATGGTGGCCACGCCCTCTGCCCATGCCCTGCAGCATCAACTGTATGGATGGGGCATGAGGGCAGAGTCTTGTCTACGCTGCCTGGCTGCCATGTCCTTGGCTGCGCTGCTCCGCATGGGCCAGTCTGGGGGCCATTCTCCTACAGGGGAGGGGGTCACAGGGGGAGGCAAGGCTGGGGCAACAGCATGTGTGCCCACAGAGAGGGCTCCAAGTGCCACCTCTGACACCCGTGCCATAGGTTCGCCACCACTGGTATAAGATTTCCTGCTTGAGCAGGGGGTTGGACTAGAAGACCTCCAAAATTCCTTCCAACTCTGTTATTCTGTTTCCTTCATGCTTCAGTCCTGTGAACCTCTTGGAAGTGTGGAATTTGTATTATTTTCTCTGTCATTGATCAAATTGGTCAGACTGGGTGAAATGGGTGGTCCTGTGCCAAGCCCTGAAGGGCTGCATAGGTCAAAACCAGAATTTTAAATATACATGGAAACCAATGAGCAGCCAGTGTAGGGTCTGCAAAGCCACAGTGACATGCTCCCAATGCTGAGAGCCAGAACATTTGAAAAAAGAGCTGCCTCAACAAAATGAATTCAAATTTTCTTAATCTTGTGCGTTTTTAGTTCACGCTGAACTGAGTGAAACAAATATCCCTTTTGTGTTTGTGAAATCACATCATAAAGTTTAATATATTAATTATAATTAAATCCTTTCATTCGGATACAGGGGAGAGTTAAATTATACAAGATTAGTTCCTCTTAAATTAAGTGTAAAGAAACATGGAAGTTGATATAGTGCCTCGCTCCTTCTTGTGAACATATAAATTCTGAAAGTTCTCTGTTTGGGGAAATTGAGTTTGAAAACATTGGCGCAGCTAGAGGTATATGAAAATCATTCTCCAGAATATAGTAATTCATCATATCTATATTACTGCCAGTTGCAAGAAGTTTCAGTGTTGCCATACTTTGCATTTAGTAAGTGAAAGTAATCCCTGTAGAGACATGCAAAATTAAGCAAATTTTTTAAGTTTCATCCTTTTTATTGAAGTGCACTGGCAATATCCCTCTTATGGAGGGATAGCTCTGGAGTCAGGCTTATAAACAAAATATGAAAATACAGGTTTGATGGAGCAGAAAACAGGAGGAGGAGAAGCAGGAGCCAGAACCCACCACTATTCCCACAATATACAGGTTTTGTTCTGTTTTGCTAATTCTTTTCCATACATAGAGGCCCATGCTTGTATGCTGCTTATAGTCAGATTGGGGTATCCTTTCTAACTGGAAATTAATGTATGATGTCCCTTTGAAGTGACTGCCTGACAATATTTGGATATATCAATGGATGGATAAGGAGCTAGAATATAGGGATAGATAGGTAGATATGTGAAGTAGATATATATAGATCAGGGATGTCAAATTGCTGGCCCATGGGCTGGATGCATCATGTCGAAACTGTGTCCACCCCATTGCCAGCAACGGGAAAAAAGTCGCAATACGTCGCAACACGTCAGGTGACGTTGTGAGTTTGACACCCCTGATATAGATGATAGATAGATAGATATAGATATAGATATGTAGACAGACAGACAGATAGACAGAAAGGAAAATAGATGATAGATGATAGATATTGCAGTACATTGGGGCACCTTTAGATGTCTCCCCATGTATGTAATTATGATGTCTGTTTCATTCTGAGTTATTCTCTGCAGCTGTTTTAAGTAAACAATATTTTTTCTTAGGGATTTTGATAGAAGTCAATAACCTTCCGGAGAAGCAGACTTTCTTGGCTCAGGGAACCTGTGCAAATGGATCGGAGAATCCAGTGAAGGAGAAAGCGCTCGGGGTTGTAAATCTATGAACAGTCCTTTTAACAGAACACCTTTCTCAATAACCTTTCTCTCTCAACTGCTTTCTCTTTTTCTATCATCGTTTTTTCCAGTCTGATCCTCTTTGCCTATGTTAAAAATCATACAACCATCATGATGAACACCCACCAGGAAAACGGCTGTTGCTTTTGCTTCCCTAGTACTGACATCTTCCCCCAGTTGATGAATTGATAAACATTAATAAGTCAAACAACTGCTGATCTTTTTAATGATAGTCAAGAAAGGAAAGGACTCTTGCTTGAAAACAAATTCAGTGACCACATGTGTACGTGATGATTAGAGGATTACAAAGCCATTATGCTGTTAAAGCTTCTTCCAGTATTGTGTCTTAGTATTCATTCCCATAGGATCTATGCAACAGTACTCTCAGCCATCATAGGAAATGCATGTCCTCTTATGAATGGAAGGATGGGACATGCAGGACAGATGCAATTTTTTTCCTTCATTTCAACACAAAATGACATGCATGGGGAACCATGGTTATTAGCCATGATGGTTGTGTGTCACTTTTCATATACTGTAAAAGATAATATGCTTTTCAATACTACTTGCTGAGAGGTATAAGACAAAAGGTACTAGTGGGTTGATATTCTGGCTTCTTACTTGATCACCATGAGAAAATGAACCAGATGAGTTTTATTGGACCGGTCTAGCAGAACATTTTGTTTTGTTCTGGAGTCGGTTCCATCTGAATGTTTTGGCTAGAAACTCAGAGGTTCATTGCATCTCCACTTTTATTTAATACATATGCTTGTAGAGTTTGGGGGAATTTTTTTTTAGAAAAGGCTCAGTGATGATGATGCCAATTATTTAATTACAGCGTAGTATCCCATGTCGATGAAAAGAAAAAGAAGCTACCTTCCCATCAATTATTTTCACTGGATGCTTCTGCATTTATACTAAGGTTTTTTTCCAGCACATTATTTCATCCTTTATATTTTTATCTATGCAGACCTGCTGTAAAAGGTTCTTGGAATCTTGGGGTTGGTATCAACAATATAATACCCAGACCTCTTTTCCTCTCTATTTCTCTTTCAGCTCATGAGAAAACTGAAAAGGGGACTAGGAAAGTTAATCATCATTTTCTGGATTTAGCAATTGATTTAATATGAGTGACAAATATAATCCATCATGTCATTCTTTTTTTAAAAATTGTGTGGTTCTTTGGTTTATTTGTTGTCACATGACTTACACTTTATCAGTTCTTCTTATGTCAATCAATGACCAGATCCATCATAGGCCTTGCTGCAGCTACTGCAATGTATGTCTGTTGAACTAATTACGAATTCTCCCACTTAGCTGTCATTTTATTTTCTATGATCCTTTGGGATTTTTTTATATGAACATGAAACTATAAACATCTTTAGTGTGTAGCCGTTTCTAAAGTGCCATATAAAGATATGAGTAAAATCATTAGGAAATAAGAATTCAATTCCCTTTTCCAATGACATGCTGCAGTACTCAGAAATTAACAAAATGTGCAAATGGCCAAAATGATTATGATCTGAGAAGAAACAAGACTAAGTAAAAAGTGTATGTGTCTCAGGTTTCCTAATATTGGCCCACTAATAAGGGAACAAGCTCCAGGAAATAGTTTTGTCACCTCTGTGGTAGGCAGGTATGTAGGTCTTTAACTTGAACAGGTGAAGAAGTTTGCTCCAGAGTATCAGTTTCCAGCAGAAAGGATGGTTCTGACCTAAAGGGCCAACAAAAGGCTTCATGATGTTTTCTCATGCAAAATGCTCATTAACATTATTGCTAACATAAACTAAAGCTAGAAAGAAAAAAGAACTGGGGAAAAAAAACAGATTGAACAAACATCTGACGTACATTTTGTCCTTAATGGATGGGGAAGAATATAAATATGCAACCTTCCAAGAGATGAGCATATCCATTCTGATTTATTATTCCTTCTGATATCACTGCAGTTGTTTCCATCAAGAAATGGGACATTTCTGGTGAAAAGATAATAATTTAAGCCAAAGTCACTTTCTTTCGCCCCATGTGCACACGCAAAGAATTCTGAAAAGTGAATCGAATCTATAAGAATTTCCCCAGTTCTCCAATAATAGAAGATGACTGAAGCTTAGCACACTTCTTAGGCACAGTGGGACATCATACCATCCTGTTGCGAGGTTTGAAAAAAATTCAGAATAAAACATACTTCGCTGCATAGTGTCTACATCCATGGCAAACCAAGAATTAATTGCAGGATTTGTATTATGTACAGAAGCAGATTGCTAACATTCCCAAATTGCAAAAATTACTGAAATATTGAATTTTATCACCAATAGAAAAGGGAAAATAACTGGAAATGAGGGGAAAAACTATAAAGGGTTGCTTTGCCTGATCCATCTCTAACTTGCTCTCCTTTTGGTTTTATGAGATTACAAGTTCCCAAATTTCCTCTAGCAATACTTCCGGAGAACACCACATTTCAGAACATCATTCTGGCTATCCCCCCCCCACACACACACACATTGTCTACAATGTTATTCCAGACCTATTGAGGATTCTTTATCCATACTAACCAGAAAAATACAGGAAAAAAGAATTTATTTGCTTCTTGTAAAAAACACTCATACTGTTACCAAACAAGACATTTCTCCAGCTAATAATCATCCATCCATCCATCCATCCATCCATCCATCCTCCCCATTTCAATGGACTTTATTTGATAAAGAAAAAGATAAGAACCAGTTTGCAAATGGAGGAGCGTGAGATCTTAATCTAGACTTGAAATCTTTACTCATACTGACACCAGAATAGTTTGCCAACCTCAGTCAAACTCCACATCCCCAGCCATGATTTTTTACATTCTTAGGGCAATGTTTTCATACTGCAAAACATCTACCAATTTCAAACCACAACAAGAATCCAGAGAATTGGGACCAGGGCACGGTTAGAATGGCAGCTCTTTTTATTATACAGCAAGAATCAAATTCTGCTAAGCATCATGAGTGAAGAAAGGTTTTTACACTTGTAAAAAAATGAAACAGGGAGAAGAAATGAAAAAAAAGTTTAATCCTCAAGCACACTCATCATAACTTGAACATTTTAATTTAAGTGGCAAATTCAGTTTAGGTTAATAGAGTCCTCCAATTATTTCAGAGATCCAGCTAAACATGTGGGAAACTGAATATAAGGAGGAGGGGGAGGGATTTTGCAGATCAAGCACAGTTTTTTTCCCCAAAATTTATTACAGAACTTTTACACTGTGCCTTGAAAAGAGACAGACATGACTTTTTGAAGCAGAATTCACAGTGACGTCTTCTTTTTCATATCAGTGTCATCTGGCATGATAAATTCCCCAACATTTCTACAAGCTCAGTCTAGTTAAACCTATACATACTTATTTGAAAGTAAAACCCATTTAAAGCAATAATTCATATTATATCTGTATGCCAGTTTGCTACACATGTCTCATAAATCTGGGAACATAGAATATTTCCTCTAAGCTACATTTGGACTGATATCTGGATTTTAGAACTTCATACAATAGTCTGATTATACAAGTTGCCTTGTAGGAATTGTTATTGCATTTCAGTAGAACAAAAATAGGATTTTAAGTGTAATATGTAAAACTCTTTTATTGTATCTTGCAGATCAATGGTTTCTTTGACATTCTGTATATCATTTGTTGATCCAGGCTGTGGAACTGCAAAAGGGTGTGGCATCAGAGGCACATAGCAGTAAGAATAAAATACAATAAAGAGTTTTCTTACCCCATCTAATGCAAAGATGGGAAAATGGTACCCATAGGGGAGATTTGAACTATGAGCTTTTTTTTTTTTTTTTTTTTTTTTTACTGAATTCTGAAATCCATTAGAGGCTCTTTTCTGAAGCTAGCACTCATGATGTTACCTAGTTTGGGTAAGGAAATATTTGCAAGAAAACAACCAAGATCAGAGAGCACTAAGGGCTCATCATTTCAACCTTGAGTTACAAATATTCTCCTTTGTTATTATGGAGAAGCAACCTGGTCAGTTTAAAAAAAAAATCCTGCTCTTCCTCTATAATCAAACTACAGTTTTCTCTGCACTGTATACTAACTGATAATGGAAAGGGCAGTCTTGCAACCTGGCTCAGGAAGAGAAGCTTAAGTCTTAGCCAATTTTATCTTATGGTAAAAAGACCCTGGATATTTTTTAATAAAGTATGATGATTGATGATTTTGTCCTACTGTTCCAAATAATATAGGCTGATTTAACTGTCACTCACAGCAAAAATTACAGAATTCTTTATCTAAGGCCAAGAAAGGCATCAAGAAGATTGAGCTGTTAAATACTTCATAATTGCTTCCTTTGTTTATTTCACCTTTGCCTGCAGCCAAAAGTATAAAACCTAGTTGGTGGGATTTGCTTGTCAGATAATAATTACCTGCTCAAAGGATCTCTTGGCACCTGAAAGTTAAAATATGAAAGTTTTCTTAATTACTTGCTGGAAGGGAACTTTTGCAGGTGCCTCTCTGGGCATTATTAAAAGTGTGTGGTGATTTGGGAAGTGAAACTCCGTTCTGAATTATAAAACTTCACTTCTAATAAGAAAGGTCTACTGAAGTTTCACAGAGCTGAATCCTCTAAAGACATTTTAAAGAAAAAAGGACTGATCAAAACAAGACAAAAGAAGACACAAAAGTTTTCTGAACTCTGTATTTAGCTTCATCAAAATGTACAAATAATCATAGTACTTTTTTCTCTTCTATCCTTTTTGAAATATTTAGCACTTTCACAATATTCTTAACTACTGGTATACAGTACACATCAAATATACCAGCTGTACGTTTTCAATATAATGGCATGACCTGGTCAAGATAAAATGCCATTGTGCAGAGAGGAATTAACTTTTGCAAGGTGCTAGACTCACTAAAGGAGAACAAGGACTTTTCTGCATTATAACCTTAAGCTGCCTGACTCACATGTATAAACTGACTAAGAGCGAGTTTGGTCTAGTGCAGGGGTAGGCAATCTTGGCTCTTTTATGACTCGTGGATTTCAACTCCCAGAATTCCCGAGCCAGCCACGCTGAGGGGAAAGGGAGAGGTTTCCAAGCTGAGCCATGCTAGCTCAGGAATTCTGGGAGTTGAAGTCCATAAGTCATAAAAGAGCCAAGGTTGCCTACCCCTGGTCTAGTGGTTAAGGCACCAGGCTAGAAACCAGAAGACTATCAGCTGAAGTCCCACTTTAGGAATGAAAGCCAACTGGGTGACTTTGGGCCGGTCATTCTCAGTTCAACCTATCTCACAGGATTGCTGTTATGAAGAAAGTAGGAGGAGGAAGGAGTGTTAGATATGTTCACCATCTTGAATTATTTATAAAAATAATAAATATAACTTTAAAAAAACTAACAAAAATAAAGCTGGTTTCCTCCACTTTAGTCACAATGGTGATTGATATAAACCATGCTTACTATTGGTCCCCTCTTGCTTTTCATCTGCCTGGCCCATGTCAAGAAATCAAGCATAAGCCCCTTTCTTTCCAGCAGGCAGATCTGTAGAACATGAGTTTTCCATGGAGACATTTTCCCTCTGGTATGTCCATCAGTGGACCAGTAAGAAATTTAAAATACTATTTTACTTCTTTTCCCAAATGACTAGGCTAGGAGATGAAACTGCTAGAACAGTTCTATCGATTTAACCTGGTTAAAAAAGAAAGATTAAAAAAAGAAAGACTTGCCATTTCATAGTTTATTTCATTTGGCAAAAGAAAAGAAAAAAGAAATAGCAATCAGACTTATATACAGCTCACCAGTGCCTTAAAGCACTCTCTGAATGGTTTACAAATATCAGCATGTTGCCCCCAACAATCTGGGTCCTCATTTTACCAACTAGTTAGGATTGATGGCTGTGGGCAGAGTCAGTCTGCAATACTGCATTCTACAAGAAGGAAGGAAGGAAGGAAGGAAGGAAGGAAGGAAGGAAGGAAGGAAGGAAGGAAGGAAGGACACTGGACCACTGATGAAATGAATAAAAACAGTGCAAAAAACCAACAGGTCCCCTGGTTGAGGTCCCTTCAGAAATGGATTGGCAGCCTAGCACAAATGGCCATGGAAGGCAGTGTCAATGAGCAGATAAAAAAAAAAGGTTCCTGTAATAGCAAGTGGTAGCCAACAAGAGTGGAACCATGTGCCAACAATGAAATGAGGTCAACTGATATAGCTGACACTGCTGTTGTGCCAGCACAAGTCGGAAACCATTACTTTCAATGCACAGCAGAGAAAGACAGGCAGAAGTTACCTACCTGGTGGGCTGGTGTGGATAGAGGAAGCTATCAATAGATATGATATTAGCAGATCTTCAAGAAATGGTTGTTGATCCATACTCATGTTGGCGCAACCTGCCTGTGCCAATGAATTGTAAGTCCCACTGGAACCAGTGGAATTTTTTTCTGAGGATACCTGCATGGGGTTATGCTATCAATCTCTCTACCTAACTATGCTGTCAAAGCAAAAGAGAACATCCCAAATTAGAAAGACTTTTCTCCAAAGTGTTTCTTTTGCAGGTCATCACCACTATTCTTAACATACAAAAGAAAAATGCAACATACATACATTGGTACTTTCCATAACACAAAACAAAATCAACAATCCTGGATCTCCTTCTTAGCAATATTCTTCACAATGTGCCACCGGAATATTATTTAACTCTGCAAATCCCATAGGACTGGATGGGTTGTGCATAGCTGTTAAGGGATGCATGAAGTCCTCGTTTGTGCTCTGGAGGGTGTCAACATACATCTTCCAAGCCTTTTCTGGAACAGGAGGCTTGGATTTAGCTTGTAGACTTCTCTCCAGTTTCTTCTGTTTATATTTAAATTCCAAAATAGTTTTTGTGTATCTGTTCATTGTGGTCACAGAGGAAGCCATGCAGCAGGCAAAGGAAACCCACGCCAAGCTGTCAATTTGAGAAAAAAAGGGGAAAAAAATGACAGGACACAGTCATACACACGCCCACCCCCCAGATTGAACAGCCCTCAGATCTCTTATACAGTCCAAGAATTTACATTTCATTTCTAACAACCTATCTTTTAAAACATTTCTCTATCATGTAAGAACATCCTGTTGGACTTGTTTTGCTATTAGTCTCACTGTGATTTCACATTTGTGCTTTTATCTTTCACTGCTTCTAAAATAGAGCTGAATGATCACACATGAACATCTCTACAGGAAATTCCGCAGAGGGAAGAGGCAAATTTGTTCCACATGTTCACTGGTTTTTCATGCCACTAGTGAAAAAGTAGAAATGCCACTAGGCCAGAGGTCTCCAACCTTTCTCGGTTGGCGGACCAGAAAGAAAGAGAGGGGGAAGCATTTTACACACACACACACACACACACACACACACATGGTGCTGTGAGCACACACAACACAAATAGGTTGGTGCTAGCACCCACATGACACTTGCTAGCACCTTCTGTTTTTGCCACATGGGCTCTGCCATACAGAGCCCCATTTTCATAGTGGTGGCGCTAGCAAGAGTGGGGGTGGGTGCGCACACTGGCCAGCCTGTCCCCCAGCCCAGTGGCCAGTAGGCCACAGCCCCGTAGTGAGCCACAGCCCACAGGTTGGGAACCCCTGTACTAGGCTTCATCAGTGACATTTTTGTCATTTGGTTAGCATTTCTTTTTAATTCACCACAGAAGGCCCAACTAATGAAAAATGATGCATCAAATGAGATGATTTGTTGATATTTCAACCACCAACCAGTAGAAATGCCACCAAATGCAATTTATGCTGGTTAAGAATGAGGGTCATCTTACCTTTGACAATCCTCTAGGGGATCCCAATCCTAACATTAAAATGGTTGCACAAACAAATGTATTACTAGTATATGGGGGGAAATGGTTACTGAGCAGCTAACACCTTTTTATAGGTTCTGAACATATTTGTAAAATATATGCCTTTTAGCAGATTTCTTATTGGCTTGGCTACTAAACTGAAAAAGCTTATGGCGATGGTAGATTCATTTTCTCATCTCTTTCAGCCATTCCACGACTGTTTTTCTTTTGTGCAATATGATGAAATTCCTGGGGTCAATATATGTATAGAAAGGAATCATTCTTTTGAAAAACCTCAGTGATAGGAGAAAGCCAACTTAATACAGAGCTTACTGTACTCAGAGTAAGACAAGATATTTTTCATCTTTGAACTTCACACACAACCGTTGCTGTTAAGATGTCGCTATCAATATTAAGCACCCGTTTGATACACTTGAGAAGCAAGCCTGCAAGGTCTTATGATTCTGTTCTCAGACCTGGCTACAATACTTTGTCACTGAGATAAGAAATAAAAAAAAATGATAGCTTTAATGTTAATGATTCCCTCAGAATGATTTGACTCATGCCCATCTTTCTGTGATATATTTTGCTTCAGAACTTACCAGTAAGACCAGCCATAATCCCACATTTGAGGCCTCCAGTCCTCTGGGCCAAAATTTACTGTCATTTGAAATACGGTGGTATACATCATGTGAGCCACCATTCCAAGGAGACCTGTAACAGTTGATCATAGTTTCAACAAATTATTCCTTTATGAATTGATGCTAGGGCACATAAAATACTGAGTGAATTTCTTGGGGGGGGGGAGAGGGAGACGTATCTGAACAGATTTAGCTCTTGCTAAGTCACAGTGGGGATAAAAGATAAATAAGCAGAAGATGACAAGTAGAGAAGTAATCCATCCTCCTCCATGTCTTTGGTGTGAGGAATTGTACTAACTGGAAATGAACTAGGAACCTTCTACATTCAAAGCAGATGCTCCATTTTGTTTGGACTTTCTGTCCATTCCTTGGCTGTCATTACAGCCATCGTTTCCCAGAAATCTTTTGTTTCTTTGTTGAAATGGGTGGCAGTTTTTCCTCACACAAAAATTCCCTTTAATGTGGAGAGTCTGAGTATCAGCAGCTAATTCTCTTAGAACAAGACATCTCTTCCCATCCTTAAGAACCGATCTTTCTATGCCTAGTATAAAAATAATTTCTTTCTATTGACCATTTCTTCCTTTAGCTGACTTTAACTCTCAACAGAAGCAATACCAAACGGTTACCTGCTAAAACAGTGAATATAGCAGCAAATGCATTAAGCTTCAGCCCATCCAGGACACTGATGGAATGACAGATTTCAATCAACATGAGAGTGATGCCCATCAGGAGTAAAATAATATAGAGGATCTCTGCTGCAATGGACAACCATAGAACTCCTGGAATACACACATACACACAAATCAGTGCACTGTGACCATTTTAAAGGAATATTTTGTTTCTACAAACCAGCAGTAGAGCTACGGTACATAGATGGTTATCAAATTTGATTTCTTTTCAGATTTTAAGGATGGGTGAGTACAGGCACTTCCCCCAATCTGGAACCCTTCAGATGTTTGAGATAGTAATTACCAGCATTCCTATCCAGCCTGCCATCAATTTGCCATCAGGACTGGACTCAGTCTGCAGAAGAGCCTTGCTTTTCCTGCTTTCAAATTAGAAAGCCAGGTTGGGCTTCTTTAAGATTTATCTCTAAACTGACATATATACTGACTGTCTGGAGAATGAAGGATTGTCTAATCCAGGCCCAAATCTGACATTCAGCAAAAATTCTGAACATCTATCTAAGGCAACGTATGTTTCATAAAACCTGGATGTGCATGTGTATGTGTTAAAAGATTGTTTTCCCCTGTGATTCAGAACACTGGATATAAATATAGAAAGAACTTGAAACAGTGACAGTATATAATTACCTTGAACTGCTGGGGGTATCAGGCTGATGAAACTTCTGCATTTCTCACCTATAAGGCACATAAAATGAGCACTTGAAAATTAAAGATTCTTTTTTAAAAGAAACACATGTCAGGTTATTATCTTCCTAACATTTATAGGAACAAGAGCTTCCCACAAGCAGCAAGTTGGAAGCAGATGGTGGGGAAGCCAGAAGCACCGAGATAAGATGTTCCACTACTGTTTTATTGGAAATGCAAATCCCAGTGGAAGTCATCTTTTGGAAAAGCATCCATCCACCTGGTTTCATGTGTCTTATTTTGGTATTTGTTTATGGCACCAGAGTGCATATATAACCAGGCAGCTTTTTATCTGGAGTGTCTCTTCTCACTTGTGCTACTAGCTCTTTTACAAAAGGGGCTGTTGGTGGTACAATCCATCAGCACTTTTATGTTTGTTCTCAAATGCCAGGATAACATTATCTCATCAGAAACTTTCCTGAGGGAGTCAGTTTATCACCCTGTAGCACAGACTCTCCAAATAACTGATTGTATCTCCTATTTATGGAAATGTAGGCAATTGTACCAAAACATGCAGTATCTTCAGAGAGACAATTCAGTGGATAAACTTTGAATAACCTTAGTATGTTTCAATATTATTTTCTAGCTTTTAGAAGAACCTCCCCAAACCGGATGGGTTGCATACAACTCCCATCACAGACAGATTGCAAAAAATTATTTTAAGGCTTCTGAAGAAGTAATAGTGGACTAAAAGACCGTTTCGTTTTTAACAATGCTCATGACTGCAGCAGAAAATGGAACTGGTGAAGGAACTGGCTCCCCAAACTTCTCTCTGGATCAATGAGAGGACTTGGGATTGCCCAGAGTGCTTCTTACAGATGGTTCCCACAAGAAGACCATAAAGCAGTGGTCTCTGGTGGATTTTAGAGGTCTGGGAACTGGGAGAGTAGGCTTTGCCCAAACAGAGGGTCCATTTACTCACTTCTCCTCTTAATCACATTTACAGGAAATGGTATGTTTTATTACCTTGGGTGATTTTTCCTCCAACCCTCAGTGAAAGATTTATGCAGGTTAAAAACTTAAAAAAGCTGTTTATTTGGAAATAAGCGGAAAAAGCATAATTAAAATGTGGATTTGTGGATTTTTTTAAACTGGACTAACAATCCAGTCCAGACTGACTGGAAACAAAATTTAAGAAGGAAAAAAAATGGAATATTTTCTATAATTTGTTTAAAATCATATTAGAAATATATAACAATTCTGAGGTTTATATATCTTTAATATGTATTAAATTATAATATATTTATTTATATTTTAATATGATTTTAAACAAATTACAGGAAGTAGTCTAATCTCTTCCTGGGTAAATGTTCTGGATGAGAGAAAAACTGATAAGAGAAAACTGTGAAGGCTCATTACTAGAAGCAACTAAAAAAAAAAATTAAAGATGATAATTAAAGGAGAAGATCCACCAATACAAAATGGGAAAAAAGTATTTTAATTCTGGAAATATTCAAGGATAACAATGTACCTAGAATTTACTGTTTAGTCTGTCTCATACAATAAGAATGAGCTTAAAAAAGAGATAGAAGAAAATATAACTGAAAATCAGGCTGGTTTGGATTCAGATTTAAAATTGACAGGATACAAGAATAATACTGACAACCCTAAAAGTTTGAAGACCCCTGTCTTAAGCTCTTCAAGTTCCCTTAGCCATTTGCTTTGTCTTCTGACTTCACAGCTGAATATGATGTAATTGTTGCCAAAGGTTAGTTCATAATCTGGGATTGAAACCTTTTTTTTTTTTCAATCCCAGAATTTGGTCCAATTTGTCTCTCTGGCCCTTAACTACAAAATCTCTCTCTATGGCTGTAGTGACTATCTAAGATTGTTACAGCTGCTCTACTATTAAATGATATACTGTAGAAAAGAAAGCAGCAGTCAGTTTTCTGAAGGACAAAGCTATGTGTTACCTCTGCAGTAGCTGGTTTATAAGCCCACTGTCCTTTGGTGAAGTGGATGATGTTGTCTCTGGTAGCATTGTTTACTTTATTTGGTTGCTGGGACCATCTGAATATCAAAGTGGATGAGTCTTGTGCTATAGGCACAAATGTTTTGTGCTAGCCTAGGATCACACCACTGCACTGGTCCAAATTGCACGTGGAGTGATTCAGTGGAATACTGTTTAGAACGGAAATGAGTGTGGAGAAATCTTTAGGGGAATCGTGGTATAAATCCTTCCAGTTTGGGTAATTCCGATCTTGCCAATCCAGTCCCAGAAATAGATATATACCTGCTCTAAACACATCTCCTCTTGGGCAGAATCTAACATGAAATTTGCTTAGAGATAGGTCAAGAAATAGATACTGCTGGAATTCTAGTGAGGCTACTTTATTATTGTGAGATACATTAGCAGAATTTTGAAAATCTGCCCACAGCCTTTGCTTTTTCCTTTTTCAAGAGAACAAGATCAAGTCAGGGTGAGTTTTAGTTTTATGCTTTCTTTTTTCTTAGGGCTCAGTAATGGTTTCACCCCATCCCCTTCTGGAGGCCAGATCTAAATTCGTCTGCGCTTTCTGAAGCATCTCCTGTATACATGGTACAAGGGGATACAGAAATAATATAGGCACTAAATATAAAGCACTTCTTTGACCTAAATGTTGTGGTGTTAAATGTGTTGGGTTTTCACCATGATTGCCAATGCATGATGGGACTTACATGTTTGAACTAAAAATAATAATAAATAAGAGCAGCTTGCCAACAGCAGGTAATTTGCAGAAGCAGCAACCAATCTGAGTGTTTTGGTGTAATAATTCACCATCTTGATGAAAAGCAGTTCTAATGTTAAAAAAGATTTAAAAAAAAACACCTCAGAAGCCATTGTGATCCATGGGCTGGAGACCAAGCTGTAAGACTAGCAACACTAATAATGAGATGCATCTTCCATCTTCAGGCGTGCATTGAGGGGCTGGATAAAATCCTGCCAGAGAGAAAATGGCCTCTCAGGGCAGGACTAGCAACTGGCTTCCAGCACCTCATCTGTGACCCACAGAGTGCTCTCAAGAATGGGTGGAACCAAAATTCTCAGAATCTTCTCTTATTTATGGGAGTCTGGGGTATTTATAGATAACATTACTAAGATGGGTTTCCTATGCATTCATTCAACAAGGATGGTCAGCTTTTTCGTAGTGGAGGTAAGAGGCACAGAGGATTGGAAAATGAAGTAAAATGGGGAGAGTCACATCCCATTTGCCGGAACCAAGTTCTCCTGTTTCTTTTGTTTGAAGCAGAGACATTTCAGGAATTGGTTCTAACCAGGGGAAAAGAATTGCACTGAAATACTTTCATTGCTGCAAGCTTAAAAATGGCAGGAAACCATGCTGCCAGTCAGTCATATCTCCAGAGGCTACAGATTAGTCATAAACTCAGGGAGAAAAACCATATTTATTCAGAAAACCCCTTTTCATTAAAAGTAAACAGGGTGGAAGATTTATCTTGCTTCCCTCCTACAAATAAGTAAGGCACAGTATTCATAAGAGCACATTCCAAGAGTTCAGTGTGTTTTAACATCATTTCGATCACACTAGAGGTGACTAAGAGATTTTGTGACTCCCATTCTATGCTTTATGAGTGAAAGAATAGGTCATTTCAGCAAATGACAATTTTATAACTTTTGGAAACATGTTCCTACCTCTTATATTAGTAACTATGGCAAGAGAGGGAGCTGACAGCAGTTTTCAAAGAAAAATCAGTCTGAAAACTTCTCCAAACCTAATTTTCATCTATATGTGTGCTCTTCATTCCCCCACATGTCCTCATAAACTGACTTATTCTTGCTCAGGAAAAACAATTACAGGTAACTAAAAGGGTGCTATGTGGCAATTTCCAGTGACCATTACAGTTTAATGTCTTGCACTCAGCTTCTGTTTGGAGAGAAAATAAAGGTTTGGCAATCCCACACTTGATCTGCAACATTAATTCTGTCCTTGGCTGCCTATTCTGCTCAGTTATAATTTGAATCAGTCTGCTAATATTTTGATAAATGTATTGTACAGAGTCTAAAGAATCCATATACCTAATAAAGGAGTCTGACGAATCCATATACCTAATAAAAGCTATTACATTCTTCATGCATTAAAACATGATGAATGATGTCAACAATTCCCTCTTATTTACTAAAATAAGTAAAAGGCAATTATCCTGATTCTCCCAGAATCCATCTGTACTGGTGGCCCCAAACTTCTGACTAAGAAAAAGAGAATAAGGTTTTATCTTTTTCAATCATATGCTGTATTTTAAAATATAAGTTCCTCCAAATTATGGATTCCACAGATTTAGCACCAATTCTTCTTCTTCATAAAAGTCTGTGTGCCTGTTTCTGTGTTTGTTTGTGTGTCCTAAAATTGTAAACAAAGTTAAAAATGTTCTATCCACTTTTTTACTTTATTTATTTATTTAATAGATTTTATGTCTGCCTACCTCATCAAAGATTACTCTTTTAAATACTTTTCTAGTTATTTCATAAACTGGGTGAAAGAGATAACATTATGAGTTCTAATTACTTCTTTTTCACCCAAATACTATTCATTTCAGTGTTAATTTTGCTGTATTCTTTGCAAACAATACAGTGTCTTATGGCCCTTTAAAGTCTAAATATTTATTGTGACTGGAGTTTAAGGCTCTGTATAGTTTCTGCCACATCAGGCCCGTTTCTCTTCAAATAGCATTCTATGATGTCCCTTCTTGTATTAAATCAGGATAATATGGGAGAAATCATTTTAATCCCTATAATCCTTTCTCCCCTTCCAACCTCATATTAGAATAGCAAGAGAATTTTGATTTGTGAGTTGCCAAAAAGGGTGAAAAATAATTATCAACATAGCTTTGGGGAATAACTTTGCAACACATGCCATTGGGTAATAGATTGTATCCTCTCTTAAAGCATTTCATAGTCTTTGAAGATTGTTTTGGAATTGGTTGGGTATGCGCTAAGCCACGGTTTGTTTTATCCACAATTTATTGATCAAATCATCATGGTTACATTTACATGTGTTAGCACATAAATCATGGCTGAGAAACCTTGTCCTGTAACATGCAAAGCCAAATCAAATCACATTATAGACTAGCACGGTGTGTGTAATTTAACAGCTTGTTTATAAATGGGATGTAGATCAAATGTAAAGAAATGCTTCCATTATACAGATGGAAGAGTAAGGCAAACCCCCCCACACACACAAATGAAACAGCTAAAATCTGAACATTGCTTTTGCCAGCTGGAAACAGCAAGCTGACTGGCTGATCCTGAAAAATCAAGCAGCAACAAATCTAATTATTACTTGGATGGGAGACCACTGAGAAATCATAAACCAAAAATAAATCCAGAAGAGGGCAATACCAAACTACTTTCATAAATTGCCACATAAAGCTACAGAGACTTATCTAGGGAGTTAACAGGAGTCATGCGTCATTTCAGGGAATCCTTATTTCTCGCAATTGTAACCTTGATTGCACCACAGCCGCTGTTTTTCACTCAGCCCCAGCCAAAATGTGAAAGAAGAGACACAACTATCTTGTGTCTCAAAGAAAATCAGGATGAGGGAGACTTGCTTCCCAGAAGGGCACTCACCGTGTTCACTGATCATCTCTTCACAAGAATGCCAAATGCCGGCATGAAACTTTCGATCCACAAACTTGTCGTCTCCTGTCTCCCAGATGTACTGAACCACGCTGCTGTCATTCCCACCTGGGCTGTTAATCCGAATGCAGTGGGTCCCACCTGCGAGTTTGCTGCAGAATGGTTTGGCTACCTTCTGCGTTCCTTCACACCAGTAGCTGCTGCTGAAGGCTGTGATAGACAAGATTAAAGAGATGAAGCCGAGCGAGAGGGCTGCCGAGGCTCTCTGCCGTCTGTCCACCCCCATTGCCTGAGAGCTGCCTTCTTGTAAAGGCAGCAGGCAGCAGCGTTCAAGGATGCTGGAAACACCCACTGCTGATGCTCTCGGCTGCACATCCATTGAAAAGCCCCTCTCTGAATTTTCCCCATCAGCAACAGAACGGCAATCCTGAACTTAAGAGGAGCAGAGATGCCTACACATTCCAGGAACTAGGTGAACTGAGCCTAGTTTATCACAGCTGATACCTAAAGCTGGGAGCTCTGCTCCAAAGCTCTTGTCACTGCTGATGGAGATCAGCTTAAAAAGTTCAGAACCTGGCAATCTCTCTTCTAAGCACACAGGAGTAGTCTCCGACAACCCCCCTCTCTTACCCACACTTCAAGAAAAGTGTTCAGATCAGACAGGGCAAGAAACAGGCAGATAGGTTCTGCCTTAGCACTTTGCTCTCTCAGGCCCAGGAAATCTTAGTCCCCAAAAGTTAGTAACACGGTGTCAAAGGTCTGCTCAAGCTAGGGCAGGGGTAGGCAACCTCAGCTCTTTGATGACTCATGGATTTCAACTCCCAGAATTCCTGAGTCAGCAGAGCTGACTCAGGAATTCTGGGAGTTGAAGTCCATGAGTCATCAAAGAGCCGAGGTTGCCTACCCCTGAGCTAGAGGAAGATTAGGAATGGAATGGAATGGGATGGACCTAGGAATGTAATGAAGTCCCATGCAAACACAGGAATTAAAGAGTTCCTAACTAGATATTAGAGAGTCCATGTTATGTAGTGCACTGTTTCTCAACTTTGGCAACTTTAAGACTTGACTCTCAGAATTCCCCAGCCAGCATTCTGAGAGTTGAAGTCCACACATCTTAAAGTTGCCAAGGGACAGGGGTGATGATTAAGGTACCAAGCTAGTAATTGAGAAACTGTGAATTTCAGTGCTGCCTTAGCAGAAAACCAATTGGGTGATCTTGGGCTAGCTGCTTTCTCTCTCTCATCCCAAGGAAGGAGGCAAGGACAAACAGCTTCCTGCCTAGAAAATTGCAGGCACTACTCCAGGCAGTTGCCAGTAGTCAACACTGACCCAGTGCACAAAAACAAACCAACCAGCAGCAGCGGCAACAACAACAGCTTTTCCTTTTCATCCATTTTCTCCTTAGTCAATACCTTACCATCCACATGGACCATCGAAGGTCAGCCCACCCCCATCAATCTTGGTTGCAAGGTTCAAAATAGCTACAAGAGTCTTCTAGACTTCTGCATGTCAAGCATCAAGAAGGTGCTCTTGAAAAGGAACTCCCAATTAAAGCCTTTTCTTAATCTGCCTCTACATCTTAAAGAAACAACCATTTAACAAGACATCTGAGCTGTGTGCTGAAAGTCCTTTGTTCAGGCTCATGGCATTACTAGCCTTACCAGACTGGTAAGACAGGTAGTTCCAAAATCAAAATCTTAACAGACTTGACTTTCGAGCCCTATCCAATAAGATGCAATTCAATGGTGAGAAAGGTAAAGGTCCTGCACTTAGGAAGGAAATACAAAAGCACAGATATAGAATAGGCAATATCTGGCTCAACAGTGGTAACTAAGAGAGGAATCTTAGTGTCCTTGTAGACAACATTTAAACACGAGCCAGCAGCCAAAAAAGCCAATGCAGTCCTAGACTGCATCAACAGAGGGATAACATCAAGATCACAAGAAGTGATAGTATCACTCTATAATTCACTAGTGAGGTCACACAGGGAATACAGCATCCAGTTCTGGTCACCATGATACAAAAAAAGATGCTGAGGCCCTAGAAAGGGTGCAGAGAAGAGCAACAAAGATGATAAGATGTGTGTGCAGGCTAAACTATATGATGAACAGTTGTGGAATTAGATATGTCTAAACTTATGAAGAAAAGGATTAGGGGTAATGCGATAGTTGTTATCCAGTACTTGAAGTATTGTCACAGACAAGAGGGGGTTGACTTAGTTTCAAAAGCACCTGTAGACAGGACAAGAAGCAGTAGATGGGAGCTCATTAAAGAGAGACCAATCTGGAACTCAGGAGAAATTTCCTGACAGTAAGAACAATTAATCAATGGAACACCATGCCTCCTGGAGTTGTTAGTGCTGTATCATTGGAGGTCTTCAAGAAAAGATCAGACAACCGTTTGTCTGGTATGCAATAAGTTCTCTTGTCTTGTGCAGGGGGTTGGACTAGAAGACCTTAGAGGTTCCTTCCAGCCTCCAGGATAAAATGCTACTAGCCTACCTTGCAACCCTGTTGTGACTGTTCAACAGTGATAATCTGGCCATGTTTACCTATGCCTTGCCTGTTTATTGGCTTACTCCACTGCAATTTGTTCCAGATGGCACTTCTGCTGAAAATGTTTCAAAAGCTTTAGAATGAGAGAATCGGAAGAACTGCTGAAGAAATCCAGATGGAGGCCATACAGGAAACCAGACAAAAAAGCCTAAGGCAAAAGACTGCTCTGGGATTTTAAGGGGTATTCTTCTCTTGTACTCAAAAGCTTCACTATTTATCTAGGCTAAGTTCAAATATCAAGGCCATATATTTCTGAAAAGCTTAGTACTTGACAGGAAATTTACTTCCTTGGGAACCACCTAAGCTATAAAACCATCCTTCCTGTCTCTGAGTGTTTCCTCCTTCTGAAATTTCAGGAAGACCAGCCATGTTGGACTCCTGAAGCAAAACTAAACAAGAGTCTAGTACAGGTAATTCTCAATTTTATGACAAGTTGCTTAGTGACTATTTTAAGGTACAACAGATCCCGAAAAAGCTACTTACAACCTGTATTTGAAGATCTCACATCTGGGCTCCCCCTGTGGTACATGATTGCATTTTGGGTGCTTGGCAACTGACCAACAGTTACAATTGTTTACAGTGTCCCATGGTCATGTGATTGTGTTTACAATGCTTTTGCCGGATATCGTCATTTACTTCTGGTTTCCGGCAAAAAAATAGCCATAGTGAATAATGGGCTTGCTTAATGACTGCAGTGACTGCTTAACAATCACCACAAAAAAAAGTTTTGTCACATGGCGACCTGGCTTTACAACCATCACCACTTACAATAGAAATTTCAGATTAAATTATGGTCCTATATCAAAGATTACCTCTAATATCATAAAGATCAGTACATTTATTGTACTCTAAACTAAGCAATTGTTGGTCACTTCATTAGATCTCTTTAAAAGTGATGCTGATACCAGCTAAAAAAAATTCAGTTATCCTAGAACTTAACTAGGTATCGGTATATATGAGAAAGAAATACATATGCATAAACTAAGTGTACAATTAGCCTTTGCACACCCAGTATAAAGTGAGAACATATTCTCACTAACATTTATATGAAGGAATTCTATGAGTGATTGATTTATTGGTAAGCAAGCATCCTCAATCTCAATTTTTGTGTTTCAACCTTCTTTTTCCTCATTTTTTGATCACAGGAAATCTGCTAAAGATAAAAAAGATAAAATAATGTATTTGAGTTAATATTAAGGGCTTTTCACTACAAGTATTCAATAGTTCCTTCCATGTAAACATATTCAATCAGGTTAGTCTTGCATGCTGACCTATGTCTCTCAACCTGGTGCCCTCCAAGAGACTTCAGTTCCCATAATGATCTAATGATCAAAAAAAGGGCTCTGACTTTTATGGTGAACAACTGTTGGAAACATGTCTGGATGCTCATAAAAGTCAGTTCCCAAATTAAGGACCTATAGTGCAGAGCCCTTTTTCTGATCATTATTAGAGGGACTAGCCTGTGACCAATACATCAGTCCAGCATTTATAAGGAATGGATATGCTAAAAGCAGCCAAGGGCATCTCACCCCTTTAATAGAATATACAGTACAAGGGCAGCTGTGTGCCTGTGTGTACTTTATCAAGAGCAACCAAACTGCGGTTAAAGAGTTTTTCTTGGTAATTTGAGTTTTTTTCTTAAAAAAAAAACATTTTATATGCAGGCTGGAAAGAATCAGAATGTTTTAATCAGGAGTGGGCCAACAAAGAGTGAAAGCAGTGTCAAAGGAATGAAAGGACCATGGACTAAGAGACAGGGGAAGGAATAAAAATAAATAAAAAAGTTTAATACCTGAAGAAGATATGGGTCTTTCCCCCAAAATCATAATGGCAGCCTTTTTAAAATAGAATGAGACCAGGTTTGGTGGTGGTGGAAAGAAGCAAAATAATAATAATAATAATAATAATAATAATAATAATAATAATAATAAATAATTCAGAATGTAGAGGCAAACCAGGGGGAGTTGGCAGTGAAGGAATCTAGCAGAGATATACAACTGTTCTCATTTGGAAACCAGGCACCTCTACCTCAGGAAGAACAAAACCCTCTGACTAAAAAAAATAAAAGAATTGAAACAAAGAATAACTGAGCATCTAGAACAGCACAAAAACAACAGAATAAGGCTACCTGCATTGAAGCTTGTTCCAAAGAAACAGCTAGCACAAGCATTAAAAGATGCAAATATTGCAATATCAAGTATAAGCACCAATTCACTGCAAGAAACAAACCAACTAATGTACAGCACAGCTGCAGTTATAACAGAATACCTGGGATGCAAAATCAACAAAGAAGAAAAACAAACAAACAGTGCACCAGAAAAATGGAAGGTTAGACTAGAAAATAAGATCAGCAAGTTAAGATCACATGCAAGCAAGCTAGAACAGATGAAAGAAAAGAAGCTGAAGAACAAGAAGACCAAAGAATACCTAATCAAGAAATACCACTTAGAAACAAGGAAGATCAAGGAAGCACTGGAAATAATAAAGCAACAAATAACAGCTATAGCCAGGAAAATCAGTAGATATGAAGCTCGAATTGCAAACTATAGGCAGAACCTCCAATTTCAATCCAATCAGAAACGTTTCTACCAATCCATCAATGGAGAAACTGCAAGGAATCAGTCAGTACCTGACAAGGAAGAAACAGTGCAATTCTGGAAGCAGATATGGGATAACCCAAAGAAATACAACAAGGATGCAGCTTGGTTAAAAGAGGTGGATGCAAATAAAA